GTGGCAACTGGCGCTAACGATTACTATCCACTGTATGTATCAATCGGGAATGTTCGTAATAATGTCCGGCGTGCACATCGTGACGCTGTTGCCATCATTGGCTTCCTGGCTATGCCAAAAAGTAATATTCATCCTACTACTATTGTTCTGTGCTAACTACAGCTGAGCAGCTACAAAGGAGCATGCCTCTTGCCCAAAATATCGGAAATATCGCCGGCAACTCTTTCATTCCTCTATCTCGAAGATTCTTGAGAACCTAAGACCCACATGACCAAACCAGAGGTTGTGCGCTTTGGTGATGGGCACTATCGGCGTGTAATCTATGGGCTTGGGCCCTACATTGCCGATTATGAAGAGCAGGTTCTATTAGTGTATAGTGCGCTCTTGGTGTCCAAGGTAGGTTCCTAGCAGTAATTGTAATGTATCTTCCACCTTACCGTTTTTAATATACAGGTGTATGTCACACCACAAAAATTTGGACTCTGAGTCGTTGTGTTCGCAATTGTGACCATACAGAAGCACTCGTTGAAGAAGTAACCTCTACCGATCTATGGGACGAGTATGGGATCATCAATGACCCTTGTTGTAAGTCATGAGGTCTTCTCGTAGAACTGCAGTTGATAGAATTTAATCCAGCTGTAGCCATTTACAAATGACTTCCCTTCCCTCGAGCTGATATTCATGAACTTATCGCACCGGACCTCCTACATCAATTGATTAAAGGGACCTTCAAGGATCATTTAGTTGAGTGGGTTGGAAAGTATCTGCACCACGTGCATGGAAAGAAAGGAGCAGAAAAATTCAAGATGATATAGATCGAAGGTATGTCCTTTTGTCTAAGTTCGAAGTTTTAAGGCTCACATCATGGAAGAATCGCTGCGGTTTGCTTCATTCTCAGGTCTTCGACGTTTCCACAAGGTCAAGGATTTCAAACAATGGACCGGTTGATGATTTGAAAGTGCTTATGAAGGTAAGTTATTTCTAGAATGCCATGACTGCCAGACTAAACAACAGTCCAGGTTTATCTACCCGCCATTGAAGGTCACGTCCCAATGGATGTCGTGCGCACGTTTCGTGCATTTCTTGAATTCTGCTATCTCGTATGGCGTAATATCATCATGGAATCCACGCTGGTTCAAATCCAGGATGCTCTCAACCAATTCCATCATTACAGGAAGATCTTTGAGTCCACTGGCGTTGTTCTCACATTCTCCCTCCCTCGACAACACTCTTATTCCCATTACATCCTCCTAATCCAACTGTTTGGAGCACCCAATGGCCTTTGTTCCTCGATCACTGAGACAAAGCACATCAAAGCCATAAAGGAACCATGGAGGCACTCAAGTCGCTACAAAGCCCTTGGTCAAATGCTGGTGACAAACCAGCGCCTTGATAAACTTGCAGCCTCGCGCATTGATTTCAAGAGCCGCAGGATGCTGAATGGCACTTGTCTGTCAGAAATGCTTCGAGCATTAAGTGAGTTTCTTGAGCGCTATCATCTTCATTGTTTACTTAAAATCTATACTAGAGCGGTTGCGGTTAAATACAGAACCTCATGCCAACCAGCCCGATCAACCCAATGAGAGTAGCATTCTGCTACTCCCCAACCCCGATATCACTATACAGGGCGACAATGAAGAGGGTGAAGTTATCGACGGCCCAACATTGGTGCAGGCCCATGTTCAGTTGGCAAAAACACCCCATAAGCCAGCTTATATTTGATTGTGAATACCTTGTTTTTAATTTTCAACATTGCGCAGAACGCAATCGTGCACGAACTGTACCTGACTTATCTGCGGAACTCACTATCCCCCATCTTTACAACCTCCTCCGCCGATTCCTATTCGAACAAGTTAACCCAGATGACCAGCGGTCTCCCTTTGAAGTCCTGCTTGCAAGTTGTCCTTGATTCGATGGCAATATTCAAGTCTTCAACTCCACATCTTCGACATTCTATGCACCTAGCGACCGCAGTGGGATTGGTGGCATGCGCCGTGAGCATATTCGTGCTTGTCCTCTTTGGAGAAACGAGGCACCGCGATATGACTGCGTGTTTGTGAACACAGATGCAGGTGTCGAAGGGATGGGGGGGGGATGGAAATAGCACGAGTGATGTGTTTTTTCTCTTTGACATTCGAGGCAGTTTCATACCCATGCGCTGTGGTGTGTTGGTTTGACAAAGCCGATGATAGACCCGACGAGGACACTGGGATGTGGATAGTGCGACCTTCATATGATGCTGACCATTCTCCATCAGTTGGAATCATCCACATTGATTCTATTTATCGCGCTGCACACCTCATCCCAATCTATGGAACACATACCATCCCACAGGACCTCAAACACTACAACTCGTATGATGCTTTCAGAGCATTCTATATAAACAAGTTTGCAGATCATCATGCATTTGAGATCGCATCTTAGGTAGGACTGTTTGACTCGGGACTGAAATAATTACTGAAAGACTAACTACAGACACTCTTTTGATGCGCTCACATGCTCAGAGGAAGTGCGGCCTTGTTATGCTTGCAGATTTGTTCATACCCCCTTCGCTTTGGCACACAGCAGTACTCATTCACCACCTCACAGAAGAATATGATCCGAACTGGTGTGGTCTTATTGCGCCTCCTAGGTTCTATCCATGCGCCCCCTCATCTGCCTATGCATTCCCCATGCAATGGCACCCACCCACTGTCCTGAAGAATATGATCCGAACAGGTGTGGCCTTGTTATGCTTGCAGATTTGTTGGTACCCCCTTCGCTTTGGCACACAGCGGTACTCATTCACCACCTCACAGAAGAAAATGATCCGAACTGGTGTGGTCTTATTGCGCCTCCTAGGTTCTATCCATGCGCCCCCTCATCTGCCTATGCATTCCCCATGCAATGGCACCAACCCACCGTCCTGAAGAATATGATCCGAACGGGTGTGGCCTTGTTACGCCCCCTAGATCTGTCTGCCCGCCCCTCTATGCATCCCGCCATCCGGAAGAATATGATCCGAACAGGTGCGGCCTTGTTATGCCTGCCAGATCTGCCGCCAATTGAATGTACATATTCTTCACCCATCCGCTCTTCCTCGTTCATGCCAACGCCGTCTGCCATTCGTGTGCATCTCTTGCTCGTTCAGGCTCTGGAAAACAGATACCTTTGCCACCACAACGTTCTTGCCACCGTCGACCACTCATGACAGTGCCTTGGCTTCTCGGTTTATCAACAACAACAAACGGCGTGCCCCTCCTGAATCATCGACTCAGACTTCTGTTAGTTTTTTTCGTACTATTGAGTTTTTAAATTGAGATTTACAGCGCGAAACTGCTCGTCATCAGGTTGGTATGTCAAGGCCACCTCCTAGCACCCCAACCCCAAAGCCCGGTATGTTTTACATGAGTGTTGTTGTGACTACTGCTCCTTACTTACACCCACAGCCCGATCTCGATGGTGCCCATGACAGAGATCGTTCAACTAAGATCCCTGCTGATTCACATCGGCAAACTGAGCGTGTAGTTTCACCTGTACGCCCTCTATTGTGTGGAGATGAACTAACATGATAAGATGTGGGTCATACCTTCAGCAACCCGACGATTACGCCACGCCATGGATTCGGGCGAGCAGTGCTCGATTCCAGCGGCCCAGAAAGCCTCTCAACCTCCTCCACAACCCCACCCTCGCCCCAACTGCCTCATCCACCACATCCGGTGGCATGTCTAGCCGATCTGCCTCAACCAGCCGCCGTCACCCTCGTCCTTGTCTATGATAGACCTGTGGTGTCGTTTCCACAAGAGTCGGCGCTCGGACTAACTCCTGTTGATCACACTCGTCAGTGATCGGCCATCTACATAGCACACAGGCCACCTACAGGATCGTGAGGGCCCATCATTCTCACAGTTGAGCGTGTTGTAGGTGAGTGGATGCTCAGCTTGTATCGTTGTCCGTACTTACTGATAGTATTTGCCAAATCGGCCTCTCCCGACACCTTCTTCTTTCAGACAAGCACCGCTTTCTAAAGCGCGGTGCTTCTGTACCACGCACGACCTCTAGTACTACACCAAGGTAAGTAACGTTCATGCTCATTTATACTACATACAAATGACGCAAAACTACTACAAGACAGCTCGATGTGCTTGGCCACCCTTCTGCGAGTGGTGTGCATGTTTGCTACACCTGCATGAGCGCTTGTTACGACGCTTTACCTTCGACGTTTGAACCACGACTCGGATTAACGGCAAGGAGAACGGGTGACTTAGTACTACTAGTACTACTACCATTTATCACTTATTGCGTAAATACAACTTTTCTCGCTTTTTTGGTGGTCTGGACTTGTGAGCCTAAGTGTGTCTTAATGCGCTTTCGCAAAAGTCAATTAAGTGGGAAAAGCAGTGTTTTCAGTTGGATTTATTTCATATTAAGCATAAAAAGTAACATAAGCGGGAAAAAGGGACTGGTGGTTTTCCTGATGGTGCTGCACAGTACTATCGTTGACCTTCCATAATGTCCCAATGACGCTCTTAACCCCAGCGAATTGCAGGCCAGCTGCTAGGTGTATCACTTCATTGGGCGTACTCAAGTCACTGACTGCAGTTTCACAGGCAGAAATAAATGCAAATTGATACCGAGAGAGATCTATTTGGGTGATATCGAGGAGCGAAAGTGGTTGGTCGCGCATGAGAAAGGCCGACTTGAAGGGTTCGTCAAGTTTTTGTGTCCCGTGGCACGAGAGATGGAGCCAAGTATTGTCTCGCAATGTGTATAGTACTCTCAATTTCATTGCATCGACGCTCATTATCTTGGTGAAGGAAACTGTTGGGGAAGGGGGTAAAAGACTCTGCACTAAATCTAGCTCAGGTTCCACACCATTCAACATGAATGAAGCGCCATCCGGGAGATTCTGGCCAATGGCAGCAAAGGCCGCCGACGGTGACCTGTCGTGACTTCTGCGGGCCCTCAGCAGCGCGGTAAGCGATGGCGTGTATGAAGAGATATATTGCTGCAAAAGGGACTCTCCATTTTCCCTATACTCGCCGGCAGCGTGCAATGGCAAGAAATTGAAGAGAGACGTCGGGCACCACCATATTCGGGAACCTCGTCATGTACATCCGCCAAGAATCTCGACCACTGGGTGAACGACGTCGTTCCACAACTCCCTCAAGGCTTTCGTCAGTGCTGGTTGGTTCCCTTTAGGACTGGCCTCTTTATTAATTCCCTCCTGGAGTGCAAGCACCAGTCTGACAAGTTTCAAAAAATTGGTAGGGAGTTGAATGCCAGTCGGGGATTGGTGGTGCCGAACAATAATGGCATTGCAAGACGACTCGCTTGCGATCAACACGATCACGGGTCCATCACGAGCTGCATCTTGAAGATCAGAGAACAAAGGAGGAAGTAGGAAGTGAGAGAAGCCCTCGACCTTCCGGATCTCTTCCACAACTCTATTCCAGTCTTCCACTAGACGTCTGTACCGGGTTGCTTCTGCTTCTGCAGCAATGCTTCGGGACCCTTCTGGATGACTCGCAGGAGATTTATCAAGGAGGGAGCTGAGGTCTCTGAATCTCTCCATCAGGGCCACTGCATGATCCCCGCGAGTCTGGAGGCTATCAAGAGGCGTGCGGAGTCATGTCATCTGTGTCCAGATGAGAGTCCTGCCTTGTTCCAAACAACTCAACAGCATGACAGACATCACCGCTACGAAGAGCACATGATGCAGCATCTACGGCAAGCGTACCCGGAAAGTCCTTCATAGCATTATGACGAGACGATACTGAAGCTGTGGTGGACATGTAAGTGTCTAGAAGTTGCATGGAAGTCGCATAAGCCTCTAGCTGAGTACCATGTGAATGTTGGCTAGCATGACCAACCCAGCGCAGACTTGCTTGCAGGCGACATAGAAAACCTGCAAGGACGACATTTACTGCTGCCTTGAAATGATGCATGGCAGCATTCATATTGTTAGTATCTTCACCTGGGACAGTGCCGTCAAGTCCCTGATTGATGGAAGGACAGATAGACATTAGCTAGCAAAATATGGACCTGTAATTGACGAGAATCATGTTGCATAGACAGAGTTAAGGCACAGCGGAGATTGTCTCGTGACTCATTGAGATCTTTGGCATTGCCTCGGGTGGAGAGTTGAGTCGCAAGATTATTCAATGACGCAGACTGATCTGTGTGACCGACAGGGCATAAAGCCAGCGCTTCCCTCTGAAGTGCAATAGCCTCATCCAAGCCTTCGGCATTGCCTCGGTGATCGAAGCGGGTGGAGAGATAAATCGCAAGATGATTCAATGACTTGGACCGATCTGTGTGGCCAACAGGGCACAATGCCAGCGCTTCCCTCTGAAGTGCGATAGCCTCATCCAAGTCTTCAACATTGCCTCGGTGATCAAAGCGGGCGGAGAGCTGAACCGCAAGACCACCCAATGACGAGGACTGATCTCTGTGACCAACAGGGCACAATGCCAGCGCTTCCCTCTGAAGTGCAATAGCCTCATCCAAGTCTTCGGCATTGTCTCGGTGATCAAAGCAGGTGGAGAGTCGAGTCGCAAGATTATTCAATGACAAGGACCGATCTGTGTGACCGACAGGGCACAATGCCAGTGCTTCCCTCTGAAGTGCAATAGCCTCATCCAAGTCTTCGGCATTGCCTCGATGATCAAAGCGAGTGGAGAGTCGAGTCGCAAGATTATTCAATGACAAGGACTGATCTGTGTGACCGACAGGGCACAATGCCAGCACTTCCCTCTGAAGTGTGATAGCCTCGTCCAAGTCTTCGGCATTGCCTCGATGATCAAAGCGGGTGGAGAGTCGAGTTGCAAGATAATTCAATGACAAGAACCGATCTGTGTGACCGACAGGGCACAATGCCAGCGCTTCCCTCTGAAGTGCAATAGCCTCATCCAAGTCTTCGACATCGCCTCGGTGATGAAAGCGGGTGAAGAGTCGATTCGCAAGATTATTCAATGACGAGGACCGATATGTGTGACCGACAGGGCACAATGCCAGCGCTTCCCTCTGAAGTGCAATAGCCTCATCCAAGTCTTCAGCATTGCTTCTGTGATGAAAGCGGGTAGAGAGGTGAGTCGCAAGATTATTCAATGACAAGAACCAATCTGTGTGACCGACAGGGCACAATGCCAGCGCTTCCCTCTGAAGTGTGATAGGCCTCATCCAAGTCTTCGGCATTGCCTCAATGACGAAAGCAGGTGAAGAGATGAGCCGCAAGATTATTCAATGACAAGGACCAATCTGTGTGCCCGACAGGGCGCAAAGCCAGCGCTTCTCTCAGAAGTGCAATAGCATGATCTGAGTCTTCGGCATTGCCTCGATGACGAAAGCGGGTGAAGAGATGAGCCGCAAGATTATTCAATGGCTTGGACCGATCTGTGTGACCGAAAGGGCACAATGCCAGCGCTTCCCTCTGAAGTGCAATAGCCTCATCCAAGTCTTCGGCATTGCCTCGATGATCAAAGCGGGGTAGAGAGTCAATTCGCAAGATTATTCAATGTCGAGGACCAATATGTGTGACCAACAGGGCATAATGCTAGCACTTCCCTCTGAAGTGCAATAGCCTCATCCAAGTCTTCGGCATTGCCTCGATGACGAAAGTGGGTGGAGAGTTGATTCGCAAGATTATTGGTTGACATGATCCAACCTGTGTGACTGACATGGTGCAAAGCCAGCGACTTCCCTCTGAAATGCAATAGCCTGATCCAAGTCTTCGGCACTACCCTCGATGCCTGAACCGAGTGATCAGCAGTACACTCAGATTGCCAAGCAATTGCCCTCGACAATCATGCACGGTGTTGTAGTATCCCAGTGCATTGTAATGAAGGGATATCACTTCATTTAAGTCAAAGGGATCATCTATGCGCAAACACCGGTCTGCTCAATAAGCAAGTTGATTAGGCGATAACGGAAGCATGAATGCAGCTGCGCTCCTGCCCAAGATTGCTTCCAGCCGAATGCTGAGTGGATGGTTCGATTGCAAGCAAAGTTGCTCTGTAAACGTGACTGTTGGCGTGGCAAATTCGTTCAGTAACTCTGCAGCCGCATCAGCATCCGTTTTAGACCCACATTTTGCGAAGCGAGAGAGCAGCGAGATGGCAAGATGGAGCTGGGTGACGGGTCGGTCTAGCTCACCATTCGGACGCAAATCAAGGGCGTTGGGCGGCCTGGCAGTGTCTTTGATCAATGATAATAATGCTTCGTGTGAAAAATTGACGGTCCAATAGGTGAGGTTTGCAGTCCAAAGCCGTGGCGAAAAAATGTATTTGTTGACTCTTCTACACCGACATGCTGGCCCGTCGCTGGGTGTCTGTCAACCTTATCACCCAGCCCCGAAGCCATCAGTGAACTGGTGGACAAAATATAATCACTTGTATATCAATATATAGTACATACTATCATTCCGGGTAGATATCTGCAACATGCATGTAATATGCAAAATGTTCAAAACACCTCAACGCACTGCTCAACTCACTCAAAAAAATTCATGCATATGTAGACTACTTATAGATCTTCACGATATCTAGACCTCTCATCACGCAAACTTACATACAGTCGTCGCTTAGTCATTTACATCGCCCCTCTAAAACGGCCGGCAGGAACGACTGGTGGGGTGCGCCTTACACCAGTGCATTTGGGGTTGTGACTAAGGGACGGAGTATGGGGCTCCATGACTAGCTCGTATTGTCCTACATAGAGTATCACTCTCAATGGACATAGAATTGGAATCAAAAAAAAAAAGAGCTCCTGCTCTCTATGTTTGCGCGTTAAGTTAACACGACGATCAGAACAACGGTATGAGAGCCGGGCAAAGCGTTGACCATGTGCATTTCCAAGTTGTGACGAAGCCAGTGCTCAGGGACTCATCCTAACACCCGAGAGTTGGCCTTCGTACCCTACTATGACCGATGAAGAATACGCTCACGTCGCAGCTCAGATGAAGCAGATCGGTAGGAATAATAGATTCCTGGGTGTTCCTGCTTAATATTTGGAGACATACAAGGTTTGAAGTATGGTCTGGTGTGCAGTGTCAACAACTGTATCGTGGCCAACGCTGAACTTGCATCGTTCGATGGGATAGAGATTTGCAGAAGTAATCTATTGATTGTTGGGTTTATTGTCGTGCGAGGGGTATTAGAGTGATTCGGTATAATATTTCCTTGGCTGTGTGCAGATATCCGTCGCAGTAGACAAATCGAAAAGGATAGATTGGTCTGAGTGCAGCACTTACTGGTACAGAAAAAAACTTCCTAGATCGTACAACGCGAACAGTCAACGATTCAAACTTCTGCCGCCCTCATAGACGACGTCGGCGATGCCATCTCTCCCGTCCACGTTCTGTGATGCCCCATCCCTACACCATCAATATGATACTGCTCGCCAACCAGCTCTTTAACAGCAACCATCAAACGATCAAGTCGAGTGATAATTCCGAAGGTGGTGGAAACGCCAACGCAGAATGTCCTGAAACAAAGTATGACAACCTCTCAAATGGAAAGGAGATGAGACTCACAGGTACTGCAAATTCTCCAACGTTTCCACAGTAAGCATCCGCGGCAATCCGTAATTGTCTTCTGACTCCTCATGCACCACGTTCAAGCCATGATGCCTGATCATGAACCTGTCAAGTAATGGGCATGGGGTAATTTGAGGCAAGGGTGAGCCTGTGCGCAGTGCATTGGAGATGAGACCTGCGAAGGAATGTAAGGTTACCACAGGTAAAAGCGATCAGAAAGCATACTGATAACAGCAAGTACATCGCCTTGGAAATCCGAATCAAGCATCCGGGTCCGGCGAAGGAAGGCATAAGCCCAAGCGGGTTCCAGGTGATGCACTACGGACATCAAATGACACAGTTGATACGCGATTTGCCTATTTTTGATTAAAAACACGAGATCGTCGTCAGATATAGATACTCACAGTTGAATCTCCAATATCTTGTGGTACCTCTCCGCAGGCCATTTTCCGCGCAGCGAAAACTAGTGAATCAACGTATGTAAGGGTCTATATCTAGAATGTTAGTATTCACCTCGTATATGACGTTCTCCTTCAGCACGAGTGATCGCTTGAGTTTGCTACGGATGGCTAACAAGCTCCGAATTATGATGGTGCTGTCTTTATCTACGTGTGAGTTCGCGTAAGACACAACCGAACAGTAGATCGATCCAAGTTCAGCTGATGTCGTAGCTAGCGTTCGCCGCTGATACGAACGAATAGTTCTTGACGGAGGGAAGAGGGAAAAAATGCTGACATCGGGATCAATGGCTATTAAATGTATAATCAAGGAAATCCCTCACCCTGCAGCTAAGACACCGACGGAGACTAGTACGAAACGGCGCTTTATTACATGTCAGCGAAGATGTCGAGAAAAGCACACAAAGACTTACCCAAGCCACATCGATACCCCACCCTGGCGACGAAGCGACAGCCAAATGAGTGTCTGTATATGAATACCCCATGACCTATGGGAAACTATCAGTTTCATTCATTCGGAGATGCCAACTTCCAAATTATACCAATGCCGCTGTAACCCATATAATCAAATTCGTCATGGGCGGGATAGGCCAATACAATCGAGCAAAGAAAAATGATGGGTAGCAGACCGCACACACAGCTGCCAGTCCATAAGGATTGCCTCGGCCACTCCCTGTGGAAATATACCTGTGCGCTAATGAATAATCTCGAAATATCGTTCAAGTCTGCGACGTACCACATGGTTGTACCAATCAAGCCGCCAGCGAAGGTACTTATTAGCCTAGCCACTAGACCAAACGTTGTGTCTCCACGAAAACGTGCTAAGGTAAGCTGACCCATGAAACTTTGAGAATGTCAATCATTCTAGCATTACAGGGCAGGAAGGGAGTAACTGACACCGCCCAAACAAACTTGTTCGCTGAGAATTATCAGTCTAAGATCAAAAGCATACAGGCTCTGCACACTCACCGTATGCAAACTCGGCCGATACCCTGAGGAAAGATGGGATAGAAAGGATCACTGAACATACAGACGGTCAGAAAATCAGATGAAAAAGGAATGATGGCCGACCTGTTAACGCTCCCGCTTTCAAGGCGAAGAGCACGTTTCCACCTCCGATGCCGATGGCAGCGCGGTAAATCCAGTTCATGGCTATTTCAAGTGCATTCCTTGGAGGAAGTGCATCGGGATCGCGTTTCACTGCCTTTCCGAGGTCCGTCATCCAAGCAGGGTTCACGCCTGGGATTATTTCTATACCGGAATGTTAGCAACTGTGACCACGAGAACGCCTGCAGCAATATACCAGGATCCTCGTCGTCGTCCCGTTCGATAGTTTCAGTCGGTTCCCATGTTGTCCAGGTGAGCAAATTTGGCAAGGAAGGAAGCCATAATCTGGGCTTCTTTCTTTCCGTTTCGAGTCGAATGATTTCTTTGAGCTGCGCGTGATTTAATGTTTATCACCAACCTGATGTCGAAGAATCAACGCACCATGTCTTGTAATACAACAGAAAACTGCAAGAGATGGTATTGGTACACATAACAATGGAATAGATACCGGTGGGGAGGAACTTCATCGTCACTAGATGCACCATAGCTGCGGTCGAACATTGGACGATATGGGTCCAACACAGTCAATCTGTCTCGACCACTCAGCAACAAATGGCATAAGAACACGTAAACCATGTACCTCTTCTTGGTTGTGAATTCATCTAACTCCCTCGTTAACTTTTCAAGTAAATCCTCGTACTTCTGGACTTCTCTGCTGTGGATTTGCGCCTTGTCTTCATGATGACCCCTCCAAAAATTGAAGCTGAACTTCCTAGCATTGCCTATCCAGGCCCCAGATATTACAAGCACTTCCTCGCACACACCTAGGAGATCCTGGCAGCTGTCGCTGAGTAGCTCCGTTGCTCGAGCGGTGAAGGAAGCTGAATCCGGATGCGATAAATGGATCGCCTCCAAGTTCAGATATTTTTGCGATTCAAATACACCTACCGCTGTTTCCGAGCGCTTTGGCACCCGGGACAGCGCCAGGTGCAGTAAGGAGCTGTGCAAGAGTGTGTTGTGTGTGTGGTGCGAGTGCGAGTGCTTATGTGTACGGTGCGAATGGAAGGGTGAGGTGGAGCCCGCAGGATGTGACCGTGGGTGGGAAGATAGCGGCCGCTGGTGGCGGGATGGTTTGCGATCTCTGAGTTCCTGGTCGGCCGAGGACGCGTGCTTCTCTTCTGTCGTCATGGAGGACCGCCGATCAGGCCGAGGTGATGGTGGTCTGGAACGTACAGGTGTTGCGGGACGGGAAGCAGCGGGAGTGACAGGGAATCGCTCTCGCGTCGGATCGATGAGTGTATAGTATACACCCATGCCATGCACTCGCACCATAAGCTTCCGCGTGATCGCGTGCAACTCGTTGTAATCAGTAGGCGCGAAGCGTGCGTAGACGATATCAACCCTTAGTAGTCGGGCAGCAACTGCGAGCATAGGTAATGCATTCTCAGCTTTGTTTGTTGCATCTGTAATCTGTGTGTGGGAGAACACAGATGAGGTGACGTCTTCAAGGAGATGAGACCTATGCAATGAGATAGTCGTTGTAAGAGGCGCGACGGCCCCCTGCAAGTACGTCGTGAATAGAGCGGACACAGATTGCGGAAACACGAGAATAGATATGACGAGGGAGATCGCAGAGTGAAAGGCCAGGGGAAGAATGATTAATTGACCGATCTGAAGACTGGTGAGTGTACGTTTGCCGGGACGGAAAGCCTGTTACCTTGTAATATGGATAAGGAAAAAGAACCGCGGTGGTTAAGGAAATGTCTGCAATCGATAAGCTTCAAGAAGAAAAATGTATGAGTGATACGCACCGACACATATACATCCAAACACCGAAGCAGGGAGAAAAGGTCCGGGGCCTAGTCTAGCCTTGATGTACAAGAAGAAAACACTTCCGATGAAAAGGAAAACGCCCATGATAACAGTGGGCTTTGTCGCACGCGTCAAGAGATAGACTGAATTTCAAATGGAATTTCCTTACCCATGCTTCGATGTACTGTCCTGTGATAATAGTGCCTATACTAGCATCGGGTACGGTTTGTGTGCGAGCGAAGCTAGCAAACAAAAGGCCCAAGCAGACCCAGCTAAAAGAGACCATTGTATGACCAAAGAACCAAGAAAAAAGAGTTGTACATACCCCCAACCTAATGCCACAAAGATGAGTACGATGATTTCGCGTTCCAGAACTGCCATGAAAGGATCACTAGGCGGTGATAAAAATGAAGCTACATAGTAGAGTCAATGACTATGGCACAATTAACACATATGAGCGCTACTCTCACCTATTATAATAAGGAAGGCTGCCTTCAAACCATACGATCATTAAACCAACAATACAAAGATCACAGCGCGACATACCTGCCCCATTATATTCTCTGTTCGGGGAATAATAAACACCACTACAGCGATCCAGGCGGCAAGGGCACTTCGAATGACGGGTTTCCATTTGGACCAAGTAGAGTTAGCTGGTATCCATCGCAAGCTTTGTGGTAGCTTGACCTTCTGCCTTACTGGCTGTTCCTCATCTGCGTGATCAGAAGATTCGGATACCTTCTCTATTTCGCTCGCCGGTCGTTCATGTTGATCCCCGTTTGACTGCCCATGTGAGGGCGGGGGCTGACTCCTTTCTGGCTTCTGTGGTCGAGCTTGATTTATTGAAGATTTGAGGTGGATCTGTCTGTATGCGAACTTGAGGGTGGGATGGTGTCATGCTGGGGAGGTACTGAGTGGAACTGTAAGCCTTTGAATTTAAAGGTACATAAGATATGACATGTGAAAGAATGGTCGACTTGAGCTGGCCCCATTTCAAATTTCATGTCACTGTACAAATGACCGTTTCAAGATGAAACGTAGCCTTTGTAAGCAGTCACATGAAGATTCGTCTTCGGTGTGCCTCGAGCACGTACATACTTCAGAGTTCCTTCCCACATGTACACAAAATGAATCAAACTAAACAACCTCCCCGTTATCTAAGATCTCAACACCCCGTGTCTCCCCTTCGTTCGCAACTCACTACCTCCATTCTCCTCGACTACTCCTCTCACAGATTCGAACTAACGAATATTATTTCCCTTTTTCACTCCAAAGGCGGAAAATCTGATTGAGTTAGCCAGTTTGACGTCACAGCTTTTTTTTTGGAACATGAGCGCCGCGCCCATATACTAATTAGTCCAACGGAAATGATCCATGACATCAGGGGCTCTCGATAATCACTGGGGAAACGGCTTTTAAGTCGTATACGCTACTCTAGAAATAGACTTAAAAAAGTCTTAGAGCAGCAGAAAAGAAGATCGAAAACGAAGGCGCAGACAAGGGCAATGCACTCGAAAGTGAATTTGAAAGCTTTCAGTTGCGCAGGTAGCTTGAGTTGCGTTCTGCCATCATGATAGCATGAAACGAGGACTTGGAGGAATTTTCAAAAATACTCACCTTCGCCCAAGTCTACCGTAAAAAGAGGTCAAAAGGATGGATTTATGGATCTGGTCAGTGGTGGGATAACGAGTGTTTGAAGAGAATAAATGACGGTCGGGAAAGATGTGTTCGCGAAGTCTGAAAAGACTCTATTTATATTCGTTGCTTCACCAAAATCATCGACACGTCTGCTTTGTGTTCGGTTAGTGTCCAAGTACGTTTTGAGTCTGTTTAGACCTGGTTTCTTCCTCCGTTTAGTGTCCGACTAAAAAGTCGTTTCCGCAGTGAACGTTACAGGTTACTGAGCGGCATCAGAATAGCACATTAACAAGCGAATTTGTAGTCTAAGAACGATCTGGTACAAGAGAGCAGCATCACAGAGCCAAAGCAATGTCCGATTTCGTGAATGTTCCTTTTGATCTGCATCAACCCAACAGTTCGGAGTCCATCAACAGAAGACCCAAAGCGCTGACGCCAGAGACCTCAAAGTAATTGACAGGAAGTCCGTTCCTCCTTCATCCAGGAAGTCAAGTAACCGGAATGCGTAGGTGTGAAGGCCAGGCCAGGTGTGCAGAACAGGTAGGGAATAGCAGAGAGCTCCATCGGGGTATCGGGGTCGGGATCAAGGCGGGCGTAAGCGGGAAGCATAGTGAGTGAGGTATCCAACGGGAAGACCGACTTCCGAACAAGTTTATCTAGAGCTATTTCCGGATAATCTAGCTCGCGTAAGTTAGTACAAAATATTGGATGAGTACACGTCCAGCTCTAAGATGTGTGACCAAAGGGATATCACCTTCCATGGGTCTGCAAAGAGTGCAAGTAAAGTCGGATATGTCTGAATCTCCCTGGTTACAGAGTTTACGTAACAAATCGGGTATGTTATCAGTGCTGCTGTCGTCGTAAATGCTAAAGCTTGGCGCTAGGCTGTCGCAATGTGGGTATATGCGTCGTTCAGACACCATGCACGCTACAGGAGAGCATACCTAAAGAGATCTTTTCTGTAACTTGCGTCCTGTGCGTCATTTGTCTTCGGAGTGAGGGTGCGTGATACTGACGAAGAATTTTGGGCTTCATGGAGCAGATACCGATTTCCTTGCGCAAGTTCCGGAGTCATAGACGAAGCAGCCACGGAAGATCTCGAAGACATGTAAGATGCGTCAGAACCGTAGGCATCAGATGAAACGAGTGTGTCGTCAGATCGCAAGTTGATATCGGTTTTGTCAGAACAGGTAGGTGATGGAGATAAGAGCTCTCTCTTCACTGAAACAGCTCGTGGCTCCAACGAAAGCTCGTACGAGTCGTTTGATATCGGCTGTCCCAACTTCTTCGCTCTTGATTTGCGAGCGCCGAACCACTGGTTGACGCGCAAGGGACTTACATTCCGCGAGACGGCCCATGCATGTCGCGAAGCAATTGTTGGAACGCGGGGATCAGATTTCCAGATGACTAAAAGCTCTCTTCGGGCGGCCAGAGTTATACATGGATCAGGGGCTTTCGGAGATGGAGATTTGTCTTTCTGAGGTTTGATGGCGTAATATGCCTTGCTTTTGGGCTTGGAAATAGAGGGCTTATTGACGACTGGAGCGGGGTATGAGACAGAAGAGTTTAGACTCGGGATCGTGGCCTCCTGAGTTTCAAGTTTAACGATGCGATGGGTTTTGGGTTTTGGATGGTAAGTCGAATCGAGAGGGCCAGCTAGAAAATTTTCTCTAGACTGAGTTTCTTTCGTCTTTATTGGAGGCATAGTCACCAGAATGAATGAAGAACGCAATAGGAGAATCTTGAAAACTCAAATTCGTATAAGACCGAGTTCCAGCCGGCCCTAAACCAAACCATATATCATCGATATGGCACCTATCATTTTTCTCCAACTCATTATGGACTCGCACTATTGTCCCCCTGCGATTCAACCGTTTTGCTTGCAGGAGTCTACCGCTAGTCCAAGAATATTGAGCGGCTCAGCTGGAGTGCGCCCTCGTACGTGGTACGGTCCCAAGACATTAGGGAAGCTTTCCTTACCAGAGCTGCTACAAAACATACGCAGTTTTACATTTAGTTTGTATTCGAATTTCCATCTATGTATATTAGCACATCGGTTTCGTGTGACTGCGCACCTATTTGAAGTTTTTTCAGGCTTCTCTCGGTAGTTCGCTTTGCAAGTACCTGTGTCATGCATTGTTCCGAGTACCAGAGAACCGAGATGCTATTGCGCCGAAGGACTTCGGACGAACCTAATACTAATACTAATCAGTACCATCAACGTTGCAGGGTGTAGCGCTGTACGTAGTTCGACGTCAGCGTTCAAATCCAGGGCCGAGGAGACTGGGTTCATCTAAGTACATATAGTAACTTGTAGCACATGCAAGTAACGTTAAAGGATCCAAGAATAAGTCCACGATTCTACGTCTAAAAAGCAATTTGTCCCATTATTGTACTGCAATGTAAGCTGATATAGATGACGAAACCAAAAGATTCCTGCCTACGGAAGTTCACCAGGCTGGCTTCTGAGCAACCGCAGTATGTGTCTTATGACATATGAAAATGGCCATGCAAGACGCTGCCAAAATCCAGATCCTGGCTCGTGCAACGAAGAGTGAGACTGAAACGCAACTACGAGCCATGCAGTAAGCACAGTAAACACGACGGAAGTCACCGCGTAATGGTATATGGTTTCCGTGGAATCACTGGTAATTTCCTTGACATTCATACCAAATACTCCCTGAAAGAAGGTCATTGAATCTATCATCGAGAGGCTGAAATTAGGCGTACCGCAACGAAGCTGGCAGGGAGGAAAATCATTGTCAGGTAGGAAATCTATCAAGGCATTTAGCATCGTCAAGCTAATCGATATACTAACCTGCCTGTTTCATAGCGGCCGAATCACGGACCGTTGCTATCGTCAAATCTTGCATCCGTCGACTATCAACGAAGTTCACGGTCGCTCTAGCCTGGACATCGAAATCAACAGTGCTCGAATCTAGCGTAGCAAACATACGAACAAGCTCAGTGATATTTTTCAATTGGAAACCTAGCCTGTCAATTTCCGAAAGGAGGTTATCGCATTCCTTGCGCATCAGTTTATTCGTGTCCCTTCTTGCCTGGTCAGTGAATTTAGAGGACTCCAGAACGGGACTTGGCGTGTTCCTGACGAAGGTCACAGATTTACGGAAATCCTCGAGAAGTGAAGCATAATGGAGGAGCTGAGCCTGGATAGTGTGCAACTCAGTCGTGAGGTTGTTATCATTTGTCGATAGTCCATTTGTTTCCTGAATAATGACATAGTCAAATGCCCGAACGACACAAACGACAAAGAAGCCTACCAGCCAGTTCGTGTGGGTGTACAGATGGTCCAGAGATTCGTCCCAGGCATAAAGCGCATACCAAAGGATAGCCAAGAAGAAGAATGTTGGATCCTTAGACTGTTCGAATATCTTCTGCCAATACACGCTCTCTCCCACTTTGTGGACTAGATTTTTCAGTCGCTCTGCGGTTGTCCTATTCCACTGAGCACTTGGGTGGTAAGATATAATAGTACTACCACTGGGGTCGGATGATCTTATCATGTGTAGAGCGAGCAGGTCTTGAAGAAGGTACTTTTCTGCTAGCGACTCGGAGTGGACTGAAACAAACATGAAGATATAACACAAAAATAGGGGAAAAGACTCAACCGGAGCGAAGACGGAGCGACTCCTGCGTGTCTGTAGCTTTTTCACCGCCTAGACAACCATTAAGTTATGTTTTGTGCAAGAACTTAGCAGACGCACAGGAAACGCGCTCATTTTGCGAGGGCGCCGCGGGCTTGTCCCATGGTGCCGTGCGTAGAAAAAGTAGCGTTACCGTAATGTCTACGGCATTTTAAAAGTGCCATCGGGTTGACCACGGAGAGCACTTACGATCTTCTTTTTTCTTGGCAACTTCTTCTTGGTATCGAGAAGGGATCCAGTTTAACGATGACGAGAAAAAGCACGGTTCGATGTTATACCTAATCCATGTTCAACCCAGAACACATGTCTGAAAAAATTGAATCCCTAGCACCTCGTTCCCAGCATCTGAAGTACGGGATGTTTCATGTTGTCCACGAGCAACACCCGGAGACGAAGACCTGTTGGCTGTAGGGAAGACAGGTTGAACTTGGTCCTCAACAAACTACAACCATTCCTCACCTCTATCTGCAACTGATCCCAAAGCTGACTTAAGGCGCTTTCATCAACCTCGATAGGTGGATCGGTGTCGCTGGTCGACTTGAAGTCTCCAGATTCAAGTACATCGACATAATAGATTCTACATTTTTCTCGAGGCTCCCTGGAACAATTTTCAACCAGCTTAGACCGTGCAACTCGATCGGCGGCCCAGTTCCCGAACAGGTTTTGAGGATATCCCCTCCATTTCCATCGTTCCACCGACTGTCTTGGTGAGGGAACAAGTTCCGTTTCTAAAGCAATGTCCGACTCGAGGTCCATCCATGGCCAAGGTCCAGATGGGGCAGCATGTCGATATCTGGCAAGATGCCGTCAACTCTAAACTCTAGGCTTACGAATATGGAGTGCATGCTCACATTGGTGCGGGTATTGTGGGAGGCTTACTGCTGTGTGTTCCATGACCTATGTTGCCCCAATGCAGGGTGTTCAGTGGGAGACAAGGGCAAGGAGACTGTCGGCTAGACATGGGTGAAGTTGAAGAAAAGAAGAATCTCAGTCCATCCAGATTTCAAAAGGTATGTACTTACTATATAATAGTTACAAAGATGTTGATGCGGTGCCATAATAAGCCTACTTCGCGAGCGAACCCTGCGCGAAGCATTATCTGATATCTTAGGACGGCCCATCCTTTCTTGATTAGTTTGTGTTCACACCGACAAAAGGGCTCCGGGTGGGTATCAGTTACGCGACAATATTAATGTGAGTATGCACCAGTACGATTTTTATGTATCGCTGGTACAGAACATGATCACTTATCCTTCCGTCGATGAACCCAAGACAGAGGGTTGAATTAGCAACACTCCAATATCCACTGGCACACAGTGACAAAACACTCTTCACGGTACATAGTAGTGCTCCCAGCTCGGGCTCCCGGAGTCTGAGAGCCATATCTCCCAAAGTGCTAGTGCATATGCATTCTCCCGGTGTCAAAGCCACAACTCTCAGGCTGCTGGAAACTGCGGATCGTGACATGGGGGTATCATACTATCATCATAGCGTCCGAGTTGTTATTAGAACGACTTGTCACGACGGCCACCCAACGAAGTACTTCCTAGTCTCCCGTGAGCAGAGTCAGCAGACCAGAATCAACGAAAAGGTGCAACGTTCGAAAGTTCTGTCTGTTCTGTCCCGTCTGCTCTATCCCGTACTCTCTCTCAGGCTCTGTCCCCAACGTCCGACAAACCATGTTCACGCTGCCGGTCGTCTCACCTGCAGGTATCCCTGACCTAAAGCTAGAGGTCAACCCACGTTTGTCTTGTTGGCAAGTCAACAACAGGTCTCAGGGACACATCATTCGTGAGGTTGTGTCGCCTGGTGACGCCCAAAGTTGGCCCAAATCCTGAAATCTAAATCCCGAGATTTTGGAGGAATTCCAGGGCGTTCCGGACAGCCAAATTAGGGTCGGACGGTACGGACAGAACGGTTTAACGGGACAGAAGGTCATTTCCTCCGGTATATGCCAACTTTCTCGTTGCTCCGAATCCGAGTTGATGCTCGTCATTCCTTTCCTTACTCATTAATTATTCACTCATTATGCGCGAGATCATAAATGTCGGATCTCATGGATAAGTCTCGAAGACAGCCGATCTGCGATGTCGCTAAACCTCGTTGACAGGCAATGGTTCCAAAGTTCTGCTAACCCTTAGGCCCATCAATGAACTTAATACTACAGCCGCTCAATCCCCATGATATATATACATTCGGCTCCAGAGTCGTTTTGTGCGCTTGACTCCGTGGGATTCGACCTTGGGAAGATCAAGGGAAGCACCCGCGCAGTATAGTCGATTATATTCTTAATTGCAATCACTGCCGGTTTCTTGCCAGTTGAGCTAGCTTGACAAGCAAATATTCAGCAGCATGCCTATTCCCGCTCTACCCACGACATTTCACACTATGTTTCAGCACCAAGTACGTATCTAACATATATAAGCACGAGATCCCGCCGGGATGGCGTCCACCACGTCATGCTGTGTTGTTGCATTGTCTATGGCGACCTCTGTTTCATTTCACGGCGTTGTTGGACCACAAACTTCAATGACACAATTGGTTTCCTCTTCCCACCAATTCTCGAAGACCCTGAAAGCTGTCTTGATCGTGCATTCCTTTCCCCTCTCAGCGTCTATATCGATGGATTTTCAACGACAAAATTCTAGACAAATTGCCGGGTGATTTTCGTAAGTATCACAACTGATATCAATCACACATTTTACTGACGAAACTATGTAGGATCTTATTTTAGTTCAGACAGCCTGAAAGAAGCTCAGCAGACTCAATTGAGCACACCAGAACACACTCGACTACCTTGAATGTCGACCGATCCTGGAGTATGTAACCTCTCGGCAGAAATTGGATTGGTGAGAAACGCGCGCGTGCGCGTCGTCGCGCTGCATTGTCGCTTCCTCAAAGTCAATACATCCGAAAGCCACTGCATCCCCCGCATTCCATTCAAACCATTCGTTATGGACAGTGCGAGAAGACACTGTCTATTTGCAGACGATGCTAATATAGTATTTCCTGAGTGGTTACTGCCCACACTGTATTGTTGTAGAGCCGACCGAAGGGGAATCCTTGTTTGAAATAACTACACCATCTTAACTTAACTTGGGCAGTATTCCGCAAATGGAATGCTTTGCGAAAACGCAGGGTGTTACAGGGGACGAGCTAGTGTCAATGGTTGACGCCTTTCGCACCTCCGAGTTCAAGTTAACAACAGCATTAAGTTGATCTATTTGTACAATTGTAGTTAGCTCGCGTACCCCAATAGAAAAAAAGAGACTCGCCAACGATTGAGCTCGCACTTCATACGCCTGACGAAGGTTCAGTAAGGAATGAAAAACAATCACATACGGCCTTGTCTGCAGTGGGGAGCTGCTCCCATTATGCCCTGAATGTGGGCGCTGAGCCTCGTGCGGAGAGCGAGTTGTCTGAGAGCAATGCGTAGGATCCAGAGCAGCGGGCGAGGTGGTCATCTTGTGGTTCGATGTCAGTTTAAATTTTCATCATTGCACCCCCCGCGATCCATGCGTGAATAGCGACAAGTAGACATCGCTCGAGATCAACAAGAGACCTTCCAAGTGGTCCTGTTGAGAAGGCTCATCACATCCAACTCTTTCAAACTCCGAAGTGATGTTGTGGGACGCGTTGATGGTAGAACTGGGTCACGGTGAAAGGCGCACAGATCTTCAACGTTGTCTCATCCGGATAATGCTGGTCCGCTTCTGTTGCACAGAGACTTTATCAAGTTCTGTCATCGATCAAGCTGCCCCACTGGTATAAAAATCGATGTACAGCTTTAGAACTTGACAACTGTAATCGAATCTCTGGCATGCGTGAATCATCCGCGATAAATTGGTTGTATTACGTCTCCGCGCAGAACATGCTACTGCCGCGTGTTTACAACCCTTCGAAGAAAACGTCGATGTCACCCGAGGAAAACGATGGGCAAGGACAGGAACAGTCGGGGATTGGCTTGCCTCGTACCGTGACCTCGGCGAAACTGCACGCTACTGGAGGATTGGTCTCTTTCGTCGGGATTCCTCATGTGTCCACCCACGTAGGGAACCTCATTCTTGGCGATTCTACAACAAGTGGGACTTATTTAGGACGATAGCTTTGATATGCTGACAATGTGCTTTTGCAGGCTCACAGCGATCATTTATTGTCATTAAGAATATAGGCGAGGGCTCTTTTGGATCAGTCTTCCTTTGTGACTGGCATGGAAAATTACCGCATGAAGTGCCACCACCCTCTGCAATTCATATCAATGGCGTTGCGAGGCCGGAATGGGCAGGTATGCGTTTGGTGGCCGTAAAGAAACTCAAGCGAAGGTTGGAACATGGTTGGGACGAGTGCCGGTATCTCAAGGAGCTCAAGGTTCAGTGAATCATTTGGCACCACCAGGCGTCCTGTTAAATTGACCACAGGCACTACGTGCATTGACCCCCCATCCATGCGTCGTTCCTCTCTATGATGTCTTTCTCTCAAGTGAAACTTCGGAGCTGTACTTCGTTTTTGAAGCTATGGAAGGAGACTTATACCGATTCATGAGAGCCCGCAAGGGGCGGCCATTGACCACTGGTCTTCTGTCTTGCATCTTTCAACAGATAGCAGCTGGACTACACCACATTCACTCTTCGGGTTATTTCCATCGTGACATGAAACCTGAGAATATTCTCGTCGCTACCTCAGGACTCTTACAGTCGCAACCAGATGGAGGTGAACAAGAAGATGTTGCAGTTATCTGTAAGATTGCAGATTTTGATTCTGCAAGGGAGATATCAAGCGCTCCACCTTACACAGAGTATGTATCAGCTCGGTGGTATCGCGCCCCTGAGGTGCTGCTCAAACAGAGAGACTATTCTACGCCGGTGGACATGTGGGCCCTCGGGGCGATCATGGCCGAGCTGGTGAACTTGAGGCCCATATTTCCTGGTACTGGAGAAGTCGATCAGATACACCGAATCATCAAAGTACTTGGCGACCCTGCAGATTATGGCGTGGGCGAACACGGAAGATCTTACGGAGGTGGTCCATGGTCCCTTGGCTTGGAATTGGCAAGACGTCTCGCCTTCAAATTTCCCCAGGTTGGTTATGCGTCCGAGTTTGCGGAGTATTTGACTCTTGTGATGTCCCAGACTGAACCGAGAAACATATATGCGATATTCGACAAGAAAATACCTCGTCGACTTGTCGACTGCATCTCCGATCTCCTCAAGTTTGACCCCAGCTTGCGCCTTACTAGTCAACAGTGCCTTGCGCACGAGTTTCTCAGGGAATGTCTGCCGGAAAATCTTCCTTGCATGATTCCTGGACAAAAAAAATCACTCTCGACAGCTGTCAACAGCACATGATTCGCACATGATCAACGCAACGTTGGAGCCCACTGTTGGTGAGTCGTTCGTGTCACATGCGATTCACATTAATACTCATCCCTTCATATATAAACCTTCAGGCGTGAAATAGGCTTTGTAGTACACTGGAACCGTGCTATTTGACAGTTGCCTAAATTTGTGTGTTATCAATGTGCAGACGGCGTTCAAAACATCCCTTTCTGATGTCATGTACTGTTTCTGTAGTGATGTACATGATGCGACTTTAGAGCTGGACTTCTGCCCCTTGGTCAGTGAGTTTAATTCTAAAGTGGATGCCCCTCGTTCTCCGGCATGTGTAGCCAGCTTCAAGTTTGCCTTTCCATCGAAAACGGGTAGTTGCATTGCGCCTTCCATATTTGCGCGCTGCCAGCTCCAATTGACTTGTCCGCGCCAAGTTCGTGCACCGTAAGAACTTGACCATTTCCGCACGGAGCTGCCTTGTATTCGGCTACACCCGGGCCTGCTTTTGTGGCTAAGCTAGCTTCTCTTAGATGCCCTTGCCGCACCTGAGTCGTGTTCCCTCTCCGAAGTTCGTACTACGATGTCTGTACTGTTTCGTGCCTGCCAGTGGACCTCAGGCTAGTATCCTCCGTGCCCCTTCGCGTTGTTCGTAATCTCATCCTCACCATCAGTGGATCGTCGAACAGGGACCAAAGGTAAACAACTACCAGGACTTGTGGATGACGTGTCTATCTGCTAATGTATATAGATGACACTGTCGAAATTTCAGCAGACCTTCGAATGAACGAATATCTATAGAAGAGACGCTGAAGCCTGACAGCATAGTTAGCCGCGCCGGAGTTGGAAAACAAAACACAATCACATGCTCAATTAACTGCTAATATTAATAAGCTGCATCATGAGTTGAATTGAAATGCAACATGGCCAGTCTCGAGAACAAGTACATCAAAATATCCAGTCCTGCTCCGCATGTGTTGTTGTTAGAGTTGAACAGGTACTATAATCTCTCCTGAATTTCTCACGTTTTAACAAAACTGTCTGTTCCCCACAGACAGCCAGTCAATGCATTCAGTACAGAGCAAGTCGTTCCACAGTTTCCGCAACCACTAGTGCTCACGCTACACGATTGTGCAGGTTTTTGAAGGAGTACGAATGTACATTCGACGCACTTTCGAGGCATCCGGATGATATCCGCGCAGTCGTCCTTTCATCCGCATTTCCTAATGTATTCAGTGCAGGGATCGACTGTAAGAGCTGTATTCCGCCGAAGTAGACGAATGGCTGATCTTCAGCAGTCCAGGGACTTATGAATCTCGGTGCCAGCGACGCCATGGATCCTGCACGGCGCGCATTTCTTATCAGTGACGACATACTCTTCATCCAACACGCTGTAGCAGCACCTGAGCGGTGCCCAATTCCCGTCATAGCAGCAGTGCATGGGATCGTGATTGGTCTGGGGATAGACATCATCTCCGCGTGCGACGTCCGATATGCAGCATCGGACGCGAAGTTCTCCATCAAGGCTCGTTAGTCGCATGGCTGCTCAGTCGTTTGTCTGATGAAGGCTACTGTGTATAGGAAGTCGATATGGGGCTGGCAGCTGACGCCGGGACGCTAGCTTATTTGCAAAAGATTACCGGGAATCATTCATTAGCTCGCGAGCTCGCGTATACTGCACGGACGTTCTCGAGTGACGAAGCGGAGAAACTTGGCCTTGTTTCTAGGGTTGTCCAAGGAGGGAGGGACGCAGTCGTGGCTGCAGCATTGCAATTGGCCAAAGATATCGCTTCGAAGAGCCCTGTTGCAGTGACTGGAACAAAGCGCCTCCTTCTGCACGCCAGGGATCACAGGTATGAGTGTCTGTTCACGCTCTTGGACTAATTCATTGTTTTGTGATAGCGTTGCTGAGAATTTGCAGTACACGGCAACTTGGAATTCAGCTGCGCTTCAGGCTACGGTCGGTTCATCGACTATTCGTTTCTTACGCTTCAATTAATAGAACATACTATGCTAGGACTTACAGCAGTCAGTCAAAGCGGGGATGGCCAAATCAAAGGAGTCCCCGAAGTTCTTGTCATTGAGGCCCAAGCTCTAGTTATTCGAGTGCGTCATGTTTCATTCTCTGACCCTTTCCTGATCTCTTCCGCTAATGAAAATTCACAATTTACATGCATCCATTTTCGTAACATGATAGTAAATACAATGAGATTCCAAGATACTACACGTGCATTAGGCTCAAATTGCACCATGCTCAATTTCATTTTCTCTAGCTCACATCCTGTGGCCGAGGTTGACGTGGACAGCTTTCACTGATGTGTAGCTGAGAACATATAAGTCAGTGCTAATATACAATGGATGCAACACTCACTTAGAAAGGGCATACTCGCCAAGCTCACGACCAATACCGCTCTGCTTGAAACCACCGAATGGTACGTTAGAGTGCAATGAGTTAACGCAGTTGATCCATGCGGTTCCAGCCTTGAGTCTGTGCGCGGTGTTGATAGCACGGTTCAGATTCTGGGTGAAAACAGCAGCAGCAAGACCGTAGACTGTGTCATTTGCCTGCTTGATCACATCTTCCTCATCCTTGAACTTGATGACAACACCAACAGGACCGAAAATCTCCTCTTGGACGATCTTCATCGATGGGTGGGTATTGGTGAAGATGGTGGGCTTGATGAAGTAACCCTCACTTCCATGACGCTCACCACCAATCTCAACTTTGGCACCAGCCGACTTTCCGGACTCAATGTAAGACATGATACGCTGGAACACGCATTAGACGGATAAATGGTTGCGGGAGCATTCCACGACGTACGTTGAATTGAACCTCCGAGACCTGAGGACCCTGGAAAGTATCAGGGGCAAATGGGTCGCCGACCTTGAGCGACCGAGTTTTCTCCGTGAAACGCTTGAGGAATTCGTCATGGATGCCTTCTTGCACGTAGATACGCGAACCTGCGCAACACGTCTGACCGTGGTTCCAGCTGGTGAAATATAAGTATAGTTTGTATGACAGCACGCTATACTCACAAGATACCGAATGCAGCCCAGTTGACAGCTTGTTCGATGTCTGCATCGTCAAAAATGATGTTTGGGCTCTTTCCACCGAGCTCGAGGGTGACGTTCTTGAGGTTGCTCTTTGCAGCAGCCTCCATGATCTTGCGACCAACAAGGGTTGAGCCAGTGAAGGCGACCTTCTCTATCTTCATATGCGAAGAGATGGCATTACCGACAGTGTTTCCGTAACCACAGAGGACATTGACTACTCCCGGTGGGAAGCCAGCCTCATTAATAAGGTGGCACATTCGGATAGGCAGTCAGGGGTGTGAATTCTGAGGGTTTTAGAACGATCGTGTTACCGCATGCGAAGAGCAGGACCAAGTTTCCAGGCCATCATGAGCACTGCAAAGCGAATAGTGAGTGCATGACACTTCAAGTGGCTGATGTGTACGCACATGGGAAATTCCACGGGATGATTTGACCCTATCACACGAGTATAAGAGAAGGATATGGGAGCTGAGATACATGTACTTACAACGACACCAATGGGCTCAGTGGCGAGTGTAGGTGAGCTTGTCCTCGGTAGTCTACCCAAGTGTCAGCGAATGAGCGAAGGTTGATTGTTGAAAGCTTCAGACCTCTTGTACTTGACCAGTAACCTTATCAGCCCAACCAGCATAGTAGCGAATACAATCGATGGCACCAGCGACATCAGCATTTCTTGCCCAGTTGAAAGTCTTGCCTGGCTGATCATATAATTGGTCAATGCTTCAGACGCCTACTGATTGGCTGGATACTGACCATTGTCCAATGCCTCTAGAAGCGGCAAGCTCATCAGCATTCTTCTCCATGAGGGCAACAAGTTTCGACATCAAAATGCTACGCTTAGCACCGGGCGCATGAAGACCCCAGGTGGTGTCAAAGGCTTTATGGGCAGCGTCGACGGCAAGGTCGACATCCTTGGGGGTACCCTCGGACACGGATGTTATCACTTTTCCATTTGCTGTGCACAGAGTTCAGATAAGACGGTGAATATCAACGTCAACAGAACGTACTCGGGTTAATGACACTAAAATCGTAGAGGTCAGTAAGAAGGTGCGATTAGCGACAGGGGTAGATCATACTCAATGGTGGTATTGTCTGATCCATCCAGGAACTGGCCGTTAATGAAAAGACCTGTGCTGAAGGAAACTTTTGCTTTGAAAGTGGGCGTATTGAACTCGTGAGCGAACGTGGAGGGCATGGTGACAATAGATCGATATTTCTTACTCGCTTGGGTAAGTTGTATTGTATTTAAATAGGAGCGGAGTGCCATTATAACATTACATAAACAGGGTCCCAAGAGTCACCTGAACTTTGTTTCCTCGTGATACAAATCATAATGATAGATCATTGGATATATCCGCCCCGCACGGGTGCCATCGTCGATTCATCCCTCACGCCAACGTGTGCAATGGTACAGCATTTGTGAGGCCTTCAGCATCTCCCATTTATGTTTGTTTGCCTTCTCTTTCGCCTCGCCATATCTTAGCCGTTAAGCTGCAAAGGGTCTTTTCAGTCTCTTGATCTCCGGCAAAACTATGGATTTGGTATCAATATTTCTCCGTGTTTCTGGCAAGTGACTTCCAGGGCTGCCAACAATGTCAGCGTCTAAATATCAGATTAGGCACTCGCAGCCCGTGACGGCGCGAATGTTTTGCTGTCTTTTGCCTTTTTCAACTTCTCAATGGTCGACTGGTCATCTTGGATTGAGGGTGGGAGGGTGAGACGTGTCGTTTTAATTTCATCAAGTCTTGGCGCCCCGTTAAGTGATGTTGACTTTCCAGATCTACCTTAATGTTTCACCTTGGTTCGCTATTCCCTTTTGAGTCAAAGTTGACATACATCTTTGGCCTGGATCATATAATAGGCCAAATCGTCCTCCCATCGCCGGCCTCCGAGGGATGAGATTCTCAAGATTTCCGACACGGCCGCAGCCTTTGAACGAGAGCAATTACGGTAGCTAGATAACTGCACGCTCAATAACGTCATCTTAGGATAACTTCATAACCTAGCTCAACACGAGATTGCCGGCGATGGCCTCCACCACGTCATACTGTGTTGTTGCGCGTTCATGATGGCGACCTCTGCTTCATTTCACGGCGTTGTTGTACCACAAACTTCAATGACACAATTGATTTCCTCTTCCCACCAATTCTCGAAGACCCTGAAAGCTGTCTTGGTCGTGCATTCATTTAACCCCTCTCAACGTCTATGTCGATGGTTTTTCAACTGACAAAATTCTAGACAAATTGCCGGATGATTTTCGCAAGTATCACAACTGATATCAATCACACATTTCACTGACGAAACTATGTAGGATCTTATTTTAGTCCAGACAGTCTGAAAGAAGCTGAGCAGATTCAATTGAGCACACCAGAACACATTCGACTACCGCGCGCGTGCGCGTCGTCGCGCTGCATTGTCGCTTCCTCAAAGTCAATACATTCGAAAGCCACTGCATCCCCCGCATTCCATTCAAACCGTTCGTTATGGACAGTGAATCGAAGACAGTTCCTCTGCGACCCACACATGCAACTACATTTAATGGATGTTAACGTTAAGGTTTGATGCTAGCACAGACCGTACTCGACCTCCGGACTGATCCCTTCGCTCACGGTCTATTGCGCACAGCGTTGTCGAGAGTGAGAGCGCGAAAAGACACTGTTATTTGTACACCCTGCTAATATAATATTTCCTGAGTGGTTACTGCCAACACTGTATTGTCGTAGAGCCGACCGAAGAGGAATCCTTGTTCAATGTATAATTGCCATACAAACAAACGTGCCTGCAATGGATGTGTCATTCTCTACAGTACATGGTGGCACTCATCACGAGGTCTCCCCCGAAATGTTGACCTTCTGGTCTATTGTTTCTATGCCCAATATTCTATCAGCCTCTGGTGTTCCTGCAAGAGGAACATCCTTCCGTAAAGAGACAGCGACCGGCGAGACACCTTCGTTGTAAGCCAATGCAAAGACGACATCCATATCTGCGAGAGATATTGAACCGACAATAGCAAAATACATCAGAAGTGCAGATTTACCTTCCAATGAACGACCTGCAGTCTCTGGGAAGAAGAAATAAACTACTGGTATGATGAAAGCGTTCAACGCAGCGAATACTGCTCAAACATTAGCCTCACACACGGCACGATATTTCATGACCTACCGATGTAAGTGCCCCATGATATGTTGTTGAAAGATGGACCTGTGACCATCACGACTACGAAATTAAATATCCAATTCGAAGCTGTGTAGTAACAAGATGTCAGTATCCAATATGAATGAAAAAAGAGACTAGATACATGTGCTCAGTGCATTGGCAGGCGCGCGAATTTCCAACCCGACGATTTCGGCAGGCTGATGCAGCCACATGTGAGTTTCGTGTAAATTACAGCAAGCAAGCAGCTCACGTATAGCCATGTCATGCCCAACCAGCCGATGGCAAAGAACGAGTTAAACACAAAAAGTAGCACAGCGCTCACTACTTGTGCCCCAGTGCCTCTTACACTGCCGAGAACGGCAAGTAATATCATAGTAATGCACTGGCCTACAGCGCCAAAAAGCATGAGCTTTCGTCGCCCGATACGGTCTATGATGAAGATAGCGATGATGGAGGCAAAGAAATACTCTGTTCCATTGGCAGCCGCGATGAGGACGTGAGGTAACATCCGACAAACCAAGGCGTTGAAATAGGATCGTCTACAGTGCCACAGACATAAGGGACCAGCGAATTCAGAAAGGGAGGTAAAACTTGCAGCATAGCTACAATGTAAACCGCCCATCAGACCATGAATTTATGTTAAAGGTAGATACTCAACTATGTAATCAGGTTGATGCCCGTAATTTGTTGAAAGCACTGGTTTATCACTCCTAGAGAAGCTCTCCGGAAATGTTGGCTCCGGCCGCCTACGAAAAGTTTTCTCAAAGACGAGCGCTTGAGGTTCTGTGGACGCATGTTTGCCTCCGAGGCTGCTGGAGGTCCCAAAATCTTCGATAGCAACTGCTTCCCGGATAGCATGATAGGTACGTTGAACTTCAGCATCGTCTGGGGATTTGTTCTCGAGCGCCGATATAACTGCTATTGCCTCTGCGTTCCGGTTTTGCTTTACAAGCCTAATCACTGTTATCAGAAGCGTGCCAAATAAACGAATTGACATAAACACCATCTTGGTGATTCAGGAAGCTGAAGAATCCAGTCAGATAAGAGAGTGAGAGTAACTATATGGTTGACCCACGAAGCCGATTCCAAAGACCATGGCCAGAGCCAAAACTATCTGGAGCGCAATGGGGACTCTCCACTGAGCAGAAGATTCACTCGCCCAATAACTATGTGCTTGTGAGTTGGGTGGCAGGTAAGGAAAAAAGTTAACGTACAGGCCAAAATCTATCCACTTAATGCGTGCCGTCAATTATCCCGAGGTGTCAGATTGACGGGGTTTACTTACATACCTGGCAGAAACATGACTTTAGGATACTGGCATAGCGTGGCTACTCACGAGATCATGACACCAAAGGTGATGAGAGACCCTTCAATGAATATCAACGCGCCGCGTTTTGCTGCAGACGAGAGCTCTGCATGATAGCTAGGAACTGTAGAAGTCTGTCGAGCAATGCAAGGTTCAGATGAAGGAACAAACTAGAGACGGAGGGTACTGACATTCAAGCCATTTCCAATGCCGGTGATTATCCGAGCGACCACTAATTGAGCATAGCTGTAGCTGGTCGTTTGGAGAATAGCACCAATAATCATGATACATCCACCCAATGCAATTGTTCGGCGTCTTCCTAAACGATCTCCTACCCAAAGATTAGATAAAGCCCCCATGAGGCATCCAATTTCCTGTGTATGCAGACATGTTGAGAACAATTTGACAACTGTGGTTGTTGCTCACATATATAGCGACAACAAAGCTTTGCAGAGTAGCGTTGTTAGGGTGACTGCTATCCACTACAACCTGGGGGAAGACCTTCTCAAACTGAGATTGATTAACAACTTCACATCACTTTCGAAGGTTACGATTTAATGACAAGCATACCTGTCCAGCGGTCAGCAATGCAGACATAACTCCTTGGTCATAGCTGTATGCCGACAACACAGTTTGCTCAGCAGGTTGTCCAGAAAACAGGTAGTGTCTGTACAAACCCGAACAACGTAAATCCAGTGCCAGCAACGAATGCGATCGAAATGGTTAATTTACGCCCACGGAGGCGAAGGGCATGTGAAGCAACTTCGGCATCAAAACCAGTCTCTTCGTAGTGCTTCTTCTCTTCTCCTTCGAAGGTGTTTGAGACTGGCCCGGGAGGGCAGTCTGGCGTAGTCATAGTAATAGATACTAGGCGCCTCAAGGTTGAAAGTAGAAACAACGGGCATCACGATGAGATCAGTCCTAATTTATAGGTTTAATATGGGATACCACAGATAGAAGTGGAGTATAAGCTACCTTGTGACCGTCCAGTGATCTTGAGAACGTGACCACGGATAATGGATGAGGCTTATCGTCGAGGGAATCGAAGGCGGTGTTGGAGGGTCATCAGCACAATTCCTACTCGACATTCGCGAGTCGAGTGATGAGTGTCCTGTTAGTAGTTACCCTTCCGAAGTACTTCGGCTCCCAAACCTTGATAAGAACAAGTTGTACAACATATAAGAATCTATTACATAATGACAAGACCTCGGACTTACCCGAGTAGTAAGAACAGCGTCAAAAACCTCATGACCACAAACAGGACAACTTTCTGGCGCTCGCCAATGGCAACGACGATTCGTCTACACGAAAAGCGCTACCTAAACCTCAACCTACAGCTCGGGTTATTCATTACCCATCTCAAGAGGGGTGCAATTTTAAAACTTCTGACATCATCCTGGCAAAACTTCGAGCCCCCCCCCCACCCCCTGTCACAGCGTGATTGTCACGGTAATATGACCATATTAGGTAGCTTAGTCAGTTCATTTGGCACAATTACAAGGTGAGGTAAAGCACGCAACAAACCTGTAACCTAGACGTACAATCGTAGACTTGTGTGTGTGAATGATAGCAATGATAGTGTGAATCAAGAGAGCATTGAATACAAGTGAAAAGAGCAACAAAAGAGCATAGTAAATGATGTATGACTTGGAAAGTAAAGTACTAACACAATCAATCAATGGATCAATAGAAACGGAACGAAGGAGACTATGCAATTAAAGTGTGTGAAAACTGAAGTGGTTGGACAGAGGTACGAGGTCGTTTCGAGGGTAGGGATGCAGCCGATTCGAGAGCAGGATGTTTTCTGGTGCGGGAGCCAGACACTGGGACATTCTCCTTGTCACCCTCCTGTCCCACCTGCCAATGCTCTTTTGGAATTTGAGCAGCAGTCTGTTCAAGATCAGTCAGCCTCATACTCTCCCAGACCTCTGCTGGTAAAGGGGCGCCAGCCTCCCTATGACCAGGCACGGAGTACTCCTGGTGCTGACTGAGAACATGCTCTACCATGTTGTATCTCCAGACGGCATCAACGAAGGTGGGGATGATCTTGCAGGACGACTTTCCGGGTTCAGGAGGGAGTACCAGGGTGGCAAAGCGTGCATCTGATGGGCACATTCCTGCAAGGTGTGTTCTTCGATCCTTTGTCGGCAAATTTGTACTTGAAGACGAAGTGATAGATACACTTCAGTCTCCAAAGATGGTGGGCCGTTTGCGAAGACTTTGATCCTGATCGCGCACTCTGGAAGTCCTGATCGGCCACAAAATCCACAAGGAAGCACCTTCCCAACCTTACATAGACGTAGAATAAATTAATCTAAACAGACATCAAATGAAAACAAAAACATACCTGCTCCTTCAAGCTCTCAGGCACGTTGCTTAATGTATGCAGGATGTGTTGACTGATGTGAGAGCACATGTCAGTGACCTTGGACTCGCAGAGAGGGCATATAGTGATCCGCTCACCTTCGGACGCTGCAAGCAGATTGCATGCTTCAACGGAGATGACACCGGATGTTCCTAAGAAGTCTTCTCAACGAACGACAAATTAATATAAGAAAAGATGTACCATCAGGAAGCTGGTAAGGAAATGATTTGTCGTCCGAAGGGCTCACACAAGCAATGGACTTGAGAGGTACCTTTGCTTTGACAACCTTCGTCCACAAGAGCTCGCACGCGGCTAGAAGAGCAGCATGCAAAACTTGCCATGTACTCTGACCCCCTTTAATCTCCAAAAAATTGTCACTATTGACATCATCCCTGAAGTCGAATGAAAGTAGGTTCTGGATTTATGGGCTCGACAAGGAAGCCGGGGATGCTGACGATAACCACACGCTCTGTGGAATCTGATGTCCCCGGAATGACAGATCGAGCCTTCACATAGCCTCCAGTTCCAAAGGAAGAAGAGTGGGTCTTGTGAATCAGGGTGATGGATGAGAGGGAATGATGGTGAGAAGTTGCCCAGTAATTTTGGCAGTAGTATGTGAAGCCTTCATTATTGTAGTGTTGATCGAGGAGCGAGAGACATCATTGACAATCACTGCAGTCGAACAAAGTAAGGTGATGGAAACAGTATGAGCAGAATGAAGGATGGTAAGAAAAATATCGCCAACGAGGAACAGATTTTGATTGGTGATGCGCCCCGCACTCATGTTGATCCTCTTGTTCACTTTAGTGAAGCCGCAAACACATTCAAGTCGGTTGGAAGATTTTGATATGAAGTCCTTGTTGATGACGAGTCAGCAGATAGTTTGCTTATGGATCCAGCGACCTTTGTAGAGCAAGTAGTCATTGGCGCGGATACCAGCACCTTGAAGTGCAGATGGAACTGTCGGAAGAGGATGTGGTTGGGTGGGAGGTATGTCCGAGATGGACTGCGCAATCAGCTCCTCTTCGAACGTCAACATAAGTTCTTCATCATCCTCATCAGTGGCCATATGCACTCCCTGAATATCACCCGCTTCAGATATCACCGTCTCTATGACATGCGATGGCAAGGTGGCAGGCACCACAGGTGGGAGGTTTGGCACTCGACTGGAGTCATCGAGCTCCTCTTCTGCAATGCCAAAGTACTTATTCTTACCTAGAGGACATAGGATATTCGTTCCGGGATCACGGAACAGGTCGGCGAAGGAGTAATTGATGGGACCGATCTGTGAAGTAGTGAGAATAGATAGTGCGATCTCACGCCCTTGTCGCCAGGCTGATGGAAGATCACAGTGACCGGAGATAATATCCCCCCTCCACATCATCCGATTGATGTGGTCAACATCCTCGATCCGCTTGCCCAGGCTGAGGCGCCGATGACCAGGATCGAGTTCAGGGTGCCGATTGAATACGCCATCGATGTCCTTAGCAGTGCCTAGACGGTCAAGGGCCTGGGAGTATGAGCATCCGGAGTTGTGACCACCGATCATGCGGGACCGACCAAACATGAGTTCAAGCCGATTGTCTCCGCAATCGCCAAGGAAGAATGATTTGTACGGATCAAGAAGTTGCTGCTTTGTGATATTGAATATGACATTCTTGACACATGTTTGAGTGTCGTAGTAGAGTTGGAAAGGCATGAATAGACGGCGGTGAACACGGAAAATGGAGAATGCAAGGTGAGCATAGCAGCTAAGGGACTGAACTTGTTCTGTGAGGGAGAGCTTCGTATTGATGAAAGGGACAAGAATGGACTCAATCAAATTGCTGAGGAGAGTGATTGAAACTAAGTTTGCGCGTGTGTTGACATCAGTTGAAAATGAGTCGTTGAGGATGGAGTACTGAGACTTAGAGAACTCAACTATAGCCTGCATTAACTCAATGGCCCGGGGGACGTCTTGTGGATCATCAGGATGGAGGAGTTTCATAACGCTGGCTTCATTGTATGCGGGCAACCAGACAAGGTACCTTGAGAGCATCATGCTATTGATTACGCGACTGTTATTGAGTACAATTCTGGCAGCGGAACGGATGAGCGTGCAGAAGCCTACAGGTAGTATTAGACTGGACTAGGATTGTATCAGAGAATGAAGAACTTACGTTTGAAAATGTGCTTGAAGTCAAAATCAAGCATCACCTCGGCATCACCTGTCATGGTGTTCAGGCCAGGCATGTTGTTAAGTATACCATATAACGGTGACTCTGGCAACAACGGTTTCTTGAGAAAAAGTTTGTGCCCCGCTGCACGACGCGTAGCATCACCATTGGTCGCAAAGGACCACACCGGTCCAACAGATGCAGCGGCTCCGGTTACGTTCCACCGTTCAATTGCAAGAGTGAGTGTGATCTCCATATCTCCAGCATTCTCCGTCTTGCAAGTGGGCGCCGCTAAAACAGGATAAAGCTCGTCTTCTCCGAAGCACGCGACTCCAATAACCGTAAGCTCCTTCCCAAAGTGGACTTCGCCGTCTGTGAATTTTCTGTGCGATTGTGACGGCAGATTCGTACGTGCGAAGGACAGGGTCGATGAGGTGGGAATGCTTCCAGCAAAGGCCAGCAATCTTGTTATACTTGCTGAAGTGGACAGCCATTTCTTCCAGAGCTATTTCATCCACCATGAGACTCACACTGCGTAGGGTTGTGATGTCAGCACTGAGAGCTGAGAACTACTGAGTGAATATTTTCATCAAGCTATTCATTGCGAATAGGGCCAATAGTGGGAGTGAGTGTGGTAAAGGTGGACCTGGTGCGAAGAGTGCGAATGGAGGGAAGACCGAGGCTTTGATTGAGTGCAAAGAGAAGTTGTCGACCACCGAGACGAAAAACTAATGTCGCTATGTCTAAGTTACTGGCTCCATACCCTCGTGGACGGTATGCACCCTCGAGGGCATCTTCGAGCTTATTAACTATCTCCCGGACACTGGCGCCATTGCGCAATGCAACATTGATTATTTGCCGGAGCCGAGGGACGTCTTGCTCAGAGGTGGCCATGAGAAGATGATGGTAGTCGTCGAGTTGGGTCAGCATGCTCATGTGCTGACGCGATTCATTTAGTCCCTAGATATAGCTAGTTATCACACGTATTAAGTACATAAAAAAAACTCACCTGTAGCTTCAACTGCCTCGTTTGATCGGCATACCCTTTAGCGAGGTCTTGCATGTGTGCAAGGCCCAAAAAGCGGTGATTAGTGTGCGGTTTGGGGTCACGCGCAGCCTCCACAAGTTGAGAGACATGCTGGGAGATGTCGGCGCATTCATCACATGGCACACCCTCGGGTAGAGTCGATAACCTGCAGCGCTTTGACTGAACGCAAGGCTTGCTTGGATGTGTGATGTCGACGAGGAAAGGTAGTGAGTCCGGACCGTTGTGGTATCGTTCCCAAGGTAAAAGCATTGCGAATGGGCGAAGGTTGTCTGGCCAGACAACAGCAAGACCAGCGCAATCACGACCAGAAGGAGGAGCACTGAAAACAAACAATCAGTGCGTGTGATAAGGTGGAACCAAAAATAAATACCTTGTGTCGTGTGAGGTAACTGGGGAACGTGTTGCCGGTATATTAAACACGTTGGTGTCTTTCTCAGGCGGGCGCAGCTGTTTTTGAGCCACCTTCTGATGACACTTCTGACTTCCTCGATGATTGCTGAGGGATACGAACTGACCGGATATCCATAAGTCGATGCCAGAGTGTATGCCAGTTTGACACCACTCTGCGCAGTCTGGACACAAAAGATCCCACCACTTCGAGGGATTGATTCGGACTTGGATCTTGTCCTTGCGAAATAGCTGATAGAGCGCGTCGGGGGTATTTAATATAAGGAGTTCGTCGTCGTCGTATTCCGTTTCCGGTTCTGATTCAGGGTCGTCCGAGTCTGAACAAACGAAGTCATCAGGGGTTATTGCTAACTCATAAGCGTCTGGCAGATCTTCTGGTGCGACTACCGACTCTAGGAAGGCGTCCAAGGGGTACACAGGCCCAAATGAATCGGTAGAGTCGATAGAAATGGAACGACGTGAACGTCGTAAGTCTAAGTCCGTCTGACGTGAACTGGAACTCGTATCTGAGTCCCAGTCACTACAATCATCGGAAACGTCATAATCTGAGGACCCGAAGGTATGCATGTGCCATTGTAACGAGCCCATAGTAGAATTTATGCTAAAGAGTGTGAGTACGAGACGTTGACGAGACGCGTATAACGCGCATATATTGACATGACGCGCTTTGATCACGTGTTTGAAAAAGTTACATCCAACATTTGTGTTTTGGCGAGTGGCGCACTTGCACGCGCGTTTTTTATCAAGTTAACTACCTGGTTGTGTTCTATGGTAAGGAACCCCCCCCCCCTCCCAGTAGCAAACCAAAAAAACTATTCACCTGTGAGACCGCTAGATCAAAACTCAAATCGTATGTCTCGAAAGTTCAAGTGGCGGTATATTAAGATTTGAAAGCTTATGTAAAGCTAAGCCACATATCCGGGATTTGCCATTTGCACCCCTCTTGACCCATCTCTTTGCTTGTCCAGAATCCCACATCCGTGCTCAGTTAAATCCTAAGTCAAGTTTCATCAGTGCATACGCCCTCCACCGCACCTAACTCCACTCGTCCGTCACTTTCGCGGCCCCCGTTCCTTCCTCGCTGCTGATGATTGAAGGTACGCATTTGGCGCCCACGCCCTCTCATGGTTACCATCGTGTTCTCTACCAAAGCCCGCCTTCCCTCTGTCAAATTCATCTTACATTATCCCGCCGATAACTCCCGTCAAGCTGTCATCACCGAGTTATTTCGATGTTCTCCCCCAGGTATAGAGGGTTGTACTACTCGTATAATCGCCAGGTATTCCAAAATACGAGCCTGCGCCGGCACCACCTCCATCAGCCATCGTCATCCTCGCACTCGCGAACACCAACGATGAATTGAACGTGTTGTCCGTTTCAGGATCCTTCGTTGAAGTTGGACGAACTTTTAAAAAAAATAGAGACATGTCTCCTTTTTGGTCCCGCTGATTATAATACCTTGGTCGATCGAAATACCCTTAGGGCGCTCTGCCTGCCTGGACACTCCAGTGGCCGCTGTCAAACAGCAATAGGTCATTGTGTCTGCCCGTATGTCACGGCCGGTTTGTGCACAATGAATACTTGTTGTGATTATGATCTTGTATTACTACAAAACTGTACAACGTACCACAAAATGAGTTGCAAGCTGAGGGAGGCCTGTCGGAAGCAGCAAACTCCTGAGCCCCCTGCCATTCAGGGTGTATTCCGCCCGAACAGCGCGCGACCCTGTTATTTGTCCAGCTCCACCAGTAAATAGAAGCGGTAAAACAATAAAATCTGGTCTATCGATATGAAAGTAGTTGTAACTTCTTTCTCTAGCAGTTGCTATCTGGAATCGGTACCTCTGCCACGAGCCTCTGACCTTCTGCTCGCAATTGTCATTGGCAGAATGGCAGCATTCTGCCAACAACACTACAGCCTCAGCCTGTCCTGAGGTGCCTGATACCTATTAAGTACTATTACTCACGTAATTGAAGGTCTTAATTCATTAGGCGCAACCACGCAAATATTCCCAACATGATGCGTGTCTACTTGTCATGAAATTCGGACTTATCCATGTAATCAGCTGCTTTTCCCCAGCTGTCTCCTACTAATTACTATCCTGTTGGTTCAAGTTATTGTTATCTCCGTCATGGGCAGTCGGCCAGTTGATCTCGGACTCCCGGTGTTTTCCCGCCAGTCAGTGGCACTGACCAAATTTGGGGTCGTGTCATCCGACACTCCGCAGACAAATTATGGCTCGAACGAACTCGCCTCGATGGAATGATGTTAGGAGGTGTGTCCTATGGTGCGTTTTCGGTCGACATACGACATTTCAGGAATTGATATGCTATGTACTAGGCATATTCACTCTCCTTACAGTACAAGCCGCGACTGCTCTGATGCAACGGCCTCGATATGGTGGAAAAATCGCAAATAATCGACTCGTGCTTCTTTTCTATATTTTTATCACGTTCGCACTGGGGACAATAGGCTGTGCTGCGAATGCGAGATATACAGAGATGATTTGGATAGACCTTCGCGATGCACCTGGTGGTTCGCTCGCGCTAATAGAGAGCTCAATGGATTATCGTATCAACGTTATGGCACTTTCCGTGTAAGCTCCTTGCCCATCCACTTTCAGGCCTCTAATATTAACATCTGGTCTAGTTATTTCATCATGGGGTGGTGTATGCAAGCTCTGCTTGTGAGCTGGATAGTTCCTATATGAATTGGTGCAAACCTGACGCTTGAAATACTAAGCTCCATCGATGTTTTGTGATATGGTGTCGGGCAAAATCGGTGATGGTCCCAATGATCGCTTTTTACATTGCTATGCTTGGTACAGTACACCATTTACTAAGCAAGAGTCATCACTGACGTCTTGAGCAGCAGTGTCTATTCTCATCATGATCCAGATAAGCACCGGAGCCAAAATTTTCAAGATCAACACCATACTTCTCTTCCTCTGCATGGAAGTAGGTTTCACTTTGTTTTATACGATTCTCGTGACGAGTCGTCTACTCGTCATGCGAAGCCAGATGAAGCAGGCGGTGGCCCAATATCCCATGGCTCAATATAATTCTAGCACCTATGATACCGTCGTCATCATGCTCATCGAGTCCGCCATGTTATACTCTGTCTTCTGCGTGGTTCTTATAGTCTCTGTTGCGTCACATTCTGACGGCGTCTTCAATCTATGCTACTTGTCCATTACCAATATTCAGGTAAGTAAACAAAACCCTGTGTCGACTAACGTCTCTGATGCTAACTTGAACATGTTGAATCTAGGGCATTGCCCAATTGCTCATCATCATCCGTGTAGCACGTGGGCGGGCAACTACACGCGACTGGTCGACCCGCGTTACTGCAGCACCTGCAGTACCTACGTCTATAATATTCTCAAGAACTATATCGGATATGACAGATGGAGCCAACATGGAGCGAATAGCTACTCCAGAGCAGGATGGAGTTCCATTGTATTCTATTCGATCGCCGAAGGCAGCCGAAGTGGTGGTATGACTGCGACTTGGTTCAAAGCTGGTTTACTTATGTATTGTACTTCGACTTCATTTATACCTGCTACTCATAGCTTATAGCCTAATAGCCTATTAAAAGTCCTTGCAATTACAGCAAGAATCGCCCGTCACTATATGGATGACTCGTTTTCGGCTCAGGACAGAATTTCAAATCACCCACGTTAATCAATATTTGCGTCCCAATTGAAGCTTTCAAAGCTGACTTGGCGGAGTCTCTCCTCACTATCAGTGCATTACTGCTACTGTTGACTGGCTCACTTGTCGTGCACACGCCTACCTTGAACTCTTGTATCCTTTCTTGTACCACCGCCATCACAACTAACAGTCATCTCAGCAAAATCTCGCTCTTTCTACTACACCACAGCCGCAGAACTCCTGGGCAAACACAGATTTTCCTCGTCAAATGATGTGAGTTCGTTGCTTTGGTTATGTCATACTCTGTAATACTAAAGATGAATACATTCCAAACAGAGCGCATATAATCACTCATTCAACTCAATGCTCTTGTAACTGGCTCAAAATGGACCACTAATGGGTCTCGTGCCACACCAGTGCATTTTTTTTTCAGTACTGCTACCCTGGTTCACTGATCTGTTGTCGGCCTAGGTTTTGGATGTTGTTTTCCGCCAATGACTCGGAACTTCGCGATATCATGAGGACTCTCTGTTCGGTATGGTTCGGGTGCCAATGACTGCCATGAACGCCAACCCAGAACAACAGGTGCGTGTAATGCTCTGTTTTATCTTCTGACAACCCAAATATTTTCCTTCAGAAGTTCTGTGGCCATCACTGGTGAAAGGGCTGATGCCAAACAGCTCCTTACCAGAGTTCAAGGCATACTGAAACTCGCTCAAAAAGATTTTAATTTTTTCTATCTTGTGTTTTATTCTTATTATAATACTTACTACTACAGAACTACGATATCGAGGCTTCGAATCTGGTGAGCACTGATCCTATTCCTATCGTACACTCATTTGTGTATTCTGTCTAGGTTTTCGACTTCGCGTGGACGGCAAATACGGTCGAAGTCCTCACGAAGTTCTCCAGCGGCACGTTACATTAGCTGGGAACCGGGGTAGGACAGTCCTGGACGGAGAAGCTGGCGCGAATGAGCACAAGTTGTTTTTATTGGGATGTTTCGTATTGTGTGCTATGTTGCAATGCATCGATTTCCGCATACATATTTGCATCGAAGCCGGTAAGATATCAAAGGCACACACAGTTATATTCAGATCTACTCAATTCACCAGTAGTCAAAGCATACACCAGCGTCGATGCGCATCGTTTTCGCAGCTACGGAAAACGCAGATCCCGACGCATATCTAGTATCTACGCAATATGAAGTGCCATAGTCACACTACGGGGACAATAATGACCTTTATGCTCTTATATTCCGTTTATCTCTCTCGCATGTCCCTGTGTGGCAACGACCTTAAAATTACACCGAAAGGCCCTGCTTGCTCTTCATTCCTTCTCTTGTACTTCCGGCCAATTCGAGCCAGATCTCTACGCTTCCTCTTCATACCACTCTTGTCAACCGCAAAGGCAAGTAGACGAACAACTACATAGAGCACCGCAGTACTTTCGATCGCTGTCCAGAAGCCCTGTTCATGGGAAGAGACAAGCAAATGGGGGACCACAGAAAGAAGCATCAGATAGTCGGTGGATATAGCGTCGATGGATGTGACGAGCGGTGAGGATGCAGATTGCGGAGAGATTAGCACCAAAAGGACACCCAATGCACAGGCTATTGTGCCGATCGTCACTGTGCCCGCCCGCTCCCTATCACAAAAGCATCCAATGACCCCAGCGGATGCCACAAGTTGTACCGAAGGCCAGCCTGAGGTCTGTCGCATCAAACCATGCGTTGTATCGGGTGGGGCAGAAAACAAGCTGAAGATGAAACAGGTGTGATGTGATGAAATGAATCCTAGAATAATGAACACGGCTCCGAGGAATATGCTCCATGTTTTCGGAGCGCTAGGTTGCAGATTGTCCTGATCCAGAGTGTCGACTCTCACCGCATCGCGAAGTAATACAATGTTTGTAAAACCTGGTTCGCGTTTGACAAATTCGGGCACCAGACTTCCCTTCTGTATGGAAGTGGACGTGGGGTGGAATGTTTGGAATAATAAGTGATGTGAAATGGTCTGGCGCAGCTGACGAATACAGAAGCAAAGATTCCCGACGCCGGTGGATTGTGTTTGGCTAGTGAAGCAGATACGTTCCGCGTCAGCGAGGTGTAGCAACACTCTTTCCAGCGTGTGTCGAATGAGTTTTTCGGGGATGCTATCGGCGTTGAGGCCTGGGATAATCAGTTCAGAGTAATACGCCCTGGCCCAAATTTCCTCCGTAGTAAACAGTGCGCCCAGGTTGGCGCTCCCAGTGGCCCAAAGGCAGTATATCATCCCTAAAAGCTGACGAGGATACGACTTTCGCGTCGGCAACAATTCTCTGATCGCTCGGGTGAGCTGCTCCAATCCGCAAATCATAGTTGCTAACTTGGCAGTCGGGGAGGCCGAATCAGCAAGATACTCGGAGAACGGGAGGATTTGGACCGAAACCAATACAGGCAGGAGGTTTTCCAGTTGGTCCAGGTAGTGCAAGATGAGACCTTCGAATGAGGGAGAACTTGGATAGTGGCTTGTTGTTTTCTGATTCATCAGATGCAGATGTAGATAGAAGATCGTGTTCCTATTAAGAGCAACCTATTTCAATTTCACCGTGAAGATGGCCTGAGCTAACTTACCTAAACGCATACGCACTCAAATGTCCGGTTTGCAGCTCCGATAGTGCATTTTGCCTGAGCTCCAATTGCTCTTTCATACGAGGAAAAACGACATTGCGCCATCGTGAAATTTCGAGGCGGAGAGACGGCGCCAAAGTCTCTTCATCTAGCGACCCGTAATCCTCCATAATACTAGAATGCTCCCTGAACCATTCCCCATCTTCTTTTAGGGAGTCCCACTGCCGGTCCATCCAGCTTCGTTCAAGCGCCAGCGAGTCGCAAATCGAAAACGCGGAATCTCGCCAAAGCTGCGCTTGGAGTCTTTCACAATCGCTTTCCTGTCGAGATGTATTGGGCCGAACATCTCTAGTTGAAGTATCACTGAGACTTCGGCGACAAAAATCAGCAGCGTACTGATATCGGTGGATAAATCGGTTAAAATCTTGATGCCGAAGCCCGTTGCAGCAAAGCTCGAGCAGGGATTCCGGACCTGTCTCTCTAACAGCGTTGTGTAGCGATACTAGCGCCTCCTGTGTGGCTAGGCTAATATCACCTGTACTGTATCTCTCATTGCCACCAGAGACGAGAAAATACTCGGAAAGTGTACTATGGACTGGGACCAAATGTTGTACTCCTGTGGAAGTCACTCGAACATCGAATAGAATGCCTGCAACGTTCCGTGCGAGACCAATAGCAAGATCGTCTGTTTCCGGGTTAAGTTCCAGCCTTTGGATTGAAGGACATGACTGCAACGCCTGCAGGAAAATTAATGGAGTGACGGGACTTGGAGAAAACGTGAGGAGCTGCAAAAGGATCTCCAGGACACGTTCAAGTTGCGTCTGGTCAGAGTCGGAGAATCGCTGAAGCTGGACAGCTAGATAGTACTTGTACATTCCGAAGATGCCTGACGGAGTGTCGTTCAGGAACTGGAACCGTCTCTCTCGATTGTACAGACGAGGATAGTGTGACATGTTCTTCACTAAGAATATGTACTGGAACATATTCTCGGATCGCCTGACGAGATTTTGGACGAGATGAGGCTCATCAGGATCATCTGACCCTATGTAAATTTGAACGACATGATGCGCATATGCCTCAAGATCGGATTGTGTAGTGCCGTCACTTCCCAGAGCTATCGTGGGCAGCCCAGCGAGCAAACTGGTTACATACGGATGTGGGCATCCAATAAGAAGGATACGCGCACGCGCAGTCATGTTCAGTATCCATGGGATCAATCCGTCCTGCTGAAATGCGCGTTTTCCGCAATGATCTACGGCGTCAATGATGATACTTCAAAGACGAAGTAAGCAAGAGTAAGCAATAATGGCAGACAGTATGCGCACCTAACCGTGTCGAATGATTCCAGTAAATTTGCAACCCGTGTCCGCAGCCCCGGCTCTGAAAGCATGCCTTGTCCAGAGGCCAGCACATACTTCAGCACCTCGCTAAGACCTACCGTGCTGTGGTGGCATGCCGACACAATTTGCCGCAATAAAGTCATTAGGATGGCTTTCGATGAAGCCTCTTGTTGTGCATTGGAATACTGATCCGCTGCGGGATCCGCTCCACAGAAATAGTAAAGCAACGCTCCGCGGTGACCAGCATCCTTCTTCTTCTTCTGAGCTATGTCAATCATATGAGCTGCCAAGACGGATTTTCCTGTGCCTGGCTTCCCCGAAATAAACAACTTCGGAGACGTTTCCGTCGATAGCCAATCTACAATGGATGGGTGGGATTTGCTCCAGGCGCAGGGATTTTCAATGCACCGTGATTTATTCAGATACAGGTCAAGGTGATCTTCGTAATTTGTGCAATGAAGGACGCGTTTCACATTTTCTATTCGGTCCGCTATCAAAGATGGAAGGAAGAGAAATGTCAATCATTATTGGGGATACCCGAAGGAATAATTCCACTCACAAATATACTTTTGTTGCTCATCCTCCGCATAAGCGACGAAAGTTCCGTAGTGTGCCGAATTAAGGGCCGTTCGCATCTCTTCTCTTGCAGCCCGAAGCTTGCCTGGTATATTCTGAGATCCGGCAATCCTCTTGACTACCCAAGTCTTTGCTTAGGCGCACGTTTGCATATGAAACTGAGAACATACACTTTGTTATAACTGACTCGTGTTTCTCTAGGTCCGGGGTTCAATAAAGCCTCGATAGGATGGTGACATCCAAGTACGCACCGCCTACATAGCCCCTCAGAATTTGCATGAAGGCGACAAACACTTTGAAAGCCGAGATGATTGCGCGACGTTCTTCGTCGGAAAAGTTCGTCATCCGCTCGGATCGGATGATTAGGGGGAGACCATCCAAGACTACGTTTAAACCGTAAATAACCTCTGTGATACCATAGTCAGTCATGCACTCGTGGTCCATGCGGATTAACAGAGATGTTACCGTCTAGGATCTCCGCTTTGGCAGCAGCTATCTGTGGACGTGGCGTCTACATGCAGAGGTGCAATCGAGGGATCTACTCACTGTGACGATACACATCAGACCGCCATACAAGGAAGCTGCAATCGGACTCATGTTGGAGAGAGGCTGCAAGAATCTGTCGCAACTGTCCAAGAACGCCTTGGCTTTTGCCATAAATTTATCTCTTTTTTTGAGGCGAAGTCTGAGTTCAGAGTCCTCTGGAAGCTTCAAATCTTCCAAGTCGGTTCCGCGCAGCCGGGAGCTGGCCAGGTCATTGGCCAACTTTGTGAATTCAGTGCGTAATTGAGAGAGATCTGCCTGGTCCATTCTAACGACCCAGGAGAGGACAAGAAGGAGGATTGTGTAGCAGTTAGCAGGAGCTGGCACGTTCCTTTACTATATCAATTATAGTATGTCCATGACTCACGTAAAGGATAAGGTATATACAGTATGGCCATTGCCACTGGCATGTGAGCTATGCGTTGTTCCTTAGATTCGTCCTGAAAGAGCATTCACAAAGCAAACTATCCCAAGTGTAGACTATTAGTAGACTTGCCGCAAGATGTGATGATCTTGATCGGAGTCAGAAGATGCACAGCATTAAATGATAATATACCTGTGCAAGAACTTTAAGCAGGTAAGAAAATAGGGTGCTCCCTGAACCTAGGGTCCATGTTGACAATTTCAGCAGAAAGAAGCATGCAGCGTGCAATGAGAGGAAGCAAGAAAGAGAGAACTTCGCAGCTGGCCCGGAGCAGATGCGGCGGAAGTGTCCGAACCGAGAATGTGGGGCATCTCCGAGTAAGCACAGCGACGTCGGAGTAAGGGACTGACTTGTTAATCGCACAGCAGTGTCAAATAATCACATTTAACCTGTGTTAATCCCACAGCACGGTGCCAAACAATCACATTTAACCTGTGTTAATCCCACAGCACGGTGTCAAATAATCACATATGTTAACCTGTGATCTAGCAGTGGAAATTTTACTTCCGCGTAGCGTGAAATAATCTCTGCCGGAGCAGAATGATTAGATGGTCCTCTTATTTTATAAAACAATCGGACGCATGGTAACAAAAACGTCTCACTGGCAGACCAACCTGGGTTAACATAAGTCGTATTAATGGCCTCGCGCTCGACACGAGTCACATCACCTAGCGTGTCGAAAGAGAGTTTTTGACCATGGCTATACTCATCCTTGGACAAGCCCTGACAAGCCTCGGTACTAGTAACAACACACATCAAATCAGGGCACTGCCCGATTGCTCGACATCATTTGTGTGGCTCGAGGACGGACAGTTATACATGAGTGGTCGACCTGCGATGCTGCACCGCCTCAGGCTGTGTCCATAGCATTCTCGGGAACTGTGTTGAACACAATCAACACTGAGCGGATAGCTACGCTAGAGCAGGGACAGTGTTCAGTTACATTCTCCATTGGTAAACACGGCAGAAGTAAATATTCCATAAAGGTATGTATGAAGTTGGTGTTACATAATTTGTAGTCTGTATACTATTACGTATGTACTACTGGATGAAATAATCTTCATTTGAGCTGCAGCCTGTTGAAGGTCTAGACCCCGGAGCAGGAGCGGACCGTTGGATATACACACTAATCTCGCAAATCATTTTCAAGTTTCAGTTCATCATCGCTACTAGTACGACGTCACGCAGAAGAACTCACTGGCATATCATGAGGCCGCATCAGTAAACGAGCCATGCCTCCGCTGCCTGCAGAGCCGAATTCCATTCTATATCAGGCCCCTTCTCCCAACACTGCACGCTCTCTACCTCATCCTTGCCCAGCTTAAACTCATTGTATAGATGTGGAAACATGCCCTCCCCTCCGCGCGGACCGCACACCTCTGCCTTTGGGTCCTCCCACTTGATGTTCTTCTCGACAGGGTCGTAAGGGATGCGGAGTACGTAGACTTTGACGTGATCTTTGTAGAAGAATTTGAGTGTATTGGGGACTTGGCGTGCGGTGGAGAGGTGGATGAAGCCCGATGTCTGGTCGAGGTCGCTCACGGGCAGCTGATCAGGCAGGGGATCAGGTGGGGCTGCTGCTGCTGAAATGAGCTTGTAAACGTAAGTTGGATTGGCATCTGATGGTGCGGCCATGGTGTTTGAGAGATTAGACTTGAGCTTGACTCGGTGCGAATTCAGATCGTGGTGACAATGCAAGCCTGAGCAGTTAATAATACCTTACTAACAAGTGTGGGAATAGGTGTTACTCAGCTGGGTCATGTACACTGGGCTATATCGAACAATATAACTAAGCCGGCAACTGATTTCTGGAACACCGATAACTAGATGCAAACTCCGAGCTTCAAAACTACTCCTTCTCCTCGTCGTTCGTCTCTACTTCCACAATCCTGGCGTGCCCCTCATTTACCGTTTCACAGAAAGCAATCGAAGGCAGGGTGTTTGTACCATCCAGAGCGGCCAATAGCTGCCTGTACTTCTGCAGTTGCAGTTCCGGACTCACCTTGGACTCCTCCATGATCTTGATGGTTTCTCTTACAGCCTGAAGAGCCGGGCGCCTCGCATTCAACCGGCAGTGGCACTCGGCAAGCAACTCTTTACAGCGCAGCTGAAAGTTCTTGCCGCAGTATTCTATCTGAAATTGCAGAATTTCAAGGATTGGGACGGCTGCGGAGTACTCTTCCGCCTCAACCAGCGAGTAGCACTGGTCGAGGGTGCCGCGGTCGCGATGATGGGTAAAGTCGGAGAACGCGAACTGGTAAATGGCTTTGGAATATAGATCGATGGCCTCCGCAGGTGGAAGAAGCTGGGCGAGGTGGTATTGGCAGAATGCGACGTCAAGATTCCGTCCCAGAAGCTCATAAAGTTCAATGGCTTTCTTCAGCAAATCGAGGAGTTGGGGCAGATGGGTGACCGCCTTGAGGAACGGTTCCCTCATTCCAAAGACCTTGATATATTCTACTATAGGTGTCATGTTCCTGGGGGCGCCTTGAATAATCGACCGAATGACGGAGTGGAATGCAATCTTATAGCATGTCGCCGCCATTTCGAAGTCCCTGAAGACCTGGAATTTTTGGGCCAAGTTGACCAACGACTGCCAGTGCACCGATGCTGCAGAATAGAAGTCGCACAGGATCAACCCGTATCCATCTTCCAAATCCTTGAAGAGAGTATGAGCGTCCGCGATCAGTAGATTTCGTTCTTTGGTGTCTTTCGACAATTGAGCAAGTGTCAGGAGATTGTGCGCATGGCCCCGCTTTCCGGTTTCGCTGCTCAGAGTTGACAAGCGCACGCGCGCGTACTCTGCCGCTTGTTTCCACTCTTCCTTAGGATTCAAGTCCTCGCGCCCACGAACAGCGGACTCTGTCCGGAGAACACGGCATTCCATCTCGCCTACAACACTAGCATCATCCTTGAAGGTGCTGAAGAGGGCCTCTGCTCTCGCAAGCAGCCCAGCACCCCCTAAAAATGCACTGTTGTATCGGGCTTCCCCCTCGGTTTGGAGGGCATAAGGAAGGAGATGCATTTTTTTCCTCTCTGCGACTTCCACAACCTTGGCCGCCAGTTTCAAAGAGGGTTTCACTGCACATCGCGGCTTCAAAAACAGCAAGGCAGCTTCGACGGCGATGGGGGAATCAACGTCGAGGAAGGTGAAGAGAATATTCTCAATATTGATCTTCTGTTCCGTGAACTGCTGAACAGTTTGACGGAAGTCGGGCGTCCCGGGACGAAGACTTCCCTTCTTTTCGATGAGCGCAATGAGCTGTTTAAGGAAGATATCTTGGGTTTGGTGATCCAATGTGGAAGTACGGGTAGCGTATTCTCGGAGGGGTCTCGATAGGACGAGAAGGTCACCAGGCTCGCTGTCGAAGTAGGCTAAGGCTGACATCTGTTGACAAGCCGAGGCGAATATATCCACAGGTAATCCGACCAGTGTCTGCAATTGGTTTTGTGATATGCCTCCGGGTAGCGAGGCAAGGAAACGTAATACATAGAGTGCATGGTGATCAAGCCTGTCCTCTGGCGGATATGCACGAATAGATTCTTCCAAAGATTTGACATCGTGATCAGTTCGCGTCCCCAAAAGATTGCTTTGTGGGTCGTCAACAATCTGGACCAAGTCCTTGAGCTGAAGCCGACTCCGGAATGCGAGATCGGCAAGGATCATGATGTATTTGGGTATCCCCCGAACACGTGCCAAGAGTTTGTCCAGCGCATCTCGCTGGAGGGGAACTGGGTAAACTGATTGGAAAAGGTATCGCGCCATCTCTAGAGAGAGAGGTTTCAGCTGCAAGAACCACTCTATCTCGCGGGGCGGAGCGGACGTCCAGCCAATGATAGTCAAAACAAGGACGAGTTTGTCAATGCTTGAGAGTGACTTGATGACCGCATCCGTGAATGATTTATCGAGGGCGTAAAGGTAGTCCAAATCATCAAGCACGATAACTCGACGTACGACAGCAAGCCGTCGGATCGCAGCGACTAGTGTCTCTAACTGGGCTTCGCACGTAGATGGGGAAAACTCGGTATGAGGAATACCCATCTTCCTGGCCAAAATTTCAAGGAAGTTTGATGTGTCGGTGAGGACGCGACAATCGATCCAGCAACGACGATGAAAGGTGGCGGAAACAGATGGGTCACGGACTGCTTGGAGGACGAGCACCGACTTTCCAATCCCGTGGCCACCTGTACAAGCAATACAGGAATGTGGCCGATTGCAATCATTAAGTTCTTCAATAATGGATGCCAATTGCTGCTGCCGAATATATGTTACCAACGATGTGTGCAGCTTTCTAGTCCATCGTAAGCAATGATACTGAAGGAACTCTCACAGACTCACGGAATGTCTGAGCCCTCGACAGTAGTGTAGGTGAATATACTCGGTATCAGGGAGAAGAACCGCGATGCCTGTGTTGTCAGTCAGTAACTCCGTTGGTTCAATACTAAGAAACCTGCTAACCATTGACATTTCAGACAAAGGAAAAAGCCAAGTTTGAATATCAGGAAGTCTGTTGTACTGGCGGGTCGTCAGTCCAGTGGGGCCACAAGCATATATATAGTGCCGGGCAGAGCAATTGTGCCCACACAGCCGGCAGAAAGGGCAGAACCGCCACTTCTGTCACTTGGCAAACCCATCAAAGTGCTAAAGGGCTGTGCGTACGACAGCATACCACTAGGAATTAGTAGGAAACAAACTTAGCACTGGCAGCAGTAAAATTATAGTTCTCACGGCTACAATGTTATCAGCCTCTGAAACCTCGGGTAGCGATTTCTTTGTAGAGGAATTTGAGTGTTTTGGGGATTTGGCGTGAGGTGGAAAGGTGGATGATCGATGAAGCCCGATGTCTGGTCGAGGACTCGAGGTCGCTCACGGGGAGCCGATTGGACTTCGGAAGGGGATCAGGTGGGGCTGCGCAGTGCGCATGCTGTTGATGAAATGAGCTCGTTGAGTTGGCATCTGATCATGATGGTGTGACCATGGTGTTTTGAGAGATTAGGCTTGAGCTCGACTCGGGGCGAATTCAGATTGTAGTGACAATGCAAGCAGCTTCAAGTTATCGATGGGATGGACCAAAAATGTACACGAGCACATTGCACAACTGGAAGATGTCTGATAGCTACATGGATAGTCACACAGTACACGGCGTCAGTAGTCGTTACAACAGATATTGCTTGTTAAAGGTATATATCATGAATCCACCACGAATCCCCTGAAGGCTTACACTCTCACTATCTTCTCCTTTGTCTTACACACAATCTTCCATAAGGTAAGGACTGGCCATATTGCACGCCTCAGGATTGGAGCGTTGTGCTCGTGGAATGAGCTATGCGTTTGAAGCGTGATAACGATATAAATGGTAAAGGCCGTGAGCGAAATGGTGGATTCGACGTAGCGGTCGAGCGTCTGTAGAGATCCTTGATTGAACTGCATGACGTTCATTCCAAACACAGACTAGGAGCATGTGGGGTCAGATGGGTTCCGCACTAAAGAACCTCCATACTTACGGCTAAGAGACTGGCCGGCAGGAAGACCATTGTGAGGTACGAGATCTAAAAGTTTGTTAGTGTCCGGTAAGTCATTTTATTTCAGAAAAGAAGGTATCATACCAGTTTCATAGCTGCCGAGTCCCTGACCGTCGCCTCCGTCAATTTTCGCGTTTGTTTACTGTCGTCGATATTAACAATCGCAAAAGCAAGGTCCATCACATTCTTCAGTCGGTTGCTCAGCATCTCACGTCGCTTTATTAGACGATCAATTTCGCTGAGTAGATTCTCAGACTCCCTCTCCATAAGATCCTTTGACTCTTTGTGCTGTTCCTCATCACTAGACTCCATGGCCGGATTGTGGGTGCTCGCGACAAATTGTACTGATACTTCGAAATGATGGAGTAGTGATTGATACTGCAAGAGATGCGCCTGGAGGATATGAAGGTCGCGCGTGAGCTCCATGTTATTCGTTTGCAGTACTTTTGCCTCCTGGATGTTCTTTAGCAACACACCACTTCTACTCTGCACGAGGATGACACACCAGTTCACTAACATGTTTGTACAGTAGCTCAAAGGACTCATCCCATGCATAAAGTGCATACCACAAGATTGCGATGAAGTAGAACGTCGGGTCTTCTGACTTCTCGAATATTTTTTGCCAGTACACACTGCCCCCTACAAGTTGCATGAGCGAGTGAAGGCGCTTCGCGGATGTCCTGCACCACGTAGAGTCTGGATGGTAGGAGATGACGGTGCTTGTCTTTACGCCGCGGACCATGTGAATTGCGAGGAGGTCGATGAAGAGCATGTCGCCATCTAGGAAGGACGTTGGAATGTGGATATAAGAAATTTGATGCATACACATACTACTCATAGGGAAAGGAGCCTGGGTGTTGATCTGAGCATCTGTTCAAGGTGAACTGGATGACTACTACAGATGATGGGTCGCTTACTCGGGGATTGTGATAGTGGTGTTGGAGAGGTGGGTGCTGGTTGAGAACTGCGAAATTTATTGCGCAGTGTTCGTACAAATGGCAGGACAACAGTAATGTCTATCGGACAACATCAGGATGAGACCCAAAATAGAATATTTGGATTTACGATCTCCTTCATTATGGATAGGCGCTTCCTGATATCGTGAGGGTATCCAATTTATGGAGGACGTGAAAAAGAATGGTTCGATGTTGTATCTGAGTATGAAGAGCCTCAGAGCAAGTAGATAAGTAAAAAACCGCCACATACTTTGTGCCCAGCATGCGCAAGACCGGTGAGGTTAAGCTATCCACAAATATCGATCGCACTCGGATATTTTCTGGTCGCTGCAAAATCATCTTACGCCCTAACTAGTATACGAGAAACGTGAGACTCACCTTCCCTTGTAATATATCCCAAAACCCATCCTCATGTTCAGTTCCCACTACCATAGTATCACCATTTCCTCCCATATCTGAGCTAGCAAAACTCCCGTCGTTGCGCACATCCATCCAGTAAATGGTGCTAGACTTATTCACCAGACACTTTTCGAGCATCTTACTACGCCCTACTTGGTCCGGAGTCCAGTTCCCGAACTGGTTCCGAGGGTACCCCCGCCAGGATGGCTCTATGGAAGTCGTAGGGGTCGTAGAATCTGCCTCAAAGTCCATCCATGGCCATGGTCCTGATGGTGCCGCATGTCGATATCTAGGGAGAGCATCAGTCGGCAAAAATAAGGAAAATAAAAGGACAGAACTTACGGCGGGGCAGGCACCGCAGGTGGCATAGCTGTAGTACTATCCTCAAGGTTGTCCTTCAAGTCTGAATCTGAGTCATGGCGCACTCTACGGATGGTGGCCAGTGTTCTGGCTGTCATGATGTTGGAATTAGTTCATGCAGGAATTGTCGTGAGAAGGGGGACGGATGAATATATATGATTATAGTAGACAGGCGCCCAGCGCTCTGTCCGTTCTCGACGTGGCCACACTAATTCATCGATGCTCAACCAGGATAGACGCCTTAAGTGATATCTTGGCAATTTTCAAATTCCAAGTTACCTTCGCAGTACTTGAGTACTGTAGCTATGCTCCCTATGAAACACTTCGAATCCCTATTATTTTACTGAATTAAGTTTGGCTGTGCCCACCTGTCCTCTTCAAGCACACAAGGCTTGCCTCAATTGGACTTTGTGAGACCCTGAGATACGTGATGGCATGAGGCATGCAAGGACATCAAGCCGCGGCGGCATCATGCACAAAAAAAGGGTTCAATATTGAAAGTGATTGAAACCAGGTCACAGGTCCGAGGTCTACTCTAAATTATTAGTAATCACAAATCACACGTGACTGGAACTCCGTAGTCGCATATATCTGTGTTTAAGTATTTGATATGGACTCTTGAGAGTGGTTGGAACGAATGTTGAGACAGGCTCTCATGCATCATGAGCTGGACTCAGACTCTGAGAGACTTCACTTCATTAACACTCCGGCAATGCGACGAGCAAGCTTATGTACATAGTATCGGCATGTTGATCAAGCGCCTCGCCAAACCGTGCTCTACCATCATTCCATCATGCGTATCCACGACCAGCATTGGATGTGAGCGCTAACACAGTGACCGTGACAGTGGGTCTTATTACCAGCCTGCTGCCAACTTCTTTGGCAGTCTTATCGGAGGATATATCTCAAGATTGAAGTACTAAATATCCGTCGGAGTCTCCCTCAAAGCCTCTGACCAACCAAAACTTAAGTGAATGAAAGAGCGCCAATATCACTAGCTCAGCACAGTCCGGCGGATGGCCGGGGTGAGAGAGTGGGTTGTGTGTTTGCCTTCAAGTTTGAATTAATATTCAATGATGATAGGCTGGCAGTTATAGACCCCCTAACATGCTGCATGTGTCTTCGAGCCACGCTTAGCTTTTAAGCCAACGTGTATGTGTTCGAAGCTTGACGGACACAAGAACTCACCGACCCAGTCAGAGATCTTGCGCTGGAAGTCATGTCTTCCCACGCTCTCTGGTGCACCGACATATTCCCACTGATGCTTATACCAGTCATAAGGGATGGACTCTACGATAACCAGTGTGGACTACGTTATGGCTTTGCTACTCGACTTGTTCGTGGTGTGTAAGCCAGGCTGGTCACACTTAAGCCTATCATAGCGAAGTAATCCGGACATTTGCAGGTCTTGATACAATCAATCAAATTATACGCGTGCGAAGTGACCGCGCGGTGGTCGGAAAGATGCATATGATGCATACTGCAAAACATATTCTCCCCTTCAAATCCGCGCGTGAGAACACTTCAAGTTGGCAATGGATGCCTTATAATTTCAATTTCTACACCACGATGGAATGGAACAAACGCTACGAGGGGGTCGCTGCACGTGTCTATAACATATGTGCATTAGATTTCCTCTGTAAAGCTTGACAGACACGGATCACTTTTTACACCACAAGTACGATCGAGCAAGCTTGAGCGCAGTCACTACCTCCGATTTCATCTGACGATTGAGCTGAACAAAAATCCATTAACCGAAAGTATATTCCAGTAATTCAGCATCGTACTTCTTTTGACATCTATTTTTTCCTTACTGTTGTCTTCGGGCTCCCTGCGTAGACAGAATACACGTAACTTAGTAAGTATGTAGTATCATGGACACGAGATACCGCCGGCGATGAGCATCTGAATCTACCACGTTGCATGCTGCGTTTTGTCTCCTCTTCACGGCTCTTTCCGTCCATTGCGTCATGCTGTGCTGTTGCTAGTTCTTTGCTCAGTACTGCGACCTTTGCTTCATCTCACGGCGTTGTTGGACAACAAACTTCGACGACACCATTGCAATTGACTTCCTCTCCCCTCGAAGACCCTGAAAGTTTGATCGTGCATTCCTTTCCCCTCTCAACGTCTATGTCGATGAATTTTCAACGATAAAATTCTAGACAAATTGCCGGGCCATTTTCATACTAAGTATCGCAAGTGATATCAATCACATATCCCACTCTGCTTAGCTTGTCGAATTATCTCATTTTAGTTCGGACAAGCTCAGCAGACTCCATTGAACGCACACTCGACTACCGTGCGATGTTAACCAATCCTAGAGTATGTAACCTCTAATGGGATCGGTCAAAAACGCGCGTGTGCGCGTCATCGTCGCTACATTTGAAAGCCACTGCATCCCACGCATTCCATACAAACCGTTCGTCATAGACAGTGAATCGATGACATTTTCATCTGCGACCCGCATATGCAACTACATTTAATGGATGTCAAGGTTTGGCGCTAGCGCAAACCGTGCTCGACCCCCGGACTGACTTGAATCCGTTCGCTCACGGTCGATTGTGCACAGCGTTGTCGAGAGTGAGAACGCGAAGAGACTGTTTATTTACAGAGACGATGCTAATAAAGTATTTCCTAAGTTGCTATTGTAAGTACAATTATATATGAGTCGACCACAGGGGAGTCCTTGTAATATAATAAGATGGGCAATACATCGCGATGGGCCTGTGCCAAGTAGATAATATTTGAAGTGGCTCCTACCAGACGTCATGTCCTGCGGGCATGAAGGAGACACCACGGGAGCGCTGTGGTCGCGTATCAAGAACATAACAAGACAAATGGTATACATCTCCAAAATATTCTGTGCTTCATATCATCCATGCACCAACATCTCCTCAAACAATATTCTGAAACCTCGGAAGCGATTTCTCTCTCCATTTATCATTGAATTTTTTGAGGAGATAAAACACTGGCCACCCGGCGCGCTGTAACAGAGTGCTATCCTCGACAACAAAGGGGCTAGGCGAATGGAAGGCTACCATGAGCCACGAAGTGGCGCATGTGAGAGCTAATGCCACCGCAACGTAGTGAACGAGCGTCTCCTGTCCTTGCGTCCCGGAGATTTCATCAACATTCATCCCAAACACGGCCTAGCGAAGCACAATGATCATTAGCATTTCGAGATCACTCTCGCATACTTAGTACATACCGCAGTGAAGGAAGCAGGAAGGAATATCATCGTGAGGTAGGAGATCTGAACGGAAGATTCTTGAGAACTGCAATAATGAATACAATCATGACACACAAACCTGCTTCATCGCACCTGAGTCTCGGACCGTGGCTTCCGTCAGGGCCTTCATTTGCTTACTGTCATTTATATTGACAATCGCAAACGCCAGATCCGTCGCGTTCTTCAACCTACTGCTCAGCATCAATCGCCTGTTCTCCAATCTCCCGATTTCTGAGAGTAAATTCGCACACTCCTTTGCCATGAGCTCCATGGTGTCCTTACGTTCATTAGGACTATAGTCATCGGAGTCCAAAGCGGGATTCGGTGTCTTGTGGAGGAACTCGACGGACTTCTGGAAGTCTTGGAGAAGCGAATGGTAGTGTAGGAGGTGTGCTTGTATGATGTGAAGTTTACGAGTCAGATCGATGTTATTAGTTAACAGCACTTGGGATTCCTGAATGGTATTGATAATCAACCAAAACAACAAACGTCGATTATTCTGCGACGCACCAGCGAAACGATATGAGTGTATAGTGACTCAAATGCCTGGTCCCATGCATAGAGAGCATACCACAAGATGGCTAGGAACAAAAATGTCGGGTCCTTAGATTGGGCGAAGATTTTCTGCCAATATACACTCTGTCCCGCACGGTAGATAAGGGAGTGTAGCTTCTTTGGGGAAGGACGGCGAAAACTAGAACTTGGATGATACGATATGATCGTGCTCGAATCCTCTGATCGTACCATATGTATCGCGAGGAGATCGAGGAGAATGATGTTACCACCTGCGTAACTTAGCTATCGATCTGGAGATGAGAATTTCAACCAGGACTTACAGCTGAGAGAGAGTGGTGCTTGGGTGTCAATTATTTCATGTTCGTCTTGAAGAAATAATTTAGCTGGGAGTAATTGCAGAAAGAGCGAAAACAACCTACCAGTGAAAATGTGTATAGATCTTACTGAACCTGGTGTTTCGGGTATTGGTGTTGATGGTCGAGTGACTGGATTTTGCATCGCACGCATGAATGGGAGTGTAACCGTAATATCTGCATCGAAGTGTAAAGATTCATTGAACCATCAAGTTGCAGAGCAAAATACGCACGATCGCCCTTGCCCCGCTGAACTCCCTCTTGGTAATGCGAGGGTATCCAATTCAGGGATGAAGAAAAGAAAAAAGGTTCAATATTATACCTACAATTCGTGTCAGTCACATAAGTGATCGAGCAACGAAACCATTTACCTCGTTCCAAGCATCTGCAGCACAGACATGGAAAGATTATCAACAAACAATGCACGAACGCGGATGTTTGCAGGTCGCTACAGAAAAGGCGTCAATCATCTTACTACACACACCTCAAAAAGAGAATAACTCACAGGCGTCTGCAACAGTCCCCAAAACTCATTTAAACGTTCAGGTGTTATTCTAGTTGTTTGGTCTCGCCCCTCCTCATCCAAAACCGTAAAAGTCCCGTCTGTTAGAACATCCAGCCAATGAACCGAGCACATATCGAGCTCCGAACAGTTGCTGAGCATCTTGCTCCGCTTCACTTGATCCGGTTTCCAATTCCCAAAGAGAGCCTCAGGGTATCCGCGCCATGACTGGCCCGCTGCGCCAGGTGAGGCTGGTATGTTGTCACGGCTGAGGGTAATGTCTGAATCAGTATCGAAGTCCATCCATGGCCAAGGGCCTGATGGTGCTGCATGACGGTAGCTAGAAATTATTGAAGTGGCTGAATCTCTAGGCATGAAAGTCACTCACATAGGTGTAGGAACGGCAGGAGGCATAGTCCTGTCGTTCGTGCTGCCGCCGTACGGAGCACTGCGGAGAGCAGTAGAAAACGTCACGGAAGGTCTGTGATTGTTGAAGGTCCTCGACATCTTCAAATGTTCTGCAGGATTAAGAGAATCGTGGATTCATTCCATCCAAACAGACTAGATATACAGTTACTAATGGCGACCGGCAACTTGGACGTCACCAGTGCAGCATGCGCCACTTCCATCTTCCAACAGAACAGCATCTCTTGCTGCAGAGTCATTCTGAGTCGCGCACAGCATATACATGGAGTCAGAACCTGTGCCGCGCCGTGACAGATTCTTTATTCAGCTTTACGTTCGCGTCCGCGAACGTAGGGGACTCACCTCACACGAAAACGGGCAATAGCCGCGAACACGATTCAGGACAGCAGGAGAAATCGTTTCACGAAGTCAAGGTCTGTAGTAACTTAGGCTCGTGACCAGGCGCGGCCAGCCTGGCGTATACTACCACGGATATTCGAGTGGTGGAGCCAGTAGTAACTGCCAGCCGCAGTATGACCAATCACGTGACCAAATTCAAATAGAAAGCCGCCATCTTCTTTCTATATGGTGGGTGACTTCCTGCAGCATTCATAATCCTAGATATCATCGCAGATTCGGCTCTCACACGGTAGGCATTAACTTGATCTAGAAACACGTTCCAAACCGCAGACCAAATGTAATCTAAATTCTAAACGCATGTTCTAAACCTAAACGTCAAATTTTCAAACATGGACAACGACGACGTGTATCTGCATCACCTGTATCACATGCTTGACTCAGCTGACGGAGGATGAGATAGACCATGATGACGAAGACGAATTCTGAAAGCGCAGGATAGCTGTACTTGGTGAGTCAATGATCGCGACGTGGACGCAGGTGTCCTACTTCCTGTTGGAACACCGATTCTCCATGATGATACCCCGACCACTCCTATTCCTCGAACTCATCGCCATTCACTGGATTCCGCAGTTTGTGACGTTGTATGAAATATTGTCTATAAGGTCAATGGGGGATACACATGCACAGTGCAAGAATAGCTACCAGACATCATGAACGAGTCAGAGAAGGTCTTATCTGTATCGAACTTATAGTTATCGAGAGTCGAGACAACGAAACTCGAAGCGGCGCGCTAAGTTATATTGTTCGTCAGGGAAAATTTACCGCTCATACAGAAACTTACACGAGTGACTTTTGGGCTGTAGATATAGCAGTCGACATACATTCCACCCTGAAAATGAGATGTTGTCAATGCGCGTATAACGATCTATGCGAGTGTCGAACATACCAGAGGTTTGCGACATCGCTGCAGTGTTAGCGATTTAGAACACGATTTGAATCTAGAATGTTAGTTTGACGTGTGGACTTGGAAAAGGCTAACATGCCAATAAGTATAGTATTTCCTGAGTTGCTACTGTAAACACAATTATATATTATCGTACAGCCAACCGAAGGGGATTCCTTGTAATACAATAAGATGGACAATACATCGCGTTGGGCCTGTGCCAAGTAGATAATATTTGAAGTGGCTCCTGTCAGACATCGTGTCCCGTAATTAGCATGACCCAGCATGAAGGAGACACGACGGGAGTGCTGTGGTCGCGTATCAAGAACATAACAAGACAAATGATATAGATCTCCAAACTATTCCTTGCTCCATATCATCCGTGCGCCAACATCTCCTCAAATAACATTCTGAAACCTCGGTAGCGATTTCTCTCTCCATTTGTCATTGAACTTTTTGATGAGATAAAACACTGGCCACACGGCGCGCTGCACCAGAGTGCTGTCCTCGGCAACAAAGGGGCTAGACGAATGGAAGGCTATCATGAGCCACGAAGTGGCGCATGTAAGACTTAATGCCACCGCCACGTAGTGAACGAGCGTCTCTTGTCCTTTCGTCCCGGAGATTTCATCCACATTCATCCCAAACACGGCCTAGCGAAGCACAATGATCATCAGCATTTCGAGATCACTCTCGCATACTTGGCACATACCGCAGTGAAGGAAGCAGGAAGGAATATCATCGTGAGGTAGGAGATCTGAACGGAAGATTCTTGAGAACTGCAATGACGAATACAATCATGACACACGAACCTGCTTCATCGCACCTGAATCTCGGACGGTGGCTTCCGTCAGGGCCTTCATTTGCTTACTGTCATCTATATTGACAAGCGCAAACGCCAGATCCGTTACGTTCTTCACCCTACTGCTCAGCATCAATCGCCTGTTCTCCAATCTCCCGATCTCTGAAAGTAGATTCGCACACTCCTTTGCCATGAGCTCCATGGTGTCGTCACGTTCACTAGGACTATACTTATCGGAGTACAAAGCAGGATTCGGTGTCTTGTGGAGGAACTCGACGGACTTCTGGAAGTCTTGGAGAAGAGACTGGTAGTGTAATAGGTGTGCTTGTATGATGTGAAGTTTACGAGTCAGATCAATGTTATTAGTTAATAGCACTTGGGATTCCTGAATGGTATTGATAATCAACCAAAACAACAAACATTGATTATTCTGCGACGCACCAGCCAATTGATATGAGTGTATAGCGACTCCAATGCCTGGTCCCATGCATAGAGAGCATACCACAAGATGGCTAGGAACAAAAATGTCGGGTCCCTGGATTGGGCGAAGATTTTTTGCCAATATACACTCTGTCCCGCACGGTAGACAAGGGAGTGTAGCTTCTTTGGGGAAGGACGGCGAAAACTAGAACTTGGATGATACGATATGATCGTGCTCGAATCCTCTGAGCGTACCATATGTATCGCGAGGAGATCGAGGAGAATGATATTACCACCTGCGTGACTTAGCTATCGATCGAGAGATGAAAATTTCAACCAGGACTTACAGCTGAGAGAGAGTGCTGCTTGGGTATCAATGATTTCATTTTCGTCTTGAAGAGATACTTTAGCTGGGAGTAATTGCAGAAAGAACGAAAACAACCTACCAGTGGAAGTGGGCTGTGAGTGTGTAGATCTTACTGACCCTGGTGTTCCGGGTATTGGTGTTGATGGCCGAGTGACTGGATTTTGCATCGCCCGCATGAATGGGAGTGTAATCGTAATATCTGCATCGAAATGTCATGACTCATCGAACCATCAAGTTGCAGAGCAAGATACGCACGATCACCCTTGCCCCGCCGAACCTCCTCTTGGTAATGCGAGGGTATCCAATTCAGGGATGAAGAAAAGAAAAATGGTTCAATATTATACCTACAATTCGTGTCAGTCACATAAGTGATCGAGCAACGAAACTATTTACTTCGTTCCAAGCATCTGCAGCACAGACATGGACAGATTATCCACGAACAATGCACGCACACGGATGTTTGCAGGCCGCTACAGAAAAGGCATCAATCATCGTACACACACCTCAAAGAGAGAACAACTCACAGGCGTCTGCAACAGCTCCCAAAACTCATTTAAACGTTCAGGTGTTATTCTAGTTGTTTGGTCTCGCCCCTCCTCATCCAAAACCGTAAAAGTCCCGTCTGTTAGAACATCCAGCCAATGAACCGAGCACATATCGAGCTCCGAACAGTTGCTGAGCATCTTGCTCCGCTTCACTTGATCCGGCTTCCAGTTCCCAAAGAGAGCCTCAGGGTATCTGTGCCATGACTGGCCCGCTGAGCTAGGTGATGCTGGTGTGTTGTCAGGGTTGAGGGTAAGGTCTGAATCAGAATCAGTGTCGAAGTCCATCCATGGCCAAGGGCCTGATGGTGCTGCATGGCGGTAGCTAGAAATTATTGAAGTAGCTGAATCCGTAGGCATGAAAGTCACTCACATAGGTGTAGGAACGGCAGGAGGCATAGTCCTATCGCTCGGGCTGCCATGCCGAACATTGCGAAGACCAATAGGAAACGTCACGAGAGCTCTGCGATTATTCAAGGTCTCCGACATCTTCACTCTGTATCAAATATGCTGCAGGAGTAAGGGAATCGTGGATCGATTCCATCTTAGAAGACTAGATATACTAATGGCGACCGGCCCGTGGAAGAACAGTGCAACATGCGCCACTTGTATCTTCCAACAGAACAGTTGAGTCTTCCATCTACTGCTGCAGAGTCATTTACGCACAGCATGTACATAGAGTCAGATCTAGAGCCTGTGCAGCGCCGTAATAGATTCTTATTAATACGCTCGCGGTACAGCAGGGGACTTACCTTGCACGAAAACGGGCAATAGCAGGTTCGACAGCAGGAGAAATCGTCTCACGAAGTCAATGTCTGTAGAAACAGTATTAGTCACGTCACCAAATTCATACATGGAACTTCAGATGGAAACCACCTTCCTTCTACATACTTACTTAGTAGGCGACTTCCCGCATTCTTATTCGTCCGAGATTCGGCTCGCAGTACATCAGAATGTTCCAAACCGCGGACGAAATGTATCTAGATTCTAGATGCATGTTCTGAAGCCAAGCATGGACAATGAATTAATGACGACGTGGATTTACATCAGCTATGTATATCACATACTTGAGCTGGCGGAGGATGATATAAACGACGAAGATTTTTTTTTGTTTCCTTGTTTGTTGTCTAGTGGGGCGAAGTCCTATGCTGGGCAGTACGGTACTGCATGTGGTAGATGGCAAAGACAAATTCCGGAGGCACATGATAGCTGTAGTTGGTGCAGTCGTTTTTTTCAGGAGCCGAAAACACTTCAAATTGGGCTGTAAATATAGCAGTCGACATACATTCCGCCCTGAAAATGAGATGGTACAACGATCTATACGAGCGTCAATCTGTGTCGATAGGTGTCGATCATACCAGAGGTTTGCGACATTGTCGCGGTGTTTGAAAGCGACACGATCTGAATCTAGAAAGGGTGTCCTACCAACCCCCCCTCCCCTTTCTAAACATCAATCTAGAACTCAGTGGCTCAATTTGACGTGGAGACTTGCAAAAGACTGACATTTGATAGCACCACGTCGGCATGAGACGTTTAGAACTAGAATAGCATTCTATATGCCATCCAGTATATGATCTAACTACAGGAGACCAAGATCCGCCAGAAGGATTATGAATACAGTGTCTTGAACATACCTTATGTCAGTGGACCAAAGAATAGATTACGATTGTCGTCCGTTCTTCGGATATCTCTGTAGCACGGATATACGTAGGTAACAACTTAAATGTACATAAACCGATGCGTCAACGTGCATGCCATCAGATGGCTACTAGGTTACTGAGTAAGTACATTAAAAACTAGCAGATAATCTGGACGATTCGATAGCGGCTTACATGTGGCTATATACAATCCACGCGTGTTGCAAGAAGTCACCCGTTCCTTGTCCACAGCATTTTGTGGGGCACGCTGCCGCGTGCCCACGCATCCCTGTTCCTCCATCCACGCGGAGCGGGGCCGCAGGACTTAGGGGCTTTGCTGTACAATATACCAGCGTCTGAATCCTTAAGGATATAAAACTGCCATCTCTGCGCAGACTACGGAAAGCCCAACAATCATCATCACCACCAACGGAAGCGCATTCCAGTACGCAAATGTCGTCTGCTTTACAATGATGCCCTTTTGCTTGAGGATGCCTTTCCATAGAAGCCCCGCGAGGCTTGCACTGAAGGTAAACGATACAGCGCCGATATTACTGGCTACAGCTAGGGCAATGGCAGCCGCGCGGATGGTCTGATCGCTCAACATAGGAGATGCTGCACGCACGACCTTCGTGAGCAGAATCGTTGCACCAATGTTTGTTCCGGAGACGTTGCACAGGATTACTCCAAGAACACCGATCAACCAGATGGTGCGGTACATGTCTCCATGAGTTGCACGTAGTAGCCACGTGCCAAAGACGTCCATCCAACCCTGATACGACAGGGCTTCAATCAAGATAAACTGCGAGAAGGCAAATGGGACAAGGGCGAAAGGGAGCCGCGGGAGCGCGGTGAAAAATGTAGGGAAGTGAGCGTGCAGCCGTTTGTGTAGGGCAATGCCTTTGGAGCGCCACCGGGCTGCGAAGACCTTGGATGAAGGCGGGGAGAAATTGTTGACGACAACGGGATTGGGGATGGAATCCACCTTGTCATTCGTGGGTATTGGGAGTGAGGACTGACGATATCGACTGCTGTCATCTGGTAATGTTTGCGCGTCCTGCAGCATCAAGTCGTCTGACGGTATTCCCCGTGCCTCTGGCCCTTGCTGCCCACGCCCGAGCATAGGTAACTTCCGGACAAAGCGATAGTGATCCCAGGCAACATCATAGATAAACTTGGCAGTAGCAAAAGGCAAGCTAATCTTCCACACGTCAATTCCGAAGAAGCTGACGACCAAGCACAGAATGAGGGCGGAAGCAAGCATGAAACTACCGACACAGGCGCCGATCGGATCGAGGAGGACTGAGCGAGCGTCCAGGTCAGTAGCGTGGTTCAACTTGCGAGGGACATATTTTTTATTGCGGTATTGACCACCAAGAGCCAAGAAGCAGAAAACGCTGCAAGCAATGAATGGGAGGATGGTGTACGCTGTGAAAGCGGCATTATTCACGTTGAAACCTTCGCAGATCACCACCTAAATCACATTTACATTTGAAATCAACAATACAGGGTCGAGACGTACATTCGTCGGGTTCCCGACAAACAAGACCATGCTCGCTGTGTTTGCTGCGGCAAACTCAGACATGAGCCATGAGATATGGTTAAGCTCTGCGACTTTTGTGTAGTAAATAAGAAAGGCGGTTCCAGAGAGAATGACTGGGTCGTTTCCGAGGCAGATTGAGAGGATGGTAAGCATGATGTAGAAGTAGGAGTAGAGTTTCCAGCCATTGGTACCACCCTTGTTGCTAACCCAGAATGCTGCTGATTGAAGGATACCGGTGATGTCGAGGGTGATAGCCATGTATGCAAGAGAGAAAAAGAGGATGAGAATGTTGTAAGGTTTAACGCCGTCTGTACCAACAATGCCTCCACGAATGACTGCTGGGTCGAGACATTGTGCTGCCCAGAGGATTGCAATTGCGAGAATTGGGGCTGTTGTTAAATTTATTGGGATACGGGGTATTCGTCGAGGTGTGGGTATAGAGACTGGGTATATGACGAAGCCAATTGATATGATGAAGACCACCAAGGTGGCTACAGAATAACCAGTAATCATGGGATGAAACGTTGACAGCGGGACCGATTGGGAAATTTTCGACTCTGGACACTATATATTGCTAAGGTTGTAATTTGCAATTGGGTCCACGACGTTGCCACACTCGTATATATATCAACGTCACTACCGCAAAAGTTCATAGAAGGGAAGGTCCGTATTAGTCCCATCGATTATGTTCTTTCTAGAAACCAAGGAACCCCGCTGCGATTCACCGATCGTGACATATACACCTCGTTACGACGAGGCCTACTAGCTATAAGCATGGGGACATAATTACCAACGTGTACTCACCTGAACTGCATAGCCTTCCCAAGTAATTACCGTCTACACGATCTCATACCCTAATCGATGGGAATAACACGTTCTACATAGAAAACACTGCCTTGAATTTGTCAACGTGATAGGTGGTGCTGTCAAATATTGACATCGTCAGCATTGAGTCGGCTAAAATACTGGCAGATTGTTCCTTCAGGCTATATATAGAAGTTAGTGTGGTGCTAACCTGTGCAGACTCCATTCCAAGTAGAACGTCTGCTCATGACGTCAGAGGCCGAACTGAAAACTCCTCGCTTCGAATGAAAAGCGTGGTTATTCAAATGACGCCATTGGATGAATCCCGTGTCACGGTTGCTCACTTACGATAATCGCACGAAACACTGCCTTCGACACGTCTTAGACTCGGTCAGCTTCAAGTTGCCGCTCTAGCTGACTGGGGTCAATATATGTTCTGGAGTCAGAAGCTTACCGAGGTGACCCAGCCAGATTGGCTGCTGACACAGGCGTAAGTGAATGTCTTCCTCCCGGTCTGACAACTCTGAGAAGTGGATGTTTGGCTACATTTCGCCTCATCTTGTAAAGTAATAATATTCAAGTTAATGGTGTTTTATCCAAGTGCGCCCATGCGGTCAGCATCCGCTCCGAGAAATGCAGCCGCAGCCTTGCATACAAGTTTGATCACTTGGAATCAATCCCATCAGGTACGTCTGCAGTGGGGCTAGTTGTCTCCGATGCCATAAGTGAATTAAACAGTCAATATTTATGTAATTTACATAATCATTAATCAGGGCCCACGTAAGTCAAACTCAGGTTTGTTTTGACTTGTGACGTTTCAAGTTTGTGTACGCCACCAAAATTAGGTTTTCTGTTACACAACAGGTTCGAACCGAAACACACACTCAGTCACCCCTTCTCTTTATCTGACCCTTGACAAGTACTGAGGAGTGCACTAGTGAGTATTCATGACATCACTGCACAAGCGGATAACGCCATGGCTATTCCTACGTACAATATGAGATGGGATGTTTCAGGCAGGGGAAGTTATCGCCACTCGCTGACATTTCCGTCTTGCTGTAGAGTATAGACTATTCTTATCATTGAATGACCTATCAGATGATACACTGCCGCATCCGTGGCTTCCCGCTGCAGTAAATCTAGATCACTATTCTCTCACCTGACTGTCTTTGGAGGCACCAAGAACAGCAATACCAAGTTCCCAGTTGTGTGTTTATCTCCTCAAAATGATGTTTGTTCTTGACGATGTAGAACAGGTTGCGAACGCGATCAACGAATTGCCTACCAGCGTGCCCAGTCATGCCCATGATGATCTTGAGAGGAGACTACTAGGGAAGCTCGACTTGCATATGTTGGTTATCGTGGTAATCTATATTCTGAATTATGTGAGTGTGAACTCTGTCGATGTCTAACGAAGCGCCCTTTTATACCCCTGAATTCTATTTCTTATATCTGGATGGTACAAACGAGACGACCTCGCCGTGAGAGCAGCTCTCGTTTCTGGCGCAAGTTTTCTCACCTTTGGTTTCGGGGCCTCGATTGCATCTGGTATTTTCAAGGCATGCGGGGGGAATCTTGGTCAAGGCAAGAACTTGAAACAACATCCCGTTACTGACCAAAGCTGGACGATCTGTAGATGGTTATTTTACATCGAGGGCAGTATTGCTATCTTCATCGCGATTTGCGTGTTGTTCATACTCCCTGATTTTACTTCACAATACCACATGGCTCACCCCGGAGGAAAGAGCACTTGGCATCTCTCACCCCGCGGAAGATGGTTATGGTAGGGTTGAGCTTGAGAAAAAGACGATCATGCAAGTACTAGTGCTGTGGGATGCCGTGTCCGACGGGAAGGTGTCTATCTACACAATGAGCACTGCTGTGTGCTATAATTTGATATAATCGCTCACGCGCTACCTCTTGTACTCAGAGAGACATCCAGTTTCCTGATGGCTCAAGTCTAATACGCTGGTTGCATGATGCTCTGGGGGTGAATCAACAACACATTCGCCGGAGAGTCTGTGAAGCAAGCTGTTACTGTTGCTTTGATTAATGGACTACAGGGCACAAATAGAAAATGGGATCGGATCGTGAGTGGCATTGACCTCTCGTCCTCGTTCATGATCGCATGATTCTCCCAGGGGACATGATTCGGACCGAGCGCAGGTCAGCTATAGATATACGCCACTGAAAATGCAGCTGAGTGCTGCATCACAATTCCCTCGGAATACTTATTATAATGAAACCATTGGTTGGTTAGGAAGGGTTAGTACTCCGCGTTATGCGACAAAAAAAGCTCTAGCTGGCTTGTATTAATGTAGCTAGTACGATACTTGAACGTTTAAACTCGTGAAATGCTGCGTGCGGTGGCTGAAACCTGTTTCTGGTAGAGTTATAGCCTACTCCTAGTAGGTGCCCTATTACCCTTCCGGAGTAGTACTTTGGCTGCCAAATGTCGGTAAGAACAAGGTGCGGGCATTGCCTCAAGGTCAAGATCTCCAGCACCGCTTGGTAAGGTATTTTCTGCTCGTGCATAAGGTTAAGCTCCTTGTCATCTGCATTTGCCTAACGTTTGCTACGCAACCCTACAGTCTCCCTCCACCTGCTGGTGGAACCGGCCCGAATTCGTGTTCTGGAACACCCGGCGATGTTGCCGATAAGATATAAGCAGTACAATACTCCAGGCCGGAAACATCGACGTTGAATAATTCCGTGACGGCATGTCCGTTGTCGGCGGCATAATATAGGATGAGTTGGGAAGGCGGGCTTTGGTGGAGGACAGCGGTGGCCATACGAGGGCATGGGCACTAAATGCGCGCCTTCAATCAATGGAGAAGGATGGGAGCAACGAAAGTGACAGAAAAGTGGAGTTTGGTGCAGTGGAGGGCAGTAAAACTTGATTGGGAGTTAGATGAGAACGGCGGGTAGACTCATACCTGCCGTTTTGATCTAACTCCCAATCGAGTTCAAAGTTGTAGGTTGAGTAGATCGAAGTTACGTGGCGTCTCGTCGTCGCTGTTGTTCGCGTTGGCGAGCGCCAGAAAGTTGTTTCGTTCGTGGTCAAGAGATTTTGATCGCCGCTGGCACTGTTCCTCTTACTCGGGTAAGTAAGTCAAAGGGAAATTTGTAGCTCGAGGTTTGTGATTGCGTTCTTACATTGCTCTGCACGTACCTTGTTTTAGAAAGCTTTGGGGAGCCAAAGTACTTCGGAGGGGTAACAGGACACTCCTCACTCCTTGTTTGCTCAGGGATTGCAGGAACTGAGTAGATCCGGATGATAACAGGGTACCATGAACTCGGCTGAAACCTTGCTTGTCATATTCCTTGTAGTGGCGTGATCTACACACCAGGAGAAGATAACAGACTAATGGAACTAGACCAAAAAACGGACAGACAGTGGTGGCAAGGGATACGACAAAAGATAGCGAAAAGGAGTGGTGACAGGCTTTGCGCAGAAAAACAAATAAACACATCATACTTATCACACTTGGTCGTCACTGGCATGGTCACGCAGTTGCCAGTAAGTCGACGTTGGGACTCTCGAGTCTGAGGCTGAAGAGCTCTGAGGCTGTTGTGTACCATCAAAGTTGTTGTCGGTAAGTTAGGGTTCAACTTAGGAACATGTGGCAAACACGTGAGGAGTTTTAGGGTGCCTTGATAAGACGACCGCGGCATCCGTGAAAATCGCGGACTCTAAAAGTTCACACAACCATCATTGCCCTGTAGTACGTACAAGTCGCACAATTCCTCGAGCACCTGGCCATCAGAATTCAGAAACGTTTCGACTGAAATAACATCAGGGGGTTTACTTACACTTGGTTCTCATGCTGTACTAATTGTGGGCCACATAGCAAGCCTTAGATGCTTTTTCTGCGCAAAAAGCACGACTCACGACAGGACGGTCGGCGAAATCGCACTCGAGTCACTATGCATTCCCATAATAAAGAAGGTAATATTTTCCCATCTATCCAGTCTGCCTCCAGCAGACTAATGCATTGCTGGATTTTCAAATCGGGATGTGTTCCAAATCATGCTACGTTCAGTGGCGAGTCGGACTCGTGCATCACTCGCAAAGCCCCAGATCAGTGACGTTAACATTCCACTGATCCCACTTGCTCGTTGCATTACCCTACTGAGATTAGACTTTCGGATGTGTCATATACCGGCGGCGCTGGTTCTACTGTTCTCAAGTACTACTTGATTGAGATAGACAAGTATACAACACGATACATTGCTATCTGGCTATGTAGGGATAAGCCTGGATATTAGTGCTCACTCACAAACCTTGATGATGGCCCAACGTAGGTTTCTTTGGACTCGAACTGGAATTGGCCATGTGCGAGGGATGCAGAGAATTCCCTAAGGTAAACGTGACAATATCTCATTTATAATGGTTCACTGAATTGAGTCTTGCCCTGCAGTATACAAGAACAAGCAGTAATGACGGGTCATTTTTGGTCTTTATCAACTTTGTGTCTGACATTTGTATCGTCTTGTGTCGCACTCAACACCCAGCTAGTCATTTCAAATGCCAAGGTTTCCCCAGACGATCTCGTAAAAGAGTATGTACTTGATACAGGGCTCATACGTATCTAATTGATTTTGTAGTGTTATCGTGGTCAATGGTGACAACCCTGGACCAGTCCTCGTAGCAGTAAAGGTACGAAGTTCGCTTTATGTGGCTGTTTATGCCAACAAAATTGACTGCATCAAGGGCGAGCGCTTTCAAATCGACGTCACGAGTGTGTTGGTGAATGGATCGATGAACAGGAGTACATCCACTTTTCGTCTCGTCTTTACTCTGGGATCGCACTGACGTAGCTTCAGCACTGGCATGGAATCAAGAAACATTTGTCGAACGAGATGGACGGAACTGCTATGGTGACCTACCCAATGTCCCATAGTGTCTGGGCATTCTTTCATGTACGACTTCACGCCCGTAAACCGGAGCGGGACATTTTGGTGTGGAACGGCTTTGTACCGCGGAAATGATCATTTACGGTGCATCAGGTATCATTCACATTTCACGCTCCAGTACTGTTGGTAATTTCATTCTTTATCGGAGTAAACAGCCAAATATTTTTTTATTCAGGTGAAGGTTTGAGAGGACCCATGGTCATTAATGACCCGCTAGATCCCCACTTGGACATCTATGACGTTGATGCGCATCCCTCAGCTTTTTTTTCATAAGCGGCTGCAACAATCCCCTTTGGCCGTCTCTTTCAAGCAGGCGGACCGTCACCACCCGAGTGCCTTGTTGTCATTGATTCGGGGTTCAGTTTCACGCATGTAGTACCCATCATCAACAGTCAAATACAATGGTATGCCGTGAAGAGGTGAGTTATATGAATCGACCAAAAGATAACTGCTTATATGGTTAGACTCGATGTCGGCGGCAAGTTAATGACTAACCATCTCAAAGAACTCGTCTCATACCGCCAGTGGAATATGATGGATGAAACTTACATCATGAATCATGCCAAGGAGACATGCTGTTATGTGTCTACGAGATTCTTCGAAGACCTGGAAACCTGTCGGTAAGATCATGTCCGTTTCGCGATGTCGCAATTACCTAACCCCTGAAAGCTCGAATCCTAAAAAGAATAGCATAGTTCAGGAGTATGTACTGCCAAATTTCGCAATCAATAGGCACGGTCGCGTCAGGCTTCCCAACGAGGAGTTATCAACCACTGACCAAGTCCTTCACATGGAAAATGAGCGATTTACAATTCCCGAACTATTATTCCGTCCCGATGACATCGGACACTTTGATACTGCACCACCAAATGAACTACATCCTCTTAGGCTTAGAACAATCAGGGCTGGCGGCGACCGTGACTGCGTCTATCGCGCTCCTTCCGGATGACCTTCGAGGCATGTTTTGGGCGAATATTGGTCAGATCGGTGGTAGTACCAACTTCCCAGGATTTTACGAGCGATTGTAAGACTTTTTATGTCATGACATATCATGTGATAACTGCTTGCAGATCATCCGAACTGTTGTCACTCACCCCGGTTGAATATGATCTGCAAATATATCGGTCAGAAGAGTGCGTCCGACATCCACTGATCATATTTATAACCAACATGACAAAATATCAGCGCTGTGACCGAAGCTTATCGCTCTGCCATTGCTTTTGCGAATGATCCTGCGTTCCCCACCCACGTTGTTACAAGGGAAGAGTATCTTGAAGTCGGTAGCAACGCCTCACGAAGGACATTCCCTGGATGGCAGTCATCGTCTGCACCTGGGGACGCAGAGATAAGCAAAATCACTCAGGAGTCGATGGTGGAAGATCGAGGCCAACTTAGCCGCAAGCCTAGCCGTTCACGAATGCGCACGGCTGGCCGTCGTAAATAGCGGCTTACATACTTGCGGTATTTGTGGGTCGACTACAATGAGATGCTATATATTCACACTGAAGCCTTAGCACCTTCGCTGGCACGCGCCGATGTCAACTTTCCATATCTTGTGATTTGCAAATCAATCATAGTATCCACATACATGTAACATAATCTCCAACCGCCTAATCAAGCTATGTTTTTCACTCCTCGTCAAGGGCACTGCATTCGTGATGTCTTGGCGTGCATCCTGCGATGATACTAAAATCATTTATCATTTAGTCAGAACCAGGAACAGATCAACATGACGTCGCTAAATGAGTCACCTTTCAAGAGAGTCGACATCCTCAATGAAACACGAAGGCTCCTTTATGTCCGGATGATTCCTAATGTCAAACCAGATCTCAGCTGGCAAAGCGAATGGTGCCACCAAAAGTCTTGCTAGCGTGTCTTTGGCTTCACCGTCCAATGTCGCATCGAGAGATTCCAATCGGCTATAATCGTTTCCCGCCTTATCCTCGAAGCGCTCAAAATCTTCGTTACAAAGTTCGAATACCAGCGCCGATGGGTTTATCTGGCAGACGCGAAGGCGAACCCCAAATGTCGTCCACTGTTTGTGGTCAATCCACGGGAACAAGATGCTCGTGTGGAGCGCAGAGCTGTCTGCCGGTACGGTGCTGCTGACAGGAAAGATGGGGATGAAGTTGTTCGCAACTACTGAGGGCTGTGGCGTATATTTTGATACAAAGTGGACGATCACGTCTTCGACTGTGCTGCCATCGTCTTCATTCCATCGCACGAACGCTGAAGTTACAAGCCCGAGATAACGTCCAGGAGTGTACTGGCAGATTTTGCGATAGTCCTCAGAGTCCTCTGGATATTCTTGCGCGAGCTCTGCTGTTGACAACGCAAAAACAACAAACGTCCCTGGGCGTATTTTTGCGCTCATTCGGTTTTGTGGAGGCGTGAATATGTCAAAGGATGCTGTAAATGGATCCGCTGACTGGCTCTGAGGGATGCTGTACCGCGGCTGGGAGCAAAAGCCCTCAAACGTCGTGTAGTGATCGGCGCTAGACGGTATCCAGCATGTGCTCGAAGGTGACAGCGGCGATAAAGATTCGAGGCGTGACATGTTGATGGACAGATATTGACGGTTAGTCTGGTGCATTCTACAGTGCCGCCGCTCTGGTTTATATAGGTTTCAAAGGTCAAAGTGTTGTGGAAGACAGACTGTGGCATGACTGACACTTGCGCCCACGATGTGGCCCGAGCATTGTGGAAAGATCTGAACAATAGTACGAATGCCTATTGATTTTTTTTACAAGCATGGCTCACTTTCTAGTCGGCCTTTTGTTTGATGGATTAAGTACCACAGATGATTGGTGAGCACCTCTGCCCCATACAAGCATCTCAACACGTGAGTGTCACATAGGCTCGTTCCCAAGTTTGTCGACACCCTGTTGGGTCTGCGAGTCTGGGCGTACCTTCAATTGGTTCACTGATTGCAACAGCGGCATTCTTATAATCTATACCGTTCCACAATAGTCGCGGTGTATTATTACTCCTATCAGGGGGACAAGATAACGGAGGGTGTGCAATTTCATTCTTTTCGCAGGATTGTAATCTCTACTCGCAAATATCTCGGCTCACGTATCAAGAAAATGAAATCAGTACCTTTCCCTCGTATTACTGGAGCGCATGATCAATGATCATTATCGTAGATCATGGCCTCAGCCCCTCTATTTCGTCACGGTGCTCGTCGATGCCCCCCGGATTTTCTGGATCACGATAGATCTGAGCCCATTAAACACCACGGAGACTGCTGACTATTTCAATTACATGTACGTCTGGCGCTCGACGTGACATAAAGCTATGGAATATTATTCCAATAATGAGGTGTTATGGTGCCACGCTTGACTGGTGTGCCGAACCACGATCATTTTTGGGGATCGACGTCTTTCTTCGAATTCGGATTTCAAGAATATGTCGGTGTGCCAACTAGTCATTAACGTTTATCGGAAACTCTGCGATCATTGATCGATGTCGTAGTTCACATGCACATTGTGCTTATCATGTTCCTCGTGTCGTCAACGTTCCCGTTCCATCATCTTTTTAATTTACCAGTTCATGCTCACAGATACTATTCACCCCTAGTCAGGACGGTGCCTCTTTCTGTTCTCAGCGTTGTGCAGGGAAAACGCTACTGTATCCGATTAATAAATATGGCATGCAAACCAAGCTTCGTGTTCTCGATTGACGGCCACACGTTTACTGTTATCAAGGCGGATGGTGAAAACACATTGCCTCTGGCCGTTAACTCAATCCAAATCTTGGCTGGACAACAGTACTCTTTAATTCTGAATGCAAATCAGATGGTCGACAACTATTGGATTCGGACAAACCCCAATTTTAACACGACCTTTGCAGGAGGTCAAAATTCTGCGATTCTTAGATATGAAGGAGCTCTGCAACGAGACCCCATACAAAAAGATTGGATTTCAAGTAACCCTTTGTCTGAACTGAATTTGCATGCTCTGGAAAACCCTGCTGCCCCTGGTCTTCCAGGGGTCGGTGGCGCAGACGTCTCGTTGAATCTCGTCAGCGTGTGGGATGGCAATATCTCGTCGATGGATACTCCGCCGATCATTCCCGTTTTATTGCAAATCTTAACCGGACAATTGGATGCTTCTCAGTTGCAGCTCTACGGGTCTGTTTTCATCTTGCCACCTAACAAAACAATCGAGCTGTCTATACCAGGCGGACAGCCCGAGGGATATGTAAGGAATCCATATTTCTTTCCTTCGCTTTTCTCATGTACCACTCTAGCATCCTTTCCACTTGCATGATGTTGGTATGACTTATTATATCCGGTTCGTTCTATCTCATGTTTCACACGGTACGCCTTCCCCGTTGTAAGAAGTGCTGGAAGCGATACATACAACTACTACAATCCTGTGCGGCGAGATACGACAAGTAATGGTGTTGCAGGTGACAATGCTTTAGAACCGATAATTCCGGGCCATGATTATTCCACTGGTATGATCAATATAGCTGTTGTGTATGGTTTAGTGACGTTCTTTTAGCCACATTGACTGGCACCTTGACCTGTTAGTGTTATTTTGCAGTCCGCAGTCGGATGAATTATCTGATCCGAATTCTGTAGGGGTATGGCTGTGGTGTTCGCAGAAGACACCGACGATACTTCTTTGAAAATAACAAGTAAAGGCCTCTCTGATATTCAATACCCTGACCTCATTGTCGTTGCTGTAGGTACGTGGAAGCAGTTGTGTCCGAACTATGATGACTTATCATCAACAATCCGGAACGAGTCGTGAGCACTATCGCCAAGGCAGTATGAAACACACGAAATTCCAGGTTATTCAGAAAGCCTTTAGTATCCTATTTTCTTTACATTCAATCAGTGCTCAGCTTGTTATGTACACCATGTGTTCGCATTCTTCACACTAGCAAGAAAGTATCATTCTTTCATCGTTATCCTATGACGATAGACAGACCCTGCAGTGAGAAGTTCGTATGTATGTGCTTATGGCATAAACGATGTCCTTTGGCTTACTCTTCTAAGAGTGAAGACCTGAAAGCCAGTTGGTCAGCTATTTGGGTTTGTGAGGAGCAGGGTTATGTGCGCTTGCGCTGTCAGAAAGCATCATAATTCGATCACTCACAATTCTAACACAGCGAGTTGAGACAGGTATCCAGAAACCCTGTAATCCCCTGCTCGGCGCCCGAGGAGTCAGTTAAATGAAAACTGTCTCAAGACTAGAACGTATAGCTCCACGAAATCATCGAGGTACGAGAGAGAGGAAGTACCGCCTATGTATACAGCATCAGGAATGGACGGAATTTGTGGATATTTTGGTATAGTGCCACCAGTGATCACAAACGCTCCTGAGTGTCGCTGGGTGATCGGACACGAGGTAGCCGCAGCTGTCCGCGGCATACTGGAGATGACATACTCGCCTTGAAGCTCATATTGAAGGCGCTCAGAGATGCATTGCCTCCGTATCTGAAAAGAGCAACTCGACGTGGACAGGCGTGCTTTGAATAGTAGAAATCCGAGGTAAATATATCAGGCCACCAGAGATATTCAATTTGTGCCGAGAGATGATGTTTGATAACGCGAATAGTGTGAACGTTAACCAGGCAGTTCTTCTCGGTACAGAGCATCTTGAATAGGTTAATAACATGCAGTAATAGCTGTACACATTGAGAGCAGACGCGAATAGGAAGATTTTGACGGGTCCCGGGAAGGGAGCGTTCTTGAGTCTTATATACTGTGAAGCCGACCCGCCAGTGAGTCTCACTCGGCTACTAGCACCATCGAATGATCAAGAGCTAGTGGAAGAAATTCGTCGCCTCTTGCCACTGGCCAGTGATTGAAGATTTGATATCCCTGCAGGTGAGCCTCAAAATACGACTGTGCCGAGTTTGATATTTAGTATCTTGTTCCATGCGCAGCTGGCAGATTGGTCGAGAAGTCTAAAAGAGAACCACTCTCGTGAAGAAGAGACGCAGAAGATTCAATATTCCGACGAAAACAGGTCGGAGCGGAAGCAATAAGTCATACAAACAACGTCAGAAGCACGCTTACCACAGGTCCCTCTCGACATCGTCGTCCACGACGACCAGCACTCTTTCCACGACTTCCAACACATTCACGACATATCTATGACTGGTCGGCCATCACGCAGCACTCCATCCTCGTCCTCTTCCTCGTCACCACATGGCTCAAAGTTGTCCAAATTCCTGGCAAAACAGAGCCGGGACAGGTCAAAATCTATGACGGATCCAATCGCAGCCGCCAGCACTGCGTCTATCGCCAGCTCAAGTTCATCCAACTGTACGTCTGTCAGTAGCCCACCACTTTCACAGTACAGCCCGCGAAAGAGCGGTAGATTTGGTGGTGGGAACGCTAGCAACAATCTTAGAGACGACAAGCCAAGTAGCCCGCAGCCTGACCCTGATAGTGAACAGGAGGACTCGTTTGACGAAACACCTGTTATTATCGAGCCTGTGGATATTATACGCTCACGGAATCGCTCAGAACGCCCTCTCAGCACCTTTTCTGATATGCATCCCTCCTCATCCATGTACGCTTCAACATCATCCACACGCATATCGGATCTCCCTACACGGCTATCTGGATGGCTATCACATACTTTTACCAACTCATCAACAGACCTGTCTCTTCCGTCAATACTCTCGCAGTCTAATTTTACCTCCCAGGCGTCCCCTAAGACCAAGAGCTCAGCCTTACTCACAGCCGCGAAGCACGGCAAAGGACATCTCGATCGCGCAATGCGCTTTTTACTGGATAGTGACTCTATCCCTAACAAATCTGCAGAGCCTATCTGGCTCCTTGGTGTACAACATTCAGGATATGAACCTCCACCTACCCCTAGCCGCCGCCCTTCTGTCGAATCTCGCCGCTCTCCATCGTTCCGTTCTACCACATCATCCTCAGCCACAGTTTTACCTGACCCCTCTCTGTCACTTTCTTCATCCTCTTCCAAAAACCCTGCCAACAATTGGCCGCCTGTTTTCTACGCTGATTTTACGTCACGGATATGGCTAACATACCGTAATCAGTTCGCTCCTATCCGCGACTCCACACTCTCGGCTTTAGAGTCTGATATAACTTGCTGCGAGCCACAGCCTGTATCTTCGAGTCCGCGCCCTAAGAGGTGGCATTGGCCAGGCGGGGGTGAGAAGGGCTGGACGAGTGATGCAGGGTGGGGTTGTATGCTCCGGACAGGTCAATCACTATTAGCAAACACCCTCTTGCATTTGCACTTAGGTCGAGGTGATCTTTCCCCTGATAGCCCAAGAAACTCGTCTTGATTGCTCATTATTCAGAATGGCGCCGTCCTCCACACCCAGCACACACGAATGATTATGCCACATATGTCCAGATCATTACGTGGTTCCTGGACTCGCCTCTCCCTCAAGCACCTTTCAGCGTACACCGCATGGCCCTTGCTGGAAAGGAGTTGGGAAAAGATGTTGGGCAATGGTTCGGGCCTAGCACTGCTGCAGGCGCCATAAAGTATTCATTTCCTCTCACATTTTCCTTTTAATCAATCGATTAATCTGTGCATGCAGAACGCTTGTACATGCCTTCCCAGAAGCTGGCCTTGGTGTCTCCATTGCAACTGATGGTGTGATTTATCAATCTGACGTATACGCCGCGTCAAACGTGCATATTGGTTCACCCCGACGACATATGAGGGCTGCCTGGGGCGAACGCGCAGTCCTTGTGCTTATCGGCATCCGTCTGGGCATTGACGGTGTTAATCCTATCTACTATGAGACTATTAAGGTCAGAGCACTCGCTTGAGAACCCAGCAAACACCTGACGTTTATCCAAGGCTCTCTTTACCTTTCCGCAAAGCGTGGGCATCGCCGGCGGGCGCCCCTCTTCCTCATACTATTTTATGGGCTCACAGGCTGACAATCTCTTCTATCTCGATCCGCATCACTCTCGAACCGCCGTACCCCTCCGCCCAGCACCTCCGCATGACTTTAAACGCGAGATGACCCCAGATTCGGGTCGCCCGCGCACCTCCCACCACCGCGCGCCTACCTCACCTTCAAGCGTGCGCACGGGGAGCTCAACATTCTCATATCACGCACCACTGTCGCCTTCACCGCTGCAGCATCAACTTAGCGCGAGCTCGAATACATCAGGCTCATCTAGCTCGCATCTGCCACGCTGGGCGAACGCGAGCATACCAACACCACTTGGAGGGTCAGAGCTCAACCCACGAGAACTGAGTACGGAGAACACCAGCGAACTGGACCCAGTCGCAGAGCACTACGTGACGCAGTACCCCGCTTCTGAGCTACAGACGTTCCATTGCGACCGCGTGCGGAAGATTCCCCTCAGCGGGCTCGACCCGAGTATGTTGCTTGGGTTCCTTTGCAAGGACGAGACAGACTGGATTGATCTCAGGAAGCGTGTGAATGAGGTGGGCGTCTTTTTGATACCGACGGGTGTTTTTGGTGTTGATGTTTTCTTTTCTCTCTCTCGTGGGGTGCGTTGGTAGTTGCACAAGCCGATATTCACGATCCAGGACGAGCCGCCCTCGTGGCCATCCGACTCGGACGAATTCATGGGGCTCGAATCCATCTCGGAGCCAGATATCGATATGGAATTTGACGGAGATGGTGTGGAACGCGATGATCAGGAACAGCTCGAGAACGAAGACCAGTTCTTTGATACTCACTCTGCCTCTCACTCACCTGTGCCAAAAGGTCAGGGCTCAGAAAATGACACAGAGGAGGATCCAATAGGACCAATCACCCCTGGCCCCAATTCCATGCTTGAGGCGGACACACCAGACAAGGCGAAGGAGCAAGTGGACGATTTTGAGGAGATTAGTGCTGAGGACGAGGATGACGATGATGAGGACTGGGTTGATCCGTCGCTACCCACGCCTCTGGCGCTGTCCGTACAGCGCCCTTTTGCGCCCCCTCTTGAGAAAGCGATATCGACGAGTTCCACAAGCAGCGGTGGAAGTGCGGGGAAAGGGAAGAGCAAGAAGTTGTCTGGGAGGAAGAAGAAGACGGCGGTGATAATGAAGGCGCCGGTGAAGGCCGATGTGCATTTCCCGTTCCCGCGGTCGCTGGAGGAGAGCGTGCACGACGGGGGGCATGGGTCCGAAGCGGAGCCATATGAGAGGCGGATGAACAATGCACGTGCGAGAGACGGGGGGCGCACCGAGAGCGGGGGCGTCAAAGCTGTTTTGACGGAGGATATGAGATAGCCCAGGGTTTGTTGGTTGTAGCCTGTAGTGATGTTGGTATGTTTTTTATTAGTGCCCGGGCATTTCATTTCGACTTGCAGCTGCCTGTGCTGTGGTGGACCCTTTGGGGCCTGTAATTATGTATGTACTTTCGCCTGGTTGTTCGTAGAGATACCCGTCACGTTAGGCATTGGCTCGATGTGTTATCCATATCCATCTCCCTCTCCTGTCTTAGGCTTTCCAATGTTCATCAACTTTTCATTTAGAGATTCAATCTGATTGGTGAAGTACCTCGTCGGAGCCCCAGCGGCCAGAATCTTCTGAATCGGGAGTTGGTGGGCGAGAACGATCATAGAGTGAGCTGCATGTAAACAAAAGACTTGCTAGATAGTTTCCTCGGAGGCTCATCTCGACTGGTTTTAGCCAAGTGGTTGCCACAACAGAATCAAAATCTGGGCTATGCAGGTTCGAAACCTGCCACTGACAAGTGTTTTTCTATCAGAACATACCTTGATGGATCGTGTTCAACAAGAGCCCTCCCAAGTTCAACGTTCAAACGTTCAACTATGAAACCAAAAACAGGTGAAGTTCACCGGCCGGCGGCTAGACCACCCGATTGGCCAGGTCATGATAACGAGTTTCCCCTTCGATTTCCTATTTATAGTACGCATATGACACTTATATCCGGTGTGTACTGCCACAGCGTAGCCAACATTGAATAAGTTCTCCGATCTAGCTTCACATTCGCCACCTCAGGGCGCTCCCCACTAAAAAACCTTGGCCCAGCGTCAGCGGATAACAAGAGTTAAAACAGATATCTCACAAACCCCAAGCCCACCCACCCATGATCCTTTTGCCAACTTAGATATACTTCCCGGTGCGCTGGGACGGGCCATGCTCAGTGCGTAGACGCCAGTGGCAGCGAACGCCCCGCTTCCTATGACGCGACAAGTCATGCAGTCATTGTAAGATGAAAGCTGAGGGACGAAGGTAGAGTCGGAGTCAGGCGCTGCAGAGTTGGTTGGGTTTGATTCAGGGGCGTTCATGCCCTTCTAGTTGCGCAATGCGGAGGAAAGCAAGTCCTTTACAGTCACGGAAGGACCCCGAAAGCAGAGGCACACAGTATGTTTGAGGAACATCATAATTTAGAAAAGAGCGTATGATTACTAGTGCATTTATGAAAGAGTGTATAAGCCTTTAGACGACATCGTAAAGTGCTTTTAAGTGAAAAACAATAGATGTATACAACGAGGGGAGGGTTTCACTGCCGACGAACACAAGCCACCTTGAGTTTATGCAAACTAATATTGCCTATATGCATAACCAAACATCTCCGAAGGGCGTCTTTGCATGAATTCGGGGCACATGCAGCCCTCAGTCCACCCATTGGCCGTCGTCACGGGTTCGCTAAACATGGTAAAGTCGTCCTCACTATCCACCGGGTCATAGAAGACCAACGACGGGTCTTGGCTGTGAGGGTGGGATTGGTAGGACGAAGCAGAGGGCTGGGACGATGGGGTCCCGTCAGATGCGGAGGGGGCAGCAACACGACCGCCGCCGCGTCCGCTGCGCGGAAGAGGAACATATCCATGTTTCGTTTTGCGATGGCGCGTCAAGGCAGAAGGATCGTGGGTCCTAAAGGTGCAATCATGAGGGCAACCATAGCGTTGCTCGCCAGGTACTAAATTTGGTAATCAGATGAACTCCTTGATGATAACGCACGAGCACATACTGTTTAGCGGAGTGGACATCGAAGCTTCTTTTTATCAGCGTCGCAAAGTCACATCCCGGAAAGGTGCAGGTGTACACGCTGGATGCAGGCTCATGTGAGTGACCAGTCTAGCATGTAGGATAAACACGTACTTTTCTGCATGCCTAGCCTCATGTCTCTTGAATTCCGTAAACTTGGTAAAAGTTTCGCCGCACTTGGCCTGAGAGCAAACATAGACCTGCACATTTTCAGATTCAGCCTAGTGCATAAAGTATGCTCGTGATTAGGCTCACCTTGGTAGGAGACATTTGAAAGTTGATTATAGAGGGTGCTGCTTGATTCTGTCTTCGGTGAATGCCTGATTCTCCTTGGGGTGATGATGATACCAGGCAGGCATTCGGGCTGGACTATATACGATTCCCAGAGGTGGAAATGGCATTGTGCTTCGCGGTGGACAGACGCTTGTGGGGTTCATACATAAACGCTTTGTGGGTGGACTAGTGGACGCGAGCCACGACAAAGTACGAATGCATTGTTAAAGCTTCCACACCCACTCGAAGGCTTCATTATCCGTTATACGCAATGCTACGAAGAGAATTCCATTAGCAATCACTGATCAGTGGCAGGCGTGACATATATGGATGCCTGTGGTCCCATCTTTGTGGACGATAAGTGGACTCAGCCGCGCAGATGACAACTAGCACGTCATGGGTCCAGCATCGAGTGGACACCGGGGTCGCGGTTCCGGGTTTATGCTAGAGATGCATCGATGGATGTTATCATTGTTATGTAACTCGACGTACAGAATTGAGTAAAGAACTGACGATGACACCGAGTTTCAAGATGTCGAACTAGTTTCTTGACACCGACATCGTGGTTTTCGATGCTTTTGTCGTAGGGACCCGCCCGCAATCTGTGCAATAAGGTCTAAATATCTTATGCAGAACTTATTATGGACATAATGATTTGTGCATTAGATATCTAGGCCACCGTCGTTGATGGTATTGAAGAATGTAGACCAGAGCAGATTCAATCGTTGACTCAAGCTCAAGAGTCGCACAGCCTTGAGTTTCACACGCAAAATAAGTACCAAGATGATAATGTCAAGTTGGGCTTCTCATTAGGGACGTACGTTCAAAGCTGCGTTTTCGAGGCTGTTTTCAATTCTGTTTTCAATTTTCGGCAGCGACGGCGGGTGCATCGGTCGGTATGAATCGAGCCGCTCCCGTGGTGGCGACACTCAGACATTAATAGTAGGTGTGCAGAGATTGCACCACAATCACAGACACACCACACGCTTGGAACAGAGACTCGCATCACTGGCTTCACGAAGAATCAAATTCATAGTATAAAGGCTGGTTGATCATTGCATTTAGCGTCGGGGTCAGGGCTATCATTCTCTATCGAATGAGACGATTGTCTCCTTTGCTAAATTGATTGTCTCTTCGGAAGCTGTATACGAATATGCAAGCTAGTCAGTCTGTTTGTATGATGTAACACTTGGGAGAATGAGCAGATGAGTGCACTGTACATGTACCTTACGAGGAAGGCTTGGAACTGATACAGTTGTTATCCTTCCACCGTATCTCCTGAGTAAGTACGGCTAGCAAAATGAGCTCTGTGGAATATATAGTATATCCTTCCTCAACCAATGGTCGCCAGATCGATTGGTCTGCTGGACAAGAGATAACGTGACGGTTTTTGTTCCCCTTGAGTATTCGAGTCGTCGGTTTGGACGTCTGAACCTGATTATGCACGCGGCGTCATAATGCGATGTACTCGACGCAAGTGTCAATACAACTCACCTGACCACCAGCGGATGCTATGACAGCTTTGAGCAACTTCAAGTCAATCTCGACTTTGGGGGTCACATAAAATGTCATCCCTTTCAGCAAGCTATCCCCTGCGTCTTCACGTTTAGCGCGCTCGAGAGAAGTGGAGAGCTTAAAGTTCCATTTCCGTTCCGATTCGAGGTCAGATATCAGAAAGTCCGTTTCCACTGCAGTGATCAATCAGGACACAGCGATTTTCAGGATCAGTTACTCACGTAAGAGTTTGCCAGTTCGCACGCTCGAATTGACCCATCCTTCTGTTAACACGAACGGGGAGCTTGCAATAGCGCACAAGAACTTCTCCGTACGAACTATTCCCTTTGCGATGAGGTGTGTGCAGTCGTTGGGTTTGGTTGTCATCTTTGCACCCAATTTGTTCAACCGCTATTGTATGTTTATCAATCAGTCGATACTTTATTGCAGGAAACTTTCTTACCTTGATAGTGTCATCGGTCAGCTGAATACCTGTTGTCATCACCCTCACTGTTCCAGATTCTCGAGAGGGTCCAGAACTATAGTGTTATCTGATGAGTCAAGATGACGGGCGGAAACAATTTACGCACAGCTGATTGGTGGCAACATCAGGAGTATGCAATCCTTTCTTGTTCTGAGTCGCCTTCACACCCTTTACACCCTTTCTCCTGGACGGCTCGTCTTCGTCAATACTCATCTCGTCTTCCGCTCTCTTCTTCGTACCCTTGCCCTCAGTCGTGCGCGTCTTCGACTTCGACTTCTTTTGAGGAATAGACGAAGAAATAACCTCAACTTCTGTTTCTTCGTCCTCTGCGCGAGCCTTGTCGACTTTACGCTTCTTACCGTTTCGTTCCTCTTCGACTTCTTCTTCGTCACGCAGGGGAATGAAAGAGTCATTGAGACCGGAGCTACGCCTTCGCTTGGCGTTCTTGCGCTCCTTCTCGAAATTAACGACGTCGGGCATAATTTCATCCCTCAGTTTGCTCGTCGCTTTGTTGGCAGCACTGCGCTTCGGTAAACCGCGTGAGGTATAAGTATCCGAAACCACGGAAACCTCATCCTCGTGTTCCGATTCTGACTCATTCCGTGCTTCGAACTTCGACTTGCCCTTCACAGGAGGTGTTGAGGTTGAAGGTTTTGATAACGAAGGGCGTCCACGCTTGGATCCGCTTGTCGACGCCTCGGCAGCAGATGCGTGGATGGAGTTCGTTCTAACAAGGTCGGACCTTCCTTCCTTGTTCGTGGGCGTGTCCTTGCGTGGGCTTGGAGACAGGTAGTCTTTCGGCAGAGATGGAACTAGCACGGATACTGTGCGTTTCGGCGTCTTGAAGGTTTTTGCGGGAGGCGAGGGTGAGCGGGTAGTGGACAGAGATGGAGATGGAGCACGAGCATTCTGTTTCTCCTTGGCTTTTGAGGACGTAGTCAGCGGCTCCTTCTCCGGCTCTTTGGCTCTTACTCTGGCACTGGGTTTAGCGGGCTGATGCTTCGCAGGCCGCGCAAAAATTTCATCATCCTCATCATCAGACAAGGATGAAGCGCGTTGAGGAGTTTCCTTCGGCTTAGGCTTTGGCTTCATTCCCGTCTTTATTGGCGTCGAGGACCCGGTGATTGACCTGCTTGGACGGGCTAACGCAGATTCAGAGTTGGAATGCTCGCGAGAAGGGGGCGGATGACCAGCTTTGTGAGGCTTGGTCTTCTCCTTTGATGTAGGCAGTTTGTTAGACTTCCCAGTGGCTTTGGTCTCAGCCTTAGGGGGAGCTTCGTCATCCGCAGAGCTCTCGTCGATCTCCCTGGAATTCTTTACACCATCTGTCACTCGCCCTTCGTGCACTTCCACAACATCATCAGACGCATCGGACGCAGTGCTTTCTCGTATAATCCTCGAACGTTTGCGTGGTCGTGATTTCGTGGGTCTTGAGCTACCATCATCAATACTCGTCGTACCGCCCTCTTCTTCGAGGGTGACTTTCTGAGATAGCAATTTCTTCAACTTCTCCGAGGATTTCGGCTTCGGCTTCTGATGTCTCAGTGCTTTAGGAGGAGAAACATGTTCGTCGTCGACATCCATGACTACGCTGGCCGCTATGTCATCAGCATCGTCAAAGTTGAGGTCCTCGTCATCGCCGAAATTAACAGCAATCTCCACCTCTCCAGCGTCTCTCGCGCTCACGTCTGTAGCTTGTGGAGCAGTGAGAGCATTGCGCTTCGGCCTGGACGCTACAGGCTGGGGTGTTTTCGGAGGCAAGCTACCCTCATCATCGATGACCTTTGGCTTCGACTTGCTGGATGTGGTCTTAGCTTTGGCATTTGATCTGGGAGTCTCTGTGGATGAGGTGATGAGCCCCACTTCATCGACCATGCCCCTACGGTACTCTGCATCCCTCTGCTCCTCTGAGTCAATATCAATGGGACCGACTCCCCGGCCGCCTGGAACAGGTCCCCCTGAGGTCGTATAAACAGAGCTCGCACTTGTGCCACCTGTTTAGAATGGCACATTGAACACTTTAATACTTTAAGATAGAGAAGGCGGTCCAAACTCACCAATTGGGGTCATGAGCATCTTCCCAAAATCGACGCCGGGGGGAAAGAGAATGTATTTATCAACTCCGACAGTGAGATTCCTAAGTGCAGATCATCAGCCTATGGATTCAGAATAAACAAAGGCACGATGGCTTGAGAGCGGTCGCTCAGAGGTACCCACTTCCATGCAATAAAACAATCCTCGAGCCAAGTATGATTGACTATTGGTATCGACCATGCAACTGCGCGCTGTGTTTTAGGCGAAGGAGAACTATGAGCCATCAGTATAACTGGTAATTTGCTGTCTTGAAACACGTACTAGCCGGCAACCAGAACCTTGTTGCTCTGACTCATACTTGGCGTGAACCTTGCGCCCATGATTTGAATAAGTTTCTTCAGGTAGTCTCGCGCGGCGCCAGTATAGTTAGTGACGGTGATTTCCTGAGCGGCGGGTGAGAAAATGAATCACAGGGTACATGATGGATCCTGCTTACGCATTCGTTAAGACCGGGAATACCTCCTCTTGGAACCGGGTACCACAGCAAACTATCATGCGGATCATTCAACGTGCCGGATGCATCAACGTGAAACATCCAAGTCAAGTTTCCGATCAAAATCGGACGAGATGAACGGGCCGCCTATAACATAGTCGCTATAAGATGTTCCGCTGACGTCTTCGAGTTAAATAGGGGATATACCTTGAAGTATGCCTTCCCAGAGCGGTACCGCGTGACGAAAACATCGCATTCATCTACAAGTGTTGCTTCCTCGTTCTCTTGTGCTTCCTCGTCTGTGCTGGTGCCTTAGGCATATGAGATAAGGTCAGGGAGACGTCACAACGAGGATAAAATTACGTCACCTTTGACCTTGACAACAGTTCCACCCGCTCTGTGTATATTCGCCTCCACAGCTTCACAATGTCCTTGTCCCAATTCCAGCGAGCGAGATAACAACAATCTCCTTCCTGCCCATACATTGGCTCCTTCTCTGCACTCTGCTTCCTCCGTCGCCATAGGGCTGCTCAGTCTTGTCTCGCCACTCTTTTTTCTCTTTTTTTTTCCCACCTTCTCCAATTTCTATATCATTCTCGTCCATTGTGACTTGCATGCCAGGTTGCAAGACCTTTGGATCAGGCCACAGGTAAGGGCCTTCAGGCACACGACGCCCAACGCGAACTGAATCATCGAACCAATGCGGTGTGAGCACAGACATATGAGTATGTGGCGCAAAATGCATGGCAGTTTGGTACTACGCGGTCAGGGGTAGCAATGTGAATAATCGTCCCATTGTACGCGAGTGAAGCAAAGATGGAAAGTACCTTATCACTCTGTTCATGCAATGCGAAGAGATGTGTTACATCGCGCGTGAGGCCCGTTCGCCATTGTCCTCCTAACGAGGTGATCCCTGCTGAGAGAACTTCGAGGTCCGATGGGGAGAGCTTGCATATGAAGTTTATATCATACGACGTGAGGTAACAACTATTTGCTTACATCGGTGGCACACGCAACGATGCCCGAAAAAATCATTGTTGGATCAGGTGAATAATACTGCTCGCTGACAACGACTATCAATCGCCTTCATACTAATCTAAAATGCAAAGGACGCTCACAGCTGAAGTTTTCCGAGGACTATGCTCCGATGTACCCACATTCCCGACACTACATGCAAAGATCCCGCGTGTTCGTGCTGAGTGTGCGATCCAGCAAGGGCAATAAGATGGGTGTGTGGTGGTGCGCTTGTTGCACCATTGAGGTCCAGCAAGCCTAAAAGCTCCTTACGTTGTTCTGCCGGTATGGAAGATGAAAGAACATAGTGCACATCGTCGAAGACGGCCATACCGCTCAAGCCTCAAGGTGCTCGACAATGAGAGGAGGCGTGACGTGACAGTCCACAACGCGTGCCATCACGTCGCGTATTGGCGCCACGTGCTTCAACGACTTCGTTGCACTGCCGCACAGACACGGCACAGTCAGAATCATGTTCAAACACCATCTATATATCATCAGTGAACCGGTGAACTCATAAATAACTATATATAGCTAACAATCGCAACAATTTCCATAAATCTGGTGGGGGGGTTTACTTTGCAATGTTTGACCTTGTGAAGGAAAGGCGATTTTTTAAGTTAGCCAGCCACGCTGGCTTAGCCTCGATGCGCCGTTTTATATGTACACTGGTCTATGGACAAAAAGATATGACACGAGTCAATAAATTGAATTCTAGATCATGATTGTCGAAGCAAACCACCAAGGTTCCCACTTGCATTGATGTAATGCCCTTGCGCAATGATGAAAACTGAAATTTTTTATCTTACGTGAACGAGTGTAGTTTGCTGTGACACGAGCCAATGCTGTAAATTTTGGATCATAATTGTCGAGACAAAGGGCCAAGGTCCCCACTCACATGGGTGAGATGCTCTTGTGCAATGCTGAAAACTGTGAAATCATGTCTTGTATGTATGAGTGCAGTTTGGTTATGACATTTGAGAATTTAAATTTTCACCGCAACGCTGGACTTTCAAAAACTGATAGGTCAGAACGCTGTATGGAACGAGATATTGCCATGCTGCTTAAGACTTTCAGGTAAGTTCCTAATTCTGCACACTACAGTAAAATTCTTCTACCGGCAAAGCCTCTGGTAACTAACATCATGGCATTTGATTATCAAATTGCTTTTGCGGAGCGAGTCGGAGCATTCTGGGCAGCTTTGGCAAGGACAAATAATGTGGGCCACTAGTATTCTAAATTCATCCGATTGGGGGTAGCACAGTGTTTCACAACATGGACACTGACGAGCAGGATCATGAAGTTCCAAGGAGATCACGAAGTATGTCAATTATTTGATATAGCACTTACATTATACCATTGCTCAGACGGGTACTATTTTGAGTGATTCACAAATGCTCATCATGAGAACAGGTCATACCAGATAAGCAATTTATTCCACCGATTCCACTATCTACTGAACTGTATTTTCATACTCCAATGTTCACCACAATTCCTTCACCCACCCGATGCACCTCTGTTCTTTGGGTATGTCAACCAATCTGACTCAGATCCATATTTCATTGACCTCTTCAGCTGAGTGAATTGCATTCAGATAACTTTCGGTGGTTTGATCGTGCGGCTATGCAACATATATTTTTTGGCGCAGTCTATACTACAGTCGTATAAAGGGAGAAATGCCTTGTCGCCGGGGTAGTACTGTGCCTTGTAACAAATCCTGTAGTAGTCAGCACGATGAATGGTGCGATTTTGGACTGCCAACCGACCCACTCCAGTCAGAGATCGTGCATGATTTCCTCGACGAAGGCTATTATAGTTCAAGACCTTTTGATGGCCGTTCGCGAAGCCACATGCCATCTTTCCGTTAGCGCAGTCGTCGCTATCGTCGGATGAATCAAGAATTTCTTTGTTAGTTTGCAGCATTGAATGTTGCAATAAATTCTGTAGCGATTAGAGCCAGTTCGGTAACCCAAGGTAAGGTGAGTTTGCCACCTTGAAACGATTATATAATGTCGGCATGGTGGTCCCGGTTTGAAGCCCGATGATGGAGCTTGAACTTCCCTTTGACATGTCTGCATGCATACCTCGGTATACGACTAAAGATCTACGAGATCGGAATGACATCTGGGCTAGTGTCGTGTCTATAGTGTTATCTGCTCAAGTCCACATTCTTTCTATGGCTCAGCAATCATCTCATGCAGACAGGGCGGTCTGGACTGACACAGAGACTGATAAGCTTGTCCAATACCTGTACGACAATCGGGAGAAGGTCGCTGACACCGGTAACTTCAAAGATGTAACATACAATGGTGCTGCAGAGGCTATTGCTGCGCACCTGCAGCAGGGTCCACAGAAGACTGGAACGATGTGCAAGACGAAATGGGGAGCAGTAAGTCATATACCAATATATCGCTTAGATATAGACTGATTAGATATTGTATAGTTAAAACAGATCTATAACACTATTTAGAAGTATCACCAGACGTCTGGTGTCCACTGGGATAATGTCAGAGGAGCCAATATCACGAGCGAGGGTGCAACCACAGTATGGAACGAATATATTACAAAGAAGGTATGTCCGGTTCACAGTGTCATCTACATTTTGTACTGGTAGCTTACTGTTTTATATCTAGGGAAATTCGCACATGCGCCCTTTTCGTGTATCGGGATGGAGATACTTTGAGCAAATGGATGATATCATACCAAAAAACAGTGGCGCGCGAGGGCGTACCGGGTACCAACCGCATACAGCTCCCCCTCCCTTAAGCTCAAGCTCCAGCGCTAGCATACCAGCAGCTGAAAATCATACCATGGGCGCCACCATTGCTACTTCTAGTGTCAGTGCCACTCCTGCTGGTCCCAGCGCCACCCCTGCAGTAGTTGCCCCTACTTCTATTCCTACTTCTCGATGTCCCGCCTCTATTGACAGCAATAACACCCTTTCCACATCCTTAGTATCTCGGCCTAGCTCCAAACGCTCTCACTCTGACATGGTTCAAGAGTCGACTACCTCACTTCCTTCTACCTCGGTTTCTATGCGAGACGAAGACCCTCAGATGCCGCTGCCTCCCTCTAAGCCAGGCTCTCTCAAAAGAGCAAAGACAACATCAGGCCGTGCACAGACTCGGAGCGGTGCCACTGGAGGTAGTGGTACAGCGGATGTCAAGATGTCGAAGACCACCACTGCCGTAGCTGTGATGGGGTTCCAGAGCTCCGTTAACCGCCTAACGGATGTGATTTCTGAGCGCATGGTCTATCCCAAGGATCGGGTGATGGACCAGCGCTCAAGGGCCATGCAGATGTTGCAGGTTGATGATGCTGACTTGCCATTCATGGAGCGGCTTATGATGCAACAAGTTTTTGCTATGGACCCTGCAGCTACTGACATATATACACAAACCACTGACAAGGAGATGCGCCATGCTTTCATTATCTCAACGGCCCAGCGGTTGGGAATCCAACCTATGATACTGCCTCCTGGGTCCAATTCTTAGCGGTACAATTGTCTTACTAGTTGCATGAATAAATGAATGAATTGTATGTGCTACTACATCTCGTTGTCGCTGTCATCAAAGGAATCGTCTGACGAACCCCGCTGCTGCAAAATGCCTTGATAATCCTCCCACATGCAGCGCGCGATACGTTCACGCGCTTCCTTCATGCTTCCATCCTCTTCAAACTCCTCCTCGTCTTGAGGGATCCCTTGGTGCTCAGGGTTATCATAATCGAAGTGTTCATCGTCATCCGCGTACTCTCCTTCATCAGGTTTGTGGGCGCATATAAAGTTGTGAATCGCGCATAACGCGGCAGGTATACGTGCCTGGATGGTCATAGGATACTCAGGTGACAGTAAGAGAATGCGAAAACGGCGTTTTAACACGCCAAAGATGCGCTCGATCACATTTCGAGCAGATGCGTGTCGCAAATTGAATAACTCTTCTTTATTGACTGGTCTGCAAACATAGAATAGATATTAGGAAGCTTCAAGTAAAAAGAAATAAAACATACCTGGTATTAGCACGCCCCCACTCAGCTAGATGATACCGGACACTGCGGTAGGGCACTAAGAGCTCATGACACAAAGGGAACCCCGCATCTGCCAGAAAATACTTGCTGGGAGGGATATACAAGCCACCTGAACGAGCCTCATCATAAAGGCGTGCATCTGTAACAGATCCCTCCCAGCCAGTGAGAGCGTAAGAGAATGTGAGGTCGAAGTCGCAGGCGAAGAGACAATTTTGCGAAAGGAATCCTTTACGATTCCGATATGCAGGACGATCAAATGATGGGGGGTGAGCGTGGATGTGACTACCGTCAATCGCGCCAACAGTGTCCTTAAAATAGGGCCAGAGCTTAGGGTCATTACGGATCTTGTATGGGGCGTGGTAGGTGTTGTCAGGAGAGTGTACATGATTGGTGTAGAATGGGGGAGATGCGAAAATGGTCAACATCTTGCGGAAATATCTACAATTAAGTGTGAGCTCGTTAGTATCATATATAACAATAACAATTGACTTACTTTGAGATGGTATCATTAGACCGTTGAAAGCGCTCACCAACATGGCAGACGGTCAGTCCCGTAACACACGTGTATAGGAAGATGGCGAGTTGTTCTTCGAGGGAAACATAGCGCAAATTTGCATGACCCAAGGTGTGAAGTTCCGCTATAAGCGAGTGAAATACATCTGTGTGCATCCCAAGTTCACAGCGCATACGCTCTGGGTGGCCCAAAATGAGCTCCATGACCCACCCTTGACCTGAGAGGGCCGATGTGTGATATGGCTCGGGTATAGAGTCTTCTAGCAAGGACTCTGTAGCAGTAAGAAGGACGCTGACAACCAGTGCAATATGTTGGAGAATTCGTGCGTGATCTCGCTTGGATGCCCGACCGCCTGGCGGCTGAGCAGCCTGAGCCAGAGTCAGCTGTTGGATTAATGGGTTGATGGCATCCATCAATACAGTGAGCAATGGTCTGATAGATCATCGATAACAAGTCTAGTACTACTGATATTCAATTGAGACTCAGTCATCGGCATCTACAACGCCGACATTATATAATCGTTTCAAGGTGGCAAACTCACCTTACCTTGGGTTACCGAACTGGCTCTTAGCCTGTTCAACAGTATAAAATCCAACTGACAATTGTCGCACTAATGGTCTCTGATATCAAACAGATGTTGCTTGTAATATTCGATTTTAATGAATGCAGAATTCTTGGATTACTACGTGCAATAGACTATAACAAGTTAACAGGCAAAGGAATAGGTGTAATGGACAAAGAACAGCGGCGGGAAAAACAAAAAAGTGTATTATCATTCTGAGTCGAAAGCGGCATCCTCCAGCTTCTTCCTCTGTTCGGCTAGTGCATTGACAGACATCTGAGATACAACATCGGGCGTCAGGTCGTCGCGATGATTTGTTCCAAAAATCTTCCTAAACGGCGGTGTCAATAATCCGAACATCCAAAGAAGCGACGAAGTCCTTACCTAGTCCACCACTCGAGAAGCTTATCCACTTTGCGTTTCGTGACAGGGCCGGGGACATTTTCAAAAAAGTCTACAGTGTTGCTCCAAAATGCTTCATAGTCGAAGTCGCCATCCACGGTATGCCAAGATGTTACACTTGATAGAGCGAAACGAACCTTCCTCGTAAGGTTAGACACTGGACATAATAACAATAATAATTGCTCACTTGACACACAACATAAGCGATAGCACGAGGCGTTGTCTTAATAACCGAGGGTCTTATATAAATACGTGTAAGAATGTAATGACACCACAATTACACTGGATAAGACTTCTTGCCAGTCCTTGATTAACATGGTCTACGACTTTTCTTCTTTCGTGGTAGATAACGTGTGAGTTCTTGGGAGGCTTGCTAAACCAATCAGTCAGATTAACTTAGCCGGAGCTTTATTATCTCTGATTGAAACTATGGGATTGTCTAGGATATACCGTCTAGACACTTGAACTGGTTTCCTGAATATACGGTTAACTGTTGAGAAGCTGGTCTCAAATGTGACTACGTGGACCAAAGCTCATGTTGGTCAATATACAAATACCTGGTGAGAACGCTGGTCTCACAAATAACAACAAATGACAAATAGAAAACAATGACAAATAACATCAATGACCAAAGCTCGTGTTGGTCAGTAAACACTACGTGGTGAGAACACTGGTCTCACAAAACTGGGTTTCTATCGCGAGAAACTTACGTAATCTCAAGGGAAACACTTTCCCTGCACTTGTCTGGACAGTTCTTACAAAGGAAATGGGCTTTGTAAGCAGCAATTTGTTCAGACTGAAGCTTCTTAGGTGAGAGTTCAATTTGCTCAAGTGGGAGTTCTTGAATGCAACAAGTGGGAGATCTATTTTTTGGGGGAGAATGGGCTCTCCTTATATACATTTTGTGTGGGAATATTATGTAAGTAAAAAGGTGATGTAATGACTTCAGAATGTGAGAAGAATATTCCAAAAACTGGAGCAGAATGTTCTAGCAGGTGCAAAAGAACATTCCAGAATATTCATGGTGGGATAATGACATCATTCTGAGTCACTATGAGTCACTATGAGTCATTATGAGTCATTGGAATGTTCTAGCAAATTCCATGGAACATGACATCATTATGACATCACTATGATATCATATCTTTCAACCAAAATACCTGCAGGAGTGTAGGTGAAGTCCTATGACATCATTATGACATCATACCCTGTAGGTACAATTTTATGAAGCATCTGATTAGTCAGAGCATCCTAATAGAAAAGTAAAGTAAAGAAACACTAGAGAAAACAACTCAGAAATAATGGAACAAATAATAGTACACAATACGCGGGCTTTTTAGATAGGTTTTTGTTAGGCTTTGAACTTTTCTCTATGGGTTTCTCTAGCCAAAGTGAATAAGCCAAATGAAAGGCAATACCTTAACCTTCATTTTGCTTCTCATATCAACTAGGTCATTATGTGATTCCCATCTCACATATGACTTTTCTTCAAAACATGGTGGATTCATGAATCACTGAGGGAAAACTGAAACTATTGGACCAAGGTTTGATACCAAGGTATGGGTTGACTAGTCTGAGGACTAAGCTAACAGACTTTGTCTTTTAGGGGGATACCTAGTAGTCATGTCCATGCATGATTCCCAAATCATGCAGGACAGCGTGACTTTCTTCATATTAATGATCAAAGTGACACATGTTTTAACCTTCGTCTGTTCAGATTTCCGCTGGGCGCGCCTGCTATTCTCGAGAATATCAGCTCCATAACCATCACCTTCAGCTTCCCTTGCTGAGGAAGGTGATGTGAAGATGGCTTTGAAAGCCTGGAGTGTAATGAGCAAAGATGGTATCATGAATATACCGTGACCACTAACCAGAACCAGAAGCTTCGACTTGAGGAAACCTTCTTCGAGGTTGTTACGATTGACTTGATAGTTCTCATATACAAATAATGGCCAAGAGTTCTCTGACACAATGTATTCCGACGTTCTGTTGTGAATACCAACCTTGACACTGGGCCAGCATCAATGCCTGTGATGGTCAAAAAGGGTTGGCAATCACCTATCGTTTCCCCAGTGCCACTCAGCAGGGCAGAGTAACTTCCCACAGATATCACTCGCAAAGCCACGTAAATGCTTGTCATTTGGCTTGATTAGAGGAGACAGGCGAAATTCCTGATTTACCCAGGTAGCGACAAGCTCCTTAAGACTGGAGGTATTGTTGCCGCGAGCTGCATCTGCTCCTTTCTTGAGCTATAAAACAATTAGTATGCAGCGCGTGATTTTGTTAAAAAAAATTGCTGGCCTTCTTCAACATGTCTTCCATATCTTCGTGGTCAAGGTCCCCAAGCTTCTCGTGAAACCACGGTAGCACCCGCGAGCATTCAATGTAGCCACGCTGTGAACGATCTTGCCTGTACCATAGAATTAGAATAATCATTTTTTTGGAAAAAAAAAAACCGACAACCTACTCCGTGGTTGATTCTGCCGACGAGCAAAACTCGTACCTGCGATCGTTTTCGGCGATCAAGTCCTCCAAGTTGTGGTAAAGGATGACTAGTCGACGAATCGCTCTGCCTTGTGCCACGTAGAAGGTTGTCTTTCTTTAAAAATCAATCAATACCAATGTAAGTGTGTTGAGCAACACAGTACACTTACCTTTGCTTACCTCCATTTTCTTGCCGCATCGTCGCAAGCTCTTCTTCCAAGGCGGCAATGCGATGTTTGGCCCTTGCCTTGGAAGACGTAAGCATGGGTTGAGTCGGATCTGGGTGTATCACAGGCTGATTTCCTGTGGAACTCGCCTCATCATCAGATGAGGCCGCAGTTGAGTCGGGAGTGCTGCCAGCAGAGGCGAGGGATGTCTGAGTCATCGCGGGGGTAGAGTGGGAGGGGGGGTAAAGGAAAGGCAAGGTGATGTAAAGGCGAGGTGATGTAAAGGAGAGGGGAGGTAAAGGAAATGCAAGGTGAGGTGAGAGGGGAGGTATAGGCGAGGAAAAGTAAGAGGGAAGGTAAAGGAAGAGCGAGGCAAAATGAAAGAGCGAGACGAAGTGAAAGAGCGAGGCGAAGTGAAAGAGCGAGGCGAAGTGAGATGGGAGAGACTTTGGAAATAGCCACCTTTAAATACAGTGTTCACAGGCTAGTTCCAAAAAAAGTGAATTCCCATAATTGTCAGTGTGCGAAGCAGTTGCAAACAAGTTGTCGGAAGGGTCTGGATCCGCCGCACCTGAATGCCCGGGCCTGCGGCCAGGTAGTAGTACCAGCGTGCCGGGCCAGCGACTCTGACCTTTCGGCAGGAGGAAGGCGAGTACCTGGGCCTCCGAGTCGGTCAATCATCAACCATGCGTTGACTATCCAAATCGTATTTTGAATTTCATGAGTGGCAAACAGGGATGTCGCCAAATGGATATCGGGTCTCATAGTAGCGGCATTGCAGTCTATGAGCATAACTGCGTCGATAAGAATGACCATGAAACATGTTTAAGTTAGGTTAGGAGGGTTAACAGTCATTCTTGGCGCGTACCTTGGTTCTCTTGGTACAGGAGCAATGCGGCAGACCTTACTGCTCTTCAGCACATTGATAACGCTGCTCTTGCCTACGTCTGGGTATCCAACAAATCCAACGGAAATTTGTTTCTGATCTGAATGAAGCTGGGAGAATTGGCGAAGGAGTTGAATCAAAGAGTCCTTGCCGAACAAGTGATTGGGTGGTGCGTGAAAGGCAATCGTAGGGTATTGAAGTGTTGGACGTTGAATATACTTTGCCTGTGGCACATTCAGCAGGGAGACGTACACAAAGTCACTAGGGACTTGCTGCGACTCAATTGGGTACAAACTTACTTGTTGACGACAAGTTTGAACATGTTTGTGCGCTTTCTCTTTTTTCATGTACTCGAGCAGAGATTCGTACATAGTGCCAAGGAAGTCTTGAGCATCAAGTATGTGCAGGATAACATCCGAAGAGTCGATAAACTTGTACAGCTCCCCATGTATGCGTCTTGACGTTCTTTTGGTGAAAATAGGTTCAATATAGTCTGCGCTGCATGGGTTCGCAGCTCGGAGAATCAATATATTGCGCTACTAAAACATCAGAACATGTTTGACCGGAGAGAATTGCCATGCGATGAGGCACCTAATTCTAGAACATGACTCTTGGACCCTTGTCCTGTGTCTTCCGCCGCAGCTGTGCCTATCCCTCGACAATGCCGACGTCAATCCTAGGCCTTCTTGTGCTGAGCCTTGAGTCCAAAGGTTTCACTGAGATGTTTCATTTCTGATACCATGACGATATGGGATCGCTGCATAATATCAGCCCCCAAGCAATATAAATTTTGCTAGAACCTACCTTTCAAGTATTAAGATTGGACGCATCCGAGTTGTCCAAGAGTGCCATGGGTAATTTATCCGGCGAAGTAGTAGTGAGTATGGGCCATCCTTCTTTGTCGAAAGGCTTGTTCTGAATGGTCAAGGGCATCCATCTGTGAGATTACAGTGGGTCCCAAAGCCAGCTTCTCCACCCTGATCGCAATACCGGCGATCGCTTCGGTTTGGTCAATCAATGATTCAATCAGCCATGACTAATGCAGAAATTCACTATACCTTTGCAATTGTCAGGATATCGGGTTGGACACCACTATATTCAACATTGAAGTATTTGCCAGTCCTACCGAATCCACTCTGTACCTCTCTAAGTACAGGCTCGATGATTATGTCAGCTGTGTCCCTGGGAGCTGTTTGTTGTTTGAGAACTAGATCTAGTTGATACAATGAGAGTCAGACGAGCTCTTCTTCACTTGTATTGATTGGTAATCCCAGTTGGTGCCAGTACGGGAACGGTATGGCGAATACCCCAGGCTACAATGATGTTAGTCCCATCGCTAATGTCCTGAACACAAAAATTACCATCAATGGAAAGGATCCTTCATGATAGATCGTCTTGCTCTTCGTAAGAGCCATGGCACCAAACGTTCGACCATGATAGCCACCTGCGATGGTGGAAATTCTTCATAAGTTCTGCGTTGCGCGAGTACTCACCGCCAACTTACCCTGCATGCCGATAATGTTCTGCCGACCAGTAATTTGTTGTGCCATCTTGAGGGATGCTTCAATGGCTTCAGAGCCTGAGTTCCAAAAGAAGAACGAGTCGACCTAGAAGAGAGTCAACAAGCACATGACAAAAAAATAAAAGGGAATTTCCTTACCCTGGGCCAGTGTCAAGGATAACCTTGAATGACTGAGGGGGTTGTACCGACATAGTAAGAACAGGAACGTCAACTTGAAGGTAGGAGAAAAAGGAGCGATGACATATGGCCGGGAGTGCATTGTAGTGGTGCTCATGGTCACGCATGATGGCTGACACGAATTGGATCAAACATTTCGGAGTCCCGGGCTGTCCTACAACATTATCGAGATATTACTAGGAGTGCCAGTGGTTCCTTGATAATCAATAGCATTCAAATCGCACTCCATTTGCGAACTATGCTACATGCTTTCTAACATGATCTGGCTACGAACCGTGACTACTTACTACTAGTACAGGAGTGCTATCATGATGTTCTTGTACGTACAGTACTACTAGTATCATTGTAGAATCCAAAGCGACCCGAATTAGCGAAAAGGAAAGCTTCTAAGTCATAGAAAACGTAGACTACACGACATTTAAAACTGGTGCACAAAAGAATCTATCACAGAACGACAGAGACCATTTAGTACAAGGCTGCTACTGGAGCGCGCGTTTCAACTTCCAAGTAGGAGGAAGAGATGCGCTTGGGGCATCCACGAGACCGACTGCCCGATGCTCCAGAGGCGTTGGGATTTTTCTTGCGGTCACTAATAACCTCTTCGTACCAGACCGTGTACCTTGTCCAGGCAGTCACATCCGCACCGTTTCTGCACGCTATGAGGTAGTCTTTCCAGATAGGTAAAAACGTGATGGGAGCTTTCTCGAGTTCAGTACAGTCGATGCTAGGATCGAGCTGTTTAGAAAACGTGACCAAACTGTCTCGAATCTTCTCTAATCCTCGCTGAAACATGACCTTGACGGCATCCATGTTAAGGTCAGGCAATAGTGTCTGGACAGATCAAGATTGGAACTGTCAGTCGGTTTATCGTTTGATAAAATAAAAACTTACACTGTACGCCATGTGTTCAGCGTCTTCTTTGTTAAGATCGATAGCAGCTTCATCATCTCCCTGAAACCATACCAAAAATTCTACAGAACTAACGTGACACCAGTTATGCCCAGCGATCGTTATGGATGAACATGATGGGAAGCGTTCTGTGATGAACTCCTCGAGTGGAAGTGGTTCTGGGTCTGTACTGAAGAAATTCCACGCATGGGAATCACACTTAGGATGATGGTAGGGCTGCGCTTTGCGAACTAATCCCAGGACCGCCATCTTGATATCTGGATGAGCGCGGATGGTCTTGGCAAGTTTGTCGATTGCATGTTTCTTGTCCTCGGAACACGCGCACTCCCCAAAAAAGGGAACCAACCTGATTTTGGTGGGGCCCTCTGACGGTGTGACGGTGAGACGGTGAGACAGATGTCTGGAGTCACCATTTTGCATTTAACCTTCAGTGATGAATTCATGTGGATCATTGGATAGATCGTATCGTGATCATAGGGAAGTGATGCAATGGTTTGTCCGAGGGTGAGCTTCAAGCAATCGAACAGTGCTTCATGGATGGCGCTAGGCATATCGACAAGGAGAGATTGCTTTTCATAATCATAAGACAGTCTGGCCCAATTAGTATATTTACTTTAAACGGATAGAACATTGATGTAACGCACCTGGGCTTAAATGCCCGGCCCGTCTCTCCTAGTGCTTCCTCTATGACTTCGTATTCCCGCGCATCAATACCGAAGAATTCCTGAATATTTGGTAAGCAAGGGAATTCCAATATCTGCACAGTGCGGCTACACACCAGGATGCGGCCCGTTGAGGCGATCTCAACCTGGCTGGGCTGATATGAAATATCTAAAAATGCTCAACCAGTATAAGTGAGTCTTGGCTCTGCCTAGCTGCTATACTCGCAGAATGCAAGAACGTTCGACCCTAAAGGGGACTGCTACTGAACACAGAACCAGATGAAAGAAAGACCCTTGAAGTGCGATAGATGCGCGAAAGCGCAAGAAGAAAAGCGAAGTGAGCGCGAAGCGCGAGAGAGCGCACTAAGGTAAGCGCGAGCGTGGGAACGTGAGCGCTAAGGCGCGCATTGTGCGGAAAATACCAGATAAGGAAACGGATAAGGAAGCGGATGTGCAAAGCGAGTGCAAACGCAGAGCGAGTGTTATAACGAGTGCGGATAAAGGTCTAGTATAGGCGGATAACGATAACCATTGGAAACACAAAGTGCGCCCAAGTGGTGACTACTACTTTAAAGTAAAACCCAATAGCGAGGGAAGTACAGCAAAGGGGAGTAATAATGATGGAGTAGTAAGTCAGCAAACTTTATACTACGGAAATCGCATCGGAAGCGGAAGGGATAGGAGCAATAAGCGCTATGAATACGTAATGACATGTAATAACGCTGCAATGCTTGTTACAAACCACGAGGCAAGGCATATGACGTACCAATGAGGTGGGTGGACATAGACGGACGTTCCTGGATGATAGGCGATGCAGGGCGCTTGCAGGGCGATGCAGGGCACTTAAGCGTGAGAAAGCGCGCAAGGTGCGCGTGTGGGAATGCTGCGCGTTGTGCGGGAAAGTACCGCGCCTATGGCGCGTTTCGCGGGAAAGCTGCGCATTATGTGTAAAACGACTAGGGACATGATAGAAGTCGAATATAGCTGATGGTGTGAGTTGTGCATTGAAGGCCAATTGTCATGAGTTGTGAAAAGGTGCGAAATGTGCCTATATGTGCCTGCAGAAGCACGAGTCTCTACACCATCTCTAAAGTGTATTTGGTTATTTCTTTCAAAACATGTCGCACATCTTCGAACATCAGTCAGAACAACTTAACTCGTTACTTCTCACAGAACATACTTGAGGTGAAATGATGGTAATGAATGAACTGTTGGAGGCTATCATCATCCGACTCTGAGTCATCACACAAAGGATTCAACTCCGAACTCGGATTTCCAGCAATAGCCGCAGAGGAGTGCAACTTGACTGTTGATTTGAGATTCAAGTTGTCCCTTTGAGCACCTTGGATGGGGGTTGAGGATGTCTTGGAGGTCGTTGCACACTCAGTTTTATCTAGTTGTAAAACTGGAGTGAGTGATTTCAAAGTGATTTTGGACTTTTGAATATTTCCTGTGGGCTTGTTTTTGGTCACAGGATGAGGTGTGGGTTGTGCAATAGAATTGCTTCTGGTGTTATAGTGTTTGTAGAGCCCAGATGTAGAGCCAGTGCTGGCCAAAGTTACAGTAGACACTGGCATGACAGTAAAGTGGAGCTGCTTGTGTGGTGTGTGTGTGGAAGTTTGAGGTCATGTCAGAATCAGGATAGATAGATGTTCTGTGATAAGAAATGATCAATCACTTGGGAAATGCCTGAGGTTCTAACTCAATTTAGGCCATGATTAGTAATATATTAGTAATAGTCGGTTCTACCGTGAGAGTCTGAGTCCAGCCTTGCCAAAGTTTCAAGTTAGCCACGGCTGCCGCTGTGGTCAACTTGTACTATATGTGTTTCATTCATGCTAATGCAGAAGATTTCCGGACAGTCGGTTGTTTGAGCGCTGGAAAGGCAAGATATTATATTACTAGCAGGAAGCCGCAACAAGAGAGTGTCCGAGTCATGACAAACTTGAAGATGTCTGGACTCGTCCGAGTCACCCGGGTCATGAAAGATCAATGCGGACTTGGATGTGACTGAAGGGCGCCTGGCTACCGTGACTACTAAAATGAGCTTTCATCAATATTTGGAAGCTTTCAAGTTGGCGGAACTTCCAGTACTTCAAGTTGTCACGGTTGCCTTCAAGTTCGTATTATCATGATGATACTACTCTGAGTATGCCAGGATCATAGTAAGTAGTACTACTACCGTGATGGTGACAGACTTCAACTAGTAACTTACTAGTATTTGGACCAATTCACAGTTGACGGTGTAGAGACTCGCGTTTCTGTGGGCTCATATGGGCTCATTTTACAAATTCTGATGACTGGCCTTTACTGCACAACTCACACTATCATCCACTATGACTTCCCTATAGAGTGCACCACTTCCCGCGAAACGCGCCATAGGCGCGATACTTTCCCGCACAATGCGCAGCATTCCCGCGCGCGCGTCTTGCGCGCTTTCTCGTCCTTAAGCGCACTGCATCACACATCATCCAGGAGCATCCATCCATCATCCAACCAGTCCCTCGGTATGTCCCTTTCATTATCTGACCATATTTGGCATATTACACTTCCTATTTCGTCATGGACCCTTACTTTACATCACTTTACATCACTTACATACTTAGAGCGCTCCCTATTTGGCTCCGAGCCCTGGGAGAGCGCTTAGGTAGAACTTACATACTCTCATGTTCGTTTTACACTGCGAACGATACCACCTTAGCAACATACCACCACCTTCCTACCACTCAGTATCTATCACCAGTTAGTTCCATGCAATGCATGCGTCTGTCATCGTCTTAAGGTCCTAGCATCAGTCTAAAGCTAGTGGCAGTATCAGTATCCATCTATATCCGCACTTTTTGCCATATCATCGTCTCTCTACACTTGTGCACTGCTCGCACTACCATTCCAGTTCTCTGCACATTTTCGCCTTTCGCACTTTCGCCTTCCTGTGCTTCGCGCATTTTCGCGTTTCACTTTCCTGCACGCGCTTTCAGCGCATTTCTCACACTTACATCGCCTTTTGTCGCCTTTGATCAGGGTTGATCAGCATCATTTCGTGGATCCTTGCTTTCTTTGCTTCCCTTAAGGGTCGAACATATCGCACGGCATATCAAGACCCAACATAGAGAGTGTTTGCTTGTCATCTGACTTGCAGTCACTTTGTTGTGTTACCCACAACGGTCATACTACCGTTAGTAGTCACTAGCCTGATTCCGAGTACTACCAGTACAGTAGTAGGTGGTCACTCAGGCTAGTGACTCTAACTTGAACTTCAAGTTGACATCGACTCGACAAGCACCGCTCCGAGTCACTCAGGCTGGGCTCCGAGTCGAGCTTCAACTTGAAGTTGAAGTACTGTGTCATGGCACTGCTCGCTGTTCCACAGGCCGCAGTGAACTCAGATTCTCGAACTTCCGATGTCCCGCCGGGCCTGACTCCGAGTCAGCGCACCCACTGAGTACTAGTCACTTGTGAAGTTATTGTGATGTGTCTAACTTCAAGTAGTGACTCATGCCAGTGGTGACCGTGACTCGGACTGGGCCGACCTCAGGCTGGACTTCTGCCCTTGCCAACGGAGTCCTGCCAGTGCCAGTGACTCTCGGAGTGCGTATGGTCAGACTTCAAGTTTATTAAGACTGGACTCACTGAGTACTGTGACAGCGTACTAGTATGTGACTCATGCCATACTCAAAGCCACCGTCACCGTGACGCAGCTATCGAATCATATAGTCAGCATCCTCATGGCTTGCAGTGTGGCCGTTACTGTAGAACTTTAGTCATGAAGCTTTAAGTTCGACTTGAGTCAAGCCTCGACTTACTCAGAACCATTGGAGTCGTGCTTGAAGCCAATTTGCAATGGGTAGGTATTTTTTCTTATCATTCAATGGCACAACTTGAATACTGATTGACCATTGGATCATCATGATCATCTACTACTGGCACTACCACTCCCTTCGAACCTCTCTTAGACAAACCGATTAAATTTCGGTTTTACTCTCACAACGCATCGCGGAATTCGCGCACACGGCTCCAGTCAGCCGTCAGGTTCGGTCAATTTGTTCATCACCATTTTGACGGTCATGCTGCGGCCAGGACCGAGTCGCTTCTCGGTAGTTGCAGTGGTCAACTTGAAGGTGGATGTAGGTGCAATAGTCTTGTTTTTAAAGAGCCAAAACTTAGTGCTATGTAGCCGTGGCCGTCGCGGCGGGTGGCCATAACCGTGGCAGTCTCGAGTTGGGCTACACCACAAGCCCAGACTACAGTCATCATCAACTTTCTAGCACATACACTGACATCGCCGAGATCTCCGAGTCCTCCAAGCTGCCCATGCACTCCACTGCAACTACCGTGACCTCCTCAGACAATCGTGTCATGACCGGGACTCTGAGTCGTCACGAGAGTCATTACCACCTCACCAAATATTACTCTCAGGACACAACTATACCAGATGAAACCATGTCTGAGGTGGACAGGCTTTCACCATTGCCGCATATATTAAATGATGCGGCTATGTGGGAAAACTCCCATCCGCAGGGAACTGCCTTCGTTGTTGTGAATGGTATGACGGTCATCCGACCAGACGAATCTGATGCAACGGTCGATGAGTCGGATGGCTGGGATTGGTGTGATGTGTCGCACGTGGTTGTAGCTGCTGCTCAGGCTGTGGCCACTTCTGAGTCTCAGCTTGAACATAATGATGGTGACCGTGACGCAGCCATGGTGTCCGAGTCTGCATCTAGTAATTCGGAAACAGGGTCACTGGCACTTGACACTATGATGGACACATACATAGATTGGCTGGACAGTAACTCTGAGTAGTTTGATATTTTTAGTTGCTGTAGGTTCATCATGCCAGTGATCGTGGAGTTCAAGTTATGATCGCATCCGAGGAGGGGTCAACTTCAATGTTTTTCACTTGTGCTTTACTTTCATGCCTTGTTTTGGTAGGTACTTCATTAGGTTAGTCTTTTTCGTCGGAAGGGTTAAACATAAACTCTAGATAAGATGTTGCATTCACGAATGATTCGGACTTAGACACTCTCAAGTTGAAAATGATCATGATGGGTGTAGCTCAACTTGAATATGTTAGAAATTCAGAAGTGCTGCAGGAATATCCGCCATGAACTTCTATGTCAATCAAGTCATCACGTGACCCACAAGCTCGTGTTTGGATTGCCGGACGGCCAGAAGGGTAGTTCGCATGAGAAGTGTTTTGAATTCTGCATTTGCATGCAAGGTCGATGAAGCATCTGATTGTAAAAGCGGCATTATTGCGGATGGCTAATTCGTCGGGGTCCTGCACAAAATAAAGGGCATTCGAAAGGACAGGAAACCATTCACGGTATGATAATGCAGCGTACTTCTCCTCATTGAGCAGCATAAACGCAGTCAACCGACAATTAAAGTCAAGTTCATCTATTCGCTTCGATGAGCAAGCATTGAGTGATTCAAGCAGGCTTGCAAGCTCTTGAATACTCGGATTAATCACCAAGAGCTTGTCGAAAGCTGAAGTGAGGGCGAGTGGAGAAGTGGTGAAGCGAAGCGACATAAAGAGCTGCGAAAGAAGCTCATATGTCTTTGGAGAACTCGACGGAGAAGCAATTTGACAGCTCAGTCAGGAGAGGGAATATATGGCCGAGGGTGCTGAGAAGATTTTCTCAGATATGATTCTGCTGGATTTGCGCAGCAAAGGGGAGAGAAGGCCAAGAAGAGCGTAGAATCTTCAGCGTAACGAGCGACCTCCGAAAGTATGCTGATTTGGCGTTGAGTGATTAGACTTGAAAGTGCTGCATCGGCCTTCGTGTGTTCGACCAAAGTTGTAAGGTTCTTGAGCAACTGCGATATATGTGGCTGAACGAGCAGACCCAAAAGTTTACTGTCATCCGTGGAATACGACAGCAGGTGCTCCACAATGTCAAAGACTCTGTTGATCACTGCTGGCTTGACATTAACCGCCACAAGGCAGTTGAGAACCTTTGGCAGTACATGGGAGTTGTGTTGTACGAGATGGACGGAATATGTTGGCTGACTGGTCCAATCATAAAACAATTCCAGGAACGTGGAGGGGTTTGAGTATTTTCTTAATCCAATAACTCCAGACGTGGAGCCACAATAGTGGGATATGATGCAGAGATATAGGACGTGAAGTCAAATTCGATGGGGCAGCGAAAGAAATTGGCAAGCCGCTTGAGGCCTTATTGCCTCAAAGAACGCAAAATTCTGGAATTCAATACCTCTCAGGACTCGC